CCCGTAGTTTTCAATGTCATCAGAACCGTCATCTGACCTTGGCGACCGCGAATATGGAATCATCACTCAACCAACTTTCAATTCAATATTCTTTTAGATTTTTCCGCTCGATTTCAAGATCCTAAAATCATCAATAATGCCACGGTAATTTTTCAACGGCTAAAAATTTACCGCAAATAGGTACTGACATCACTGAACTGAAAGTTCATTGTACCAGTATATCACCTGACGAAGCTACTGTGTTAGCAAAACATGTTGTGTGTTTAAGAATTTTGTGGAAATCTTATCGTTTGTGAAGTTTTTACATTTGCCATGGATTTCCATCAAGTAACGGCCGAGTCAATTCAAAAAATAACGCTGGTGTCCCATAAAATCATTTACATACAGAGAAGTGCACAAGGAACGGCCAGGACTGTAAGTTTTGAATTATTCGAGATAGGGTTTTGAAAATCGATGGGCAGACGAAACAGTTTTTGTTCTATCACCCCGGTTTTACTGGAAACGAATTTTGATTTTTAAATAGGACACCCTGTATTGTGTTCACTAGGTAATATACAGAGAAGTGTACAAAAAACGGCCAGGACTGTAACTTTGGAATTGTTCGAGATAGGGTTTTGAAAATTGGTGGGTAGCAAGTATACCAAATTGCTCTTTAATTGATGAAACAATTTTTCTTCTCACTTTCAGTTTCACCGGAAACGACCCCAACTTTTGATTTTTAAATGGGACACCCTGTATTGTATTCCATAATCGGTTTGGGATTGTCATAACGAATTCATCGATACCGGGTTTGATAGGGTTATTTCAAACGATTACGCAGATATTCGCGTTCTAAGTTTGCATATGCTCAATGAGTGTGACAGAGAAAGAAGTTTTGATATTGCGAAGTCACACCCACTGAGCATATGGAAACTTCGAACGCAAATATCTTTGTAATTGTTTGAAATAACTATCAAACCCGGTATCGTTGAATTCGTCATGATAATCCCTAACCAATTATGGAATACAATACAGGGTGTCCCATTTCAAGATCAAAAGTTGGGGTCGTTTCCGGTGAAACTGGAAGTGAGAAGAAAAATTGTTTCATCAGTTAAAGAGCAATTTGGTATACTTGCTACCCACCAATTTTCGAAACCCTATCTCGAACAATTCCAAAGTTACAGTCCTGGCCGTTTTTTGTACACTTCTCTGTATATTACCTAGTGTACTCTGTATTGGACACTTATCGTATCCGATGACAAATCTATACTTTCGTGATCGCCCGTTACATATTTCTAATGAATTGTTAATTGAAGGAATATTAACTGTTTTCAATTCAATAATTAGCGTTTTTGGTAGTAGGTAAAAGTGAGAATTCTCAACTTCAAATTTCATCTCAAAAATTTCGTTTCACGAAAAAGTAAGGCAGTAATGTGAAAACCGCAACACTCTATCTCCAAAGATAACTGAGATATTACGCAAAAGCATCTAAAACTGGACACTGTACTTCTTCCTCTGATAAAAATTTGTTTCACTTACAGAGTCGTGATATCAGTAGTTATCAGTGGCAAATTGATAATTTTGGTAAAAGAAAGAAATTGTAAATATCAGTATTTATCAGTATGAAGATCGAAAATGAAGAATGAAAAAGAAAAACGGCCCAATAGAAAAACCAGTGGCGTGCTATAATTTTTCATGAAAATGTGTTTTCATGCACTAGAAAAATCGAATTTAATCAGAAAGATACCTTTATTTTATTGCTATAAAATGAACACCCATCAAGTTTCAAGACAATTGGAATGTTTTCGAGATAGATTTAATTATGGAAAAAAACGTTTACAAACTTTCACAGCCGGTAAGTATTGCAAAAACGAGCAAGAACTATGCACTTTGTGAGCAGTTAGAAGTAGTTAGAACGTTTTTCATTTTGACGAGAAGGTACCACAGAATTCATAATCTTTATATGTTACGACTACAACGCGCGATCCCATGGTTTCATACAGACAAGGAGAGAACACTGAGACGCAGGTCATTCATTTTCATCGATTCATTTACAAACAACGAAATGTTGCCAGTTTTATTAGCTGTCACATGTGACTGCTTGTCATTGAATTTATTCCCGAAGTCAGAAATATTATCATTAGATCTTTGGTAATCTCAATATTATTCTTGGTTTTTGTGATGAAGTGATATGTTCAAGACTGCATAAATTCTTTGTTGAACATGTGGGCGAAGTCAAAAGTTCTATAAGTACCTTTCTAAAATACTCCTGATGCCTATCTGTACCTATCACATAAGATGTACTGGAGGTTTCTTGATTCCAATTACAAAGAATGGTCTTGGGATACAGTCAAACTTGGAATGGCCATCATCTTTTCTTCTGACCAAATTCATGGTGAGATTTGATGCCTACCTAACTTAAACCGACATTTACACATGCACAAATGATATCGATAATCGGGTCGATTATGTTCGGATCTTGTTATAACATTGCTATTATTGCTAAGATAATATTGTTATGATCATAACATATAACAATATTGCTATGAAGTTCTGTATTCTGTTTGCAGAGTAACTGCAAGACTGGTTATAAGTTCAAGTGATAGCAATATTGTTGAAAAATTTAAAATTTTTGAGCTGACAACACTGTTTTCAACTCATTGTTCAAGTGTTAGGTATCGATTTTACCATTATTTCATGAAGAAGAAGAGTTCATGATTATCTAACCTCTCAAATTAGTCAGTCCTGAGACTTGCACTGACATTTAACAAAATTATATTGTTCAAATCGAGAAATTTTGTATTTGCTGATTCTGGTCGTCGTTGTGCGACTGGTGCAAGTAATCAATCATGTCCCCGAAATGAGAAAACAACTAAAAGCCGGATGAAACAAATCGTGATTTGTTTTTAATATTCTAGCAAAATAGCTTGATAAACTATCAATCAGGCAACTGAAATTTCTCTGATATGCCGAAATTGTAGTCTCATATTTCCTCTACAAATTGGAACTGCAAGAAGAGGTTTTCAAGTAGTTGGTCACAGTACACAGTAGTGAAACCTATCCTATATGTTTGTAATCACCAAGTTTTTCAATAATTCTTCTATGAATTGAAACTTTGAGGAAAGGTTTTCGAGTATTCAGTGACATCACTGAACTCTCATATGTTTTTGATCCACTATTTTCTGAATTTTCATACAGTTAGAAGAATTTGTAGTGCAAAAACAAAGAATCCACTACCTTGTTATCAGATAGCAAGCACAAAATTGATGTTGCCGAGGAAGCAAGAAAGCTGACCAGATGTCGTTGGAATTGACAGATCATATTGCCAAAAATCGATGATTAGAATTCCACTTTTTCGAATCTTGCTATGATAGCAATATCTTCTCTACAACCATATTGCTATTTGCAAACAGAATCGACCCGATTATATTTTGATTTTCGCTCTCAGTTGAAGCTGTTGAAAACTTTGTCCTAGAATTTTCAGATGATGTAATAACATTGTCTTCACATGATGAATTGTTTGTTTTTGATCCATCAGGAATATATTCCATAAAAGCTCTTCGAAAAGTTTAATGAGAGCAGTCTAAGGAAAAGACAATTCGTTTTGGGGTATAATTGTATGTTCTCTATGAGTGATTTGTGGTACCTCCAATGAGTTACCCAATATTTTTCAGCGTAATGAAATCATCTTCTTCAGGTTTTAGCAAAATGAAAAATTAATGAACAAATGAAAAATTTTCCATAAATTTATATTGGCATATAGCCTGTCAGTCTCTATTTGAAGTGGAAGAAGTCTTTTGAAAATAACTCGGTGATTTGATACAGTGAAATGCGATACTTATTTAAACCATTAACTATTACAATTGAATGTTATGAAATGTGCAAAAATAAAAATAGGCGAAATGTCTTTATTATTATTTACCTATACAGGATTCTTCACAGGTAAAGGGAAATATTTCAATGGTAGATAGGGGTCACCAAGGTGGTTCTGAAAATATCATATTTGATAGGTCCTAGAGACTTCATAACGGAGATACAGGGCGATTCATCAATTTCGATTAGTTATTCATTAAATTTGGTAAGGAGCTTATACTTGGGACGTTCAATTCATTCATCTATCAGGCGGAGTGAAAATCAAGGTTCGGCTTCAGAAAAAATTGACATTTATTCGAAATAATGAAATAACACACTGTAATTAATAATTAACACAGTACATCAAAAGAATTGTGAAGAGGAGGAAAAACTGAATTGGGTTTGACGATTTTCGTTTTCCCGTCACCAATCCTCACCGTAAGAATCATAAACAGAAAGTTGAAAGTATGTCAATTTGAAGAGTATTGAAAATATGAAGCCAGTATCAATTATGATTATTCGATATATTTCAGTCAAAAAATCGCTCGACAGAACTTACTAAGTCTCACAGTCTTTATAACGGAGATACAGGGTGAATTATTGGTTTTGAAGAATAATTCACTCGTCCATAAGTATTGAACTACCCAGTAACATTTTCTCAAATTTGGTATGTAGCTTATACTTGGGACGATGGATTCATTAACCTATCAGGCGGAATGGAAATAATACCAAATAATTATGATTCGATAATTCATCCTGTATCTCTGTTATAAAGACTATAAGACTTTTCTTGAAGCTGAACCTGTATTTCCATTCTGCCTGATAGGTCAATGAATCCATCGTCCCAAGTGAGCTCAATACCAAATTTGAGGAAATATTACTGCGATGGGTAGTTTAAATACTTGGTATTGGTATTTTCAGAACCACCTTGGTGCCCCCTATGTACCATTGAATATTTCCCTTCATCTGTGAAACACCCTGTATATCATCCAAATTTCTCATTGGAATTCTATAAGCAGTCATCTTCTGATTTTCCGAAAATTCAAATAATAATACTTTCATCTTATCTTCGAGATACGCCACTGGCGTCCATTTACATTTCGATACGAATTCAAACGCCGTTACTGTTTATGATTCACTTACAGTGTTGCAGCTGATGCATAATTTGTTCGTCCGCCATATTGGATAGGCAATCTAGTCGAAAGATATAAAGGTTAAGAGTTCTGTGGTAGGTACCTATCAAGATTTATATATGTTTAGTAGAATAAAGCTGAACTCACTTCAATAACGCCAATATCAAACTGAATAACCCTGTTTATTATCACTTCGGTGATCATACTTCAAAGTATCATGTGAGAAAATCAAATTATGATAATCACAAGAAGACTGGGTTTATACAGGGAATAAGATAATATGAGGAATAAAATGAGAAAGTTCAATGTACGTATAACAATGGAAACGTTTATACATGAAATAAGATAAAACAAGAAACAGGAGCTCGCTAACTTTTGACTTCTTATTTCATCTCGTTTGAAGATGGAAATGACAGGTTGACAACTGACGTAAAAGACATTGCCAAGGAAGCATGTTTCAATGGTGTGATTGGTCGACTTCTATTACCAATTCAATTCCATTCATCTGTATAAATTGGTATTCATCATTCTTATTCTACAAATTGATTCAAAGTAATTTTTATTTTATTTTGTGTCCTGTATAACCCCGCACTAATTCAACTATGGTTATGAAAAACATTTTTTTCTCAAAGACGTTTCGATTGCCAATTTCCCTGCCAGAACGGCATGTCTCTCAATCCTATTCCAAATAGTCGCCATCACAAAGCAATAAGTAAGCAAAACAACGATAACTGCCCTGATAATGTTAATAAGTATAAAAAATCCTGCCGGTGGCTCGAAAGCCAAAGAAAGCACCAACCCAACACACAATATAAAAGCAAAAGAGAGGTAAATAACTTGGTGGGTGCCCAGACTGTCCAAAGCCCGGTCCAGAACAGTAACCATATCCTTTAAAACAGTTTTGCCCTCTTTGGGGTCTCTACAAACGGGCTCGGCTGATTTCTCACTGATTTCCAAGGTTACAGCGAGACCCTCGTGATCCGAATAGCTGTAGGATTGACCGGGAACTCTTTCCGGCAAGGGTAGTCGGTACTTTTTCAAATCGACTCGTAACTTTGAGCCAGGGTGGAACATTATGTAGTCGATACGTTGACCGGGAAGTTGGTCGTTGATGACATTGGCAGGAGTGTAGCTATTGCGTTGGTTCTGATAGGTAGCGATGTGGTCACTTTGTACTTTATCTGCTTCGAAGGCGTCCAGTAAACCAGGAATGGTAAGTATCACTCTAAAAAATATATAAGTTGATATATCTCGAGTGTTTCATATGATTTTCAACTTTTTTTTTTCAGAGTGTGTCTCAACACTCTGTGAGTTTTATTCAACCGATGTTACCGATAAGTTCTTTGCTAAAAACTAGATATGTTCTGACTATAAAATTGGTCATTGTATTTATAATGGGTGTTATCGAAATAAATACATATTTTGAACATATATGCTTGTAAAAGATCTTTTTATCGCTCAGGGTTGGGTACGCCGGAAAGGGGTAGTGTGGCAGGAAGTAGTACTTGGCAAAAACAACGGAATCCTGTTCGGATATAGCGTACTATATTATTCACCAAACAGTTACTTTGTCCGACAGTTTACTTCCGCAAACCTAATCCAAAAATGGACACATGACTTGTTGCAAATGAACTACGTACCGAAACCCTCACTAAATATACACCGTGTCCCAGCTAAAATATCCCCCCCTGTGAAAAATTAACCGCGCGATCGAATGACTTGAAATTTGGTCACCCAGTATATTTGATGATGCTCACTCGAAATATATGCTATTGAATAAATCGTAGGTATACAGGGTCACACCGAAGTGCACCTCAACTTTCTTATTTGAATAGGGACACCCAGTATATTATTCCATATTCCAGTAGAGTACATTATTACAAATTCAACAATGCCGGGTTTGATGAAATTTTTTCAAACGACTACGAAGATATGGCAAAAAATAAAACGATTCAATAAAAAATTTATAGGATTAGTTTTATTTAATATAACACGATTGAAATCGAATGATGGGTGTCCTGCACATAACTACAGACCCGTAAGGGTTTGGAGCAAATCTAATAACCACCAATTGTCTCGATGGTGATAGCAAATGGCCAGCCCGGTCGCCAGACCTCACTCCACTTAATTTTTATTTGTGGGGCTACTTGAAACAACAGGTTTATGAGTCGCCAATTGTCAATATGGAAAAAATGAAAGAAAAAATCACAAATTTATGCGCACAAATTGATCGCAACGTGAAACATAGGGTCACAATGAACGTTATCAAAAGAGCTAGGAAATGTTCGCAGCAGAATGGACGACATTAAGCAGTTGTGATTTTAATTATTTTCTTTTCATTTGATTTTTATCGTGTTATATTCGAATCGTTTAATTTTTTGAAAAAATCCTATCAAACCCGGCATTGTTGAATTTGTAATAATGAACTCTACTTGAATATGGAATAATATACTGGGTGTCCCTATTCAAATAGGAAAGTTAAGGTGCACTTCGGTGTGACCCTGTATACCTACAATTTATTCAAAAGCATATTTCGAGTGAGCATCATCAAATATACTGGGTGACCAAATTTCAAGTCATTCGATAGCGCGGTTGATTTTTTACAGGGGGGGGGACATTTTAGCTGGGACACGGTGTATATAAATATCAAAAATAGGACCAGGAATTGTACGTAATCAAACAGCTTACCTAAATTAAAATGCAGGTGCAAATTCCAAGGAATTTTTGGGCTATGCACTCCTAGCTATTTTACTGGAATCAGTGTCATTTCAGATACAGTGTGACCCACTTCTAATGGAACCACCCCTGTATCTTACGTAATCGTTGGGTAAGGATCCTGAAATTTTCTGGAGCGAGAGATATACCAAAAATGCACTCTATGACCAAGTGGGGTCATCTTCAGTGATATACACTGCTCGCCAACAGCCATGAAACTACCCCAATTTTCGGAAAATGATATTAGGAGTCAAAATAGGTCGAATATCACTTCAGATTTGGAATCAGGACGCCCAATTTACTAACTATTCAAATTTTTCCTGGAAAATATTCAGTTCGGAAGAATAAAATTTTGTCGCATTTTTTATGGAAGCACCCCCGTATCTCACGTAATTGACTCTATCTTTGGACTTTCTCTTCCTCCGGCAAATTTCAGAACCCTACCTCAATAATTACGTGAGATACGGGGGTTCTTCCATGAGAAGTGAGACACAATTTAATTTTTCTGAACTGAAAATCTTCTAGGAAAACTTTGAATAGTTAGTAACTTGGGCGTCCTGATTTCGAATCCGACGTGATTTTCAACCTATTTTGACTCCTAATATCATTTTCCGGAAAATGGGGTGGTTTCATGGCTGTTGGCGAGCAGTGTATATCACTGAAGATGACCCCACTTCCCCACTTGGTCATAGAGTGCATTTTTGGTATATCTCTCGCTCCAGCAAATTTCAGGATCCTTACCCAACGATTACGTAAGATACAGGGATGGTTCCATTAGAAGTGGGTCACACTGTATATTCTATAATGCACTTCAAAATTCTAGAAAACTCCCGAAATTCACTCGCAGCAATAATTATAAATCTTCACAAAAGTCCGGTTTTGGAAATAAGCGCAAAACAATTTCATGAAAGGAGTACATACAAGTAGCAGTCTCAGATGGCCTTACTCATAGGCTCCGAATCAAACTCACAGGGCACTGCACGATACAGACGATACCTTGAAACGGCATATTTTGGCTCGCGTACCGATAGATAGGGTTAGGTGGTTTAGTACCCAAGGTTGGTAGAATCGATGATAATTTGTAGAGGAAGGATGCCTCAATCAGCAAAACGCAGTGGGGAGAAGTAATTCGTGACGTAATCGCAGCGAAAATTCCATTTCGGAGTCATGGGAATCTATTTTCTACAACTATTTATTTTATATTCAGGAATACAAACAGGGCGAGCCTAAAAACAGTATTCACAGGAAGTTATATAACATGATAATTATATTATTCATCTTAGAAATTTAGTGGAGTACCTATTTCAAAATTAAGGATGGTATTCAAAATTTAAAAGAAATTTTAAAGAAATACAATGAATATCCAAGGTGCTAACAAGGATTCAAAGGTTCGAGAAAGAGTATGTTTTGTGTTTATTTACAAAGGTGGTAAATGAATAACAAAATATATCGATCCGATTTGATATTGAATTATAGCTTCTGAAGCAGCGATGATGGGGGGAGTTCAAATAGTAATTTCGGCACGTTAAATTGTATGGAATTATTAATTGGGATTGAGTCTATCATATTATTTACCAAACGAGAATTTTATGTCGGCAATATCTCTTCTATTCTCAACTATCTGCTTATAAAAGTTTTATCGGCATGAGGCGTGTTACGGAAGTATTTATTCTAAATATAGTGTATGAATTTGTTTTGAATATTCTCGAGTTGTTTTATGTAAATAATGTACTGGGGATTCCAGATTGTAGAGGCATATCTTAAGGTGCTATTGACATAGGACATGAAAAGGATACGAGCAGTTTTAGGATCTTTGAAATTATAAAACGATCTGATAATGAAACCTAGCATCCTATTTGCCTTTTTAGAAATACATGAGATATGCTTGTGGAACAACATTTTTGTATCGAAAATTATTCCCAAATCTTCCACATCAGTGAGAATATCGAGTATATAATTTGATAGTCTGTAATTAAAATTGATTGGATCATTCTACTGAAAGTGATCTGGCATTTGATGAAATTCAGATACAAAGCGTATTCTGTGCAATATGAATAAAATCTGTATGAAAAAACTTCTTGGATCAAGAAAGCGTCCAGTGGTTTCTTTACACTGTGGATATATCTTTGAATCATCAGCATACATTATAAATTTCGAGAACGTGAAACATTTCGAAATATCACTTATGAAGAGGAGGGGCCCTAGATGCGAACCTTGGGGTACCCCCGAAGTTATGGATTTTTTATTTTTATGTTCTGGTTCCCACGAAAAGGGGGAAAAGGGAGTTCTTCTTGAATTTCTGGAGGTTATATGCCACGGGGAACACCTCCCTTGGCAATTTGTTCCAGAGTCTCGCTGTTCGTTGGATGAACGAGTCTTTGGAAAGAGATGTTCTGCAGGTCTCCAAAGTAACCACGAAGGGGTGCGAAGCCTCAACTCGACGGGTTAATCTGGCGGGGACTGCCAAAGGAGGAACAATTGTTGATATTTCAACTAGAGAAACAGACATGTTTTCCCTCATTAAAATCAAATCTGAATTTGGCAAGAGATCTATATATTACAATGGATTATTACTTTACAATGAATTGCCAACAAGACTTAAAAAAAATATCAGTACCAAAAAATTCAAGAAAGAACTCAAAAAATATGTATTCGTCTGAATTTTGTCATGTCATCCATATTGAGATCATATAACATATCAATTATTTTAATCATTCATTCACTCAAACAAGGATCAGCTCAAACTCTGAGAATTACTAGAATAATTATTATACCTATAAATACTATATTTTAAATGTAATGTAATACATTATGGTTTATTTTTTAATGTTCCCTGTTATAAACATATACGTCAATTGTTTCTTGGGAATAATAAAGATGATGATGATGATCTATTGTTAATATATAGAAAATATGTAGTTTGTGATACATAGTTTCCTATAGTTATTGCCTGAGAGCGATTGTTAACGTATGATTCAAACCAGCTCAAGTGTGCCACTAACATCAACCTCAGCCAGCTTGAGTAGAAGCAACCCATAATCTATCTTGTCGAAAGCCTTACTAAAGTCGGTGAAAACTGCGTCCACTTGATTCCTATTGTTCAGGTTCTCGAGTACGTACTCAGTATAGTCAAATAAATTTGTTCCTACTGATCTTTTTTCAAAGAAAACGAGTTGTTCGATGTTGAGAATACCAATTTGGCAAGGATGCATAGTTTAGATTTACCTATCCAGGTGTGATCTAGAATTATACATACATTTCTATGATCCCAAAATGAAATTTTAGATGCGATTACGTCACGAATTACTACTTCCCCTCACCGCGTTTTCTGATCGAGGCAACCTTCCTCTACAAATAATCAAACCATCAATTTTACCAACCATTGTTAGTACCTCTGTATCACCAAAGACTGGATGGTGAGAAATTCGCAAAATATAAAAATAGCAAGCACATATACCTACATTTCATTATGCAAAGACTCAATGGAAATAAGGTGGGATCTGCTACATGCTCATTATCAATGTACTTCTATAGATCGTGTGACTTTTCATGCCCAACAATGACTATTAATTAATTCAATTTTTTTTCTCGATCACTTCGTCACAGATTTTCGAGTTTTTCTGAGATATTTTCTTCTGAATATTAGTGATAAGATACAATTCAAAACTTATTCAACGTCATTCATCTCAGATCTAGAAGAAGTTATCTATTACACAAGGGAAAAAAGTGGTAGATTTTAGCTCCAGGTTGTGTTGTCTCCCGACACGTAGAGGAGGGATGCAAAAAACCGTGAGCTAAAATCTAATATTTTACCCGTGTATAATACACTATTTTTTCTGTGACAGGAAAAAGGACAGATAAATATTGAGAAGATATTACATTATATTAAAATCAGAAAATTATCGACGTGCAATTTGAAGTTTTTAACAGGAATGGCACCTGCGTTGCAAGCATCTTTTTGCAGGCATCTTCATCATTCTTTTGATCAAATATCGGTCAGTCTAATTTTTTGATTTGATTTTAAAAAATTTCGAATTCAGTGGTTATTGTGGATGCTGGAGACATTCCAGTATTTTCAATGGTCACAACACCACATACTATTGAAGAGGATATAACGGAATGCAAAATCCATAAAAACTAAAATTATTGCAGATATTAATGTCCAATAAAGAGCCCACTATACAGAGAAGTGCACAAAAAACGGCCAGGACTGTAACTTTTGAATTATTCGAGATAGGGTTTTGAAAATTGGTGGTTAGCTAGTATACCAAATTGCTCATCAATTGATGAAACAATTTTGCTTCTATCACTTTCAGTTTCACCGGAAACGACCCCAAATTTTGAGTTTTAAATGGGACACCCTGTATTGTATTCCATAATATGTCAAAGATTACCATGACGAAGTCAACGATACCGGGTTTGATAGGGTTATTTCAAACGATTACGCAGATATTCGCGTTCTAAGTTTACATATGCTCAATGAGTGTAACTTCGCAATATCAAAACTGATTTCTCTGTCGCACTCATTGAGCATATGTAAGCTTAGAACGCGAATATCTGCGTAATCGTTTGAAATAACCTTATGAAAATCCCTAACCGATTATAGAATACAATACAGGGTGTCCCATTTTGGAATCGTAAGTAGGGGTCGTTTCCGGTGAAACTGGAAGTGATAGAAAAAAATTGTTTCATCAATTAATGAGCAATTTGGAATACTAGCTGCCCACCTACCAATTGTCAAAACCCTATCTGGAATATTTCAAAAGTTACAGTCCTGGCGGTTTTTTGTGCACTTCTCTGTATGTGGATGATCCTTTCAATTTCCTTACCTGTAAGCAAGGTCTCCTGGTTCAGTATTCAGGTCACCAGCTAATACAACTAAGTCGGCATTTTGAGAAGTGAGCAAAATAAATTGAGCTGTATCATATGCTTGTAAGATTCGGTGAGCTTCGTATTCATCACTATTTCTATCATATTCAGCATGTAACTAGAAAATACATTATTATATTGCATTGACATCGATTTAGATATATGATGTAAGAAAGGAAGTCCAATATTTACACAACTTTGGTCTACAGTATGTGGACAATAATTTTGCCATTTTTCAATTCGCGGGAATCGATGTTACCAGGTGGCGCTCGGTTTTCATCGTTCCATGTCAAAGCCACGTCAAAACTGGGGGAAAACAAACTCAATCCTCACTCAATCCCAATAATCCCATTAGTGCCATTAGCTTGTGTACTGATAAGAGTGATAAGTTTTTAAATTTCTTGACATGAATTGTCAATATTAGATCGAAAAAGGTTAATAATGCCTGTTGTAGATGTTCTTTTGGTAGATATTTTGCTCTATTTAGATGGAAAAAGCCGAAAAATAGTGAAAGGAGAAGCAGTTCTCCGTGCTAATCATGTGATTTTGTGTGAGGCAGAAGACTTCAACAAAAGGCACATTTTTGCACTTCTACAAACTTCGGCGATGAAATCTTTCCCACATAAAATTGAAGTTGGGGTCCAGAGGAACTCCTGTAGAATAATGGATTTGTATTTGTTACTGCAAAGCAGGACAATCTTGGTATTGTAAACATGTTGTAGCTCATAATTAGTTTGAATTGTTTGAACTATCTCCAATTCTTCACCCGTTCACTGTTCACTAAACTAATAAAAATGTAATAATGTCAAAAATTAACGAACTCAACCATCATCACTACCAACAACACTTTATGTCATTGACAAGTTTGACTACAGCTACAGCAAGCTGAATGCGATGTAGTCTATGCACTTTATCCATGGACAACAGTTTGTTTTCCCCCAGTTTGAAGTTCGTATCATGTAACCTAGATGTCGCCCACTTCGTGAATCTCGCGAATACTGAGAAGTGTATTCTACTTATTTAGATGAATTTTGCCTACATTGAATTCATATTTGAAACCGATTTTCAGATTTTCAGGATATTCTACCAGTAAAATCTATCAAATATTCTTGAAAGTTGAAAACTACTTCATTCTCTCTGAACTAATGAGGGTTAACTTTATTGTCCACCAGATCGCGCTGCTGAAACGTGAGGTCAAAGTTGGTAGAACTGATGAATATACTTCTTTTCGTGTCATTTGGCCTCTTCATATGTCTGCTCAAGTATTTCCATAAGTTGAAGTTTTCTATTTGTTTAAATATTCTACATAATTTTTTCCTAATATTTTCGATAAAACCCACTACAGCCTTAAGGGCTACCCGGCAAAATTTTGGGATTTTTGACTTTGATATTGACCTCGCGTTTTAGAAACGCCAGCTAGTGGGACTGAAAATGTTAGCCTCCATTGGTGGGTACACACGGTGATAAAGTATATGTACAGTAATCTACTAGAATTAATACCGTTCTCACCACCCTACATGGACCATTCATTTTAATTCTTTTTCGACGACCTGTATTCAAAAAAAAAAATTGACAGATTTTTATGCGGTTTTCGATATCAGATGTGATATTTCATCGACTTCAAAAAGAGCTAGAACACTGTGGAAAAGTCCGCAGAATTAAACTAACACAGGGTGTAAAGTGGAACCATTTCACTATGGTCTACATTTGCGATGCTGCTGGAACTCAAAGAATTCTTTTCTGATTAAAAGTTAGTCATATCATTACGTTTTCGTGATTTCTCTTCAATGGGCGTGTACACCTTGGTAGAACTTTTAACTCAAGCCATGTTTATAATGATCCTTTCATACATAAATAATGATTGACGATATAATTCGATCGAAAAATTTACTGGAATGTTCAATTTTTGGACATAAATAATAGTACCATCTGAAAACGGACCCTCTTATGACGTAGAAACCTCATCTCGCCATAGTTAAAAGAAAATACCAAACGCCGGACGGAGACTGAGGCAACTGATATATTAATTCTTTCAACTGTGATCTCGCGCTAATTCACTCTGCCAGAAATCATGTATCATTCATCTCTGTCTGGAATAGTCCTGTTTCAGTATTGGGGTTTTGACGTCACATCATCGCCTCGTTTTCAAAGGTCCGAAAAATCGGGGATTTCAATAATTTTTTATAAAACGTAGGGAGCTCACAGCGATAAACGGTTTGCTGTGGTGAGCTAGTTTGGGTGAGTTCTCTCGAATTATGGAATAATAGTTATTTATTATACAAGGGAAAAAAGTAGTAACAATTTTTAAGATATTACATTATTTTGAAATCTCAAAATTATCGACATTCTTTTGAAGTAATCAAATATCTGATGTCATTTCTGTCAGTCTGATTCTGTGATTTGATTTCAAAAAATTGCTAATTTAGTGGTTGTTCAGTAATATACGTAACCGCGAAGTCGAATGGAAGATAAAAAGGACTTGCAGTTCTTTCTCGGAGACGGTATTAATTATAGACTCATTTTTCGGAACTATAGCACAACAAAAGCCATCAACAGTGTATATGTGATATATATCCGGGAAAAAAGTACTCACTTTTTTCCCACGAGAAAAAAGTAATTTATGAAAAGTGACATTTTATAACAGAGATGAAATGCCAAACTCTTTTCCCGTCACAGAAAAAACTTATTATTTTTGTTCCAACGGGGAATTGACGAGAAATCAGGAAAACGTCCCGAAATGAATTCCCAATATATCATAATATGACTGACTTGAAATCAAGAAATATTTCCTTGTGTTCTACCTTTCATTGAAGTCGATGAAATATCACATTGAATATCGAAAACCGCATGAAAATCCATCAATATCTATGAAAAAATATACAGGTCGTCGAAAATGGGTCAAATTATGAGAGGTCCATTCATTGTGTTGAGAACAAACTGTTGTATTTCTAGTAGTATTATTTCTCTAAAATGATTTCAAACAAATGAAAAAAGTTCAAAAAAGCAAAAGTTGCAGTGTCCCGAAATTGAGAAAGAAAATTGTGAAACAAATAAATGTTGTTTTATCCAAAATTCTATGCTAGAATAATATGCACATCATGAGCCTTCCCCATAATTCAATTATTTGAGCATATCACCTGAAAAGTATTAATAGGTACCTTGGTCTAATCAAGTTGTGGGGAAGTCAGGGTGTGTCATTCAATGATGAACCAAAACCATATTGGACTTACATGGGTAGAGTAAATGTTTATAACAAAACTATTCACTACTAATCTACATAGACCAACTCCTTTGCCTCCAAACCAGTCTCCATGATGTAATTTATGGATATATCCATTTAGCGACCATTGATGAAAAAAGGCTTCCTCAATAGGATGTTTTGAGAAAATGCATACCCCAGAGCCAGATACTCCACTGAAATAAATTCAACAGCTATAGTATATTATTGGACTGAATGGTCCGGCTCATAAAAGATGACCGGCGGAAAGAATGTGAGCCCAGAGCACAATATAAATGTTGACACACTGTCAATTGAAAAACAAAATCCCTAGCGCTCGCTACAAATGGTGGTACCAGTTCAAACGTGCAGTCGGTCATATCGTTCGTGACTTCATGAAAGCGACGTAATCTGCAAAACCGAATTGTTTAGGTACTCTGAACACAGCGTACTGAACGCCTTCATCATATCATCCTTATTTATTTATTTATTTTTATTTATTTATTTCTTACACTGTTCAACAGGTTGCCCAATTTACAGAACAGGAAAAAGAGGACAAAACAAAAACATGCATTGCATATTACAGAAGCATAATGGATAGACGAAACAATATGACAAAATGAAAATATCCTGACTAAGTATCTAGTTATTCACTGATGAAGGAGAAAAAAGATAAAAAGTTTTGATATGAGTTATTCCACAGCTGAACAGATCTATATTCCTAGCTACCAAGTTATATGTACTACACATCTTATAAAAAGGTGAATTTTTATATATGTTGGTTCGAGGAAACTCTAAGTAGAACGTATCACGATTTCTGGAAGATAATCTCGGGATAATGAAGTTCACTTTTTTCAACCAATCTGCACAGTCAATCAGAATGTTAACAACCTTATAAAGGATCAGGATAGAGAAGTATTGTCTTCTTACGGGCAGGCTCACGAATCGGAAAGTTTTTAGAAGCTCTCCATGAGGTGTACCAATTGGAGGGTATGTACCGCATGACCTGTAACTCAACAGTTTTAAAAACCGTCGTTGCAGACTTTCAAGACGATCAGTATTGTTCCGATAGTATGGGCTCCAAACAACCGATGCATATTCAATCTTCGAACGTATAAAACAGTAGTACAATTTCTTAAGAGTATCTATCTCTTTGAAATCACGACTGTTGCGTACTATGAACCCATATGATCATTAAACGATAAAGATTGATCAAATATAACGCCAAGATCTTTGAATGTTATAGGTCTCAGAAGAGAAATGTCACCAATTGAGTAATTGAAAACGATAGGGTCCGACTTCAATGTGAAGGACATGACATTACATTTGACAGGATTCAGTTCTAATCTGTTATTTTGACACCATTCTTCCACCCGACCCAGGTTGTCAGCGAGCTGTTGACAATCATTTATGTGATTCACGCACCTATATAATTTCAGGTCGTCCGCATATAGCAAAAAGTTCACGTCAATAACATTACCAATGTCGTTAATGAAAATGTTGAAAAGAAGTGGCCCCAGATTGGAGCCTTGTGGTACGCCAGATGTTGCAAGATATTCGATAGACTTGTAGCCGTTCAACTGGACATATTGTTTACGATTAGTGAGGTATGATTTGAATAGGTTTACTAGAGAGATAGATAAGCCAAATGCTTTCAGTTTATTTATCAAAATTCCGTGGTCAAGTCTGTCGAAGACTTTGGAGAAGTCGGTGTAGATGACGTCTGTTTGCGCACGATTGTTAATATTCTCAGAAATGTATTGAGTAACTGTTATCAGATTTGTAACCGTTGACCGACCTCTCATAAAACCATGTTGATGGGGAGAAATGATTTTGTTGATGCTATAGGACAGATTACGTTCCAGAAGAATTTCGAAAACTTTGCAAAAGTTGCATATAATCGAAATTGGTCTATGATTCACAAGGTTATTTTTATCACCCTTCTTATATATAGGACATACCTTTGATAGCTTCCAGCTTGTCGGAAAGTATTCAGATTTAAGACATATATTGATCAGAATTGATAAAGGTCGGGCAAGTGCTGAGGCGCAGTCTCTAATTACAAATGCTGGTATACAGTCTGGTCCTGCTGTTGATTTTGGTTTCAACAATTTGATATAGCGTCATAGACTTCCTTCTCACTGAATTCAGTTATAAGTATAAGGGGCAAACCGTCTTCACTACCATAATCGGGTGTGGAATCGTGCTGCGTTGACAGAGTGTAGGATTTACTGAACATGTCGGCAAACCCATTTAGAATTTCTGGAGGCTCTTGCAGCAATTTGTCGTCATATACCATTCTGCTGCTAATTTTTGATGAAGACTTACGAGAATTGATGAACTGCCAGAATTTGTTTGGATTGGAAGATATTTTAGTTTCGGACCTTTGCACATAGTTTTTGTACGACTCATTGATGTCGATTTTAACTTTCGCTCTCAATAGCCTAAACTCATCAAAAGATTGGATATCATTCTCTTTTTTAAAGTGGCGCCATAAAATGGATTTCCTGCGTAAGTCTTTTATGATACCAGCATCAAACCATGGCGGATATTTATTTTTATTCAGAAAGTTATACTTTGGAACACAACGATCAAAGATATTATACAGTTTTCCATAGAAGTAAGTGCAAGCATCCTCAGCATTGACAAATACTTCCAAAAATGTCCAGTCAATAGTTGACATTAACTCGTACATTAAAGCAAAATTTGCTTTTCGAAAGTTGTAACTATTTTGGAAAAATGAATCGAGGTTTTTTTCACACTGAGAATTGAGATTGAGCGAACAAGAGATATCAAGTGCCGGATGATGCTTGTCCTCCCTTACTACAGGGTCTAGAGATTTTTCCACCAAGCAAAAATGATTACAGAATACTAAGTCAAGGAGTTTATCAAGGTGATTGTATATGAAGTTGTTTTGAGAGATGTCGAAGAATTGAGAGAAGTTATTCAACAGTGATATTCGTGTATTAGTTCTATTAGTTCGGAGATAGGTCGCATAATCGGCTATGTTGAAGTCCCCCAACATCAGAGTTGTGCTATCATATAAAATCTGCAACGACTCAAGCGCTTCCAAAAACTGTTCAAATTCTGATAACGTTGTCCTATTCCTATTCAATATATAAAAGTAATTAGATACCAGAGTTATTCTTACTAAGATTACCTCAATGGACCTTAAATTCGGGAATGAATAATCAACTAAGTTAATGCAATTAGATATAATGTCTTCATGCACTCCAATAAGAACTCCACCGCCAGTGGATAAATTTGTTGATGAACTGTCACGATCCTCCCTTTCGTCCCCGGTCTTCTTTGGCGAGTCGAAATATATTATGGGTGTTCTCAAAGATGGAGCATTTTTTTGACAGGGTGTAAAACTCATCAAAATAGACAAAATCACAAAAAGTGGCCCGCATAAAAGTTGTAAATCAACGAAGTTCAATGACTTACTGATAGAAATAGCCCTGGTATATTATTTATCATTTCTGGTGATAGTGGCCTTACCACATTTCCATCTCTTTGTTTTTTTGAACACCCTGTCAAAAGACAGAACATTCTGAAAATTGGGATTCTTTGTTAATTGAACATTCTCTATCTATCTAAAATAGTTTCATCGATACAGTGTTGCCACTTCTATCAGAAACAACTAGCAACTTCGTATTTTGTAGCATTTTAGATTCTTCCTGAAGAGCTGATTCCATCAATGCATCACACTTGAGGTCTAGCAGGAATGATTACAGAGATATAGGGTGTTCAAAATCGAGATTTTTCAATATTAGTTTTTTTTTTGTGTTGAAACTATTCATTATCAAGAGTTCAAAGACTTACTGATAGAAATAGCCCTGGTATATTTATCATTTCGGGTGATAGTGGCCTTACCACATTTCCATCTCTTTGTTTCTTTGAACACCCTGTGTCACAACACTTTTGCCCCCAATTAACGAACATTCACGGTGTTGGATAATTTCTAATCGGAAACCGTTCCGTGTACAAACGAAATGCTGCTTCTGCACTTTGGCGACACTAACCATATATTTTTCTACTATGAAACATGATACAGGTATGCACAAAAAAGTTATGACTTTTCAAAACACTCAAAGGACAAGGACAACATAAAATTTGATATTGTCATTGAAAAATACCACTAGATACCAAACTTCATTCGAATATCACAATTATTTTGAAATTTATTAACAAAAAACAAAAATGAAAATTCAACTTTGACACTCTGTAGATCAGAAACGAATAACTTTTGGACAAATATTTATACCAACTTTTCTTCTTATTTTGACGTCAGCAGCATGCTCCTGAATTTTCTACACGCACTTAAGAAACACCCTGTATACAAGGTGTAACATAAGTACGTTTAAATATTCAAGGGAGGTATTCCTGAGACCATTTCAAGAAAAAAATGTCTACGCTGTCATTATTTATTTCAAATTGCCAGTAAACTTTTGGTACTTTTCATGGAAAAACCTTATTCCCACAATTTTCCAACTAAAAAAGGTACAGTTCCTCAACAACGCTGGAGGTGATCGTTTTGGAGATATTTACAATTTTCTATATCATTCTATGTTACTTAAGTCCTAGGGCGCTAAGTGCAGTTGCTGAGAGCTTTACAAAACTAAGTATATGGTAGGTCTTGTCAAAATTAACTAATTTTTTCCTATGAAATATTCATCGAAAAATGATTTGTTTTCTCTATTTCAACACCCTGTATCTCCAAAATGAAGCATTTCCGGACACAAGTTTATATAGACTTTTTTTCTTGAAATCGTCTCAGGAATATTTCACTTGAATATTTCAACGTACTTATGTTACCCCCTGTATATAAATGTATGCAGTTAGTAAAAGGTATTGAACCTCCTGAGGAACCTCCCAACATACAGAGTGATCCACGGTGGATGGTCTGTTAGAAGTATCTGGAGAACGAAAAGACAGAACATTCTGAAAATAGGGATTCTTTGATAATTGAACATTCTCTATCTGTCTAAAATAGTTTCATCGATACAGTGTTGCCACTTCTATCAGAAACAACTAGCAACTTCGTTATTTTAAATGAAGCACCCTGTATTTTGTTGCATTTCAGATTCTTCCTGAAGAGCTGATTCCATCAATGCATCACACTTGAGGTCTAGCAGGAATGATTACAGAGATATAGGGTGTTCAAAATCGAGATTTTTCAATTTTAGTTTTTTTTTTGTGTTGAAACTATTCATTATCCATCAAAACGGCTTACATGTCCCTATCTTAACTTTCCATTCACTATCTACCAACATTAAATCGGAACAGATAACAGATACAGGTTGATCAGAATTCTGAATCTTGAAGTACCCTGTATTTTTTCCAATTAAATTCCTGGATCTCGATTTTGAACACCCTATATCTCTGTAATCATTCCTGCTAGACCTCAAGTGTGATACATTGATGAAATCAGCTCTTCAGGAAGAATCTAAAAATGCAATGAAATACAGGGTGTTCCATTTGAAATAACGAAGTTGCCAGTTGTTTCTGATAGAAGTGGCAACACTGTATTGATGAAAATATTTTAGAGGGATAGAGAATGTTCAATTATCAAAGCTTCCCAATTTTCAGAGTGTTCTGTCTTTTCATTCTCCAGATACTTCTAATAGGCCATCCAGCGTGGATCAGCCTGTATATCTTTGCACTGGTTTATTTCAGGGGTTAATCTTGAAATTTGGTGTTCTCTTGTGAAACAATCCAAAGATTCATACAACGATCCATATGGATTTTACTGTACCACTAACAGTAATACCCAATTAAATTTCAATTTCAATAGGATATTTAGTTTGTGGCCCATTTGGCAAAAAACCTGCTTTTATTATCCTTGAGATAACTGACATCATTCAACTGACCATCATTTGAAGGTGCTGGCATGTCTATTTTTTACTAGCCACCTAGAGAAAAATATCATTGGAGCCTAAATCAGTATGACGGTGCTAATATGGTCCTAAGTTGGATTTGATTTGGGATTTGATCAGGAATAGTTAGTGAGATATTCAATCAAACATGTGGTATGTAATCCTAGGTTTGACAAGCTGAGCAAATCAACCTATAAGTAATAGTTTTGGAAAAAATCATCAAAATCTGATAGAATTCAGAAGAAAGCAACTTTTTTGAAACATGTTTGTATATAATATGTTCTGAGATATATTCAGATTCATTTTTATATATGTACAGTGTGTCCACCTTATGGACTTACCACCCCTGTAAAATCATTATTTTTTCACTAAAAATAATGATAGATTCTGAATCACAATCACTTGAAACATATTTTCATCATCATAAAACACAGTGTCAAAAAAATGTTTTTTTTTTAAATAGGTGATCAGAAAATGTAGTGTTAATTAAGCAATATTTTTGGATCACTTGAAATAATGATGGAAACAATGTACCAATTTTCATCATAATGACACAGGGTGTCTGAAAAATCAAATTACAATAATAGGAGTTGATGAAAGGTTACCTGTAAAAATAATGTGAATATGGTAGAACACCACTAACTCTATCCTTTATCAAAAAAAAGTCTCTGTCTATCCACACTTCCTGAAGACAAACTACATCATATTGATTGATGGCTAAGTACTCAGCAATAGCTTGCATTCGAACCTTTCTGTTCTTTGAAACAGCAAATAAGCCCCTGAAAATTTCAATTTGAATCTATAGATTCAACTAAACTAAGAATTTAACTAACAACTATGAACTTGAAGAGTTGAATACAAGGAAACATTTATGAGGGTTTATACATTTACATATATGTCATTTAAATCAAGAATTAAGAATTACAAAGTTGGCCAACTTTCAACAACAACCAGAATTATGAAATTCTGGAGACAAAACATGAATATGGATTTGTTATTGTATTGTGTTGTATTGAGAGTGGAATTTGGTGATATTTGATTGGAATATTTTTTATGGGTTCATGAATTGTGGAGACCAAAACCACTTTTTTACATCATTTTGATCATTAATCAAAGGACATTTCACATTTGATTCTCAATTTTAATATCAGATATGTAATCACGCTCATGATTAATAATTGTTGATAGATTCCTAATTGTTAATTTAGTTGAATATATTGCCATTGCCACACTGGTCCACTTCATTATAATGATGATTAATTTCTCACCAGCAGTTTAAAGTGAAAATGTTAAATTGGAGACTCATCATAACAGGATTAACAGGGATATCTTGGAATATGTTTATTTTTTGGTGGTTAAGGGCGCCGTACATTATGCATTAAACCTAAGATTTGCAAAAGCTTGTTCGCGTTCATAGTAGGTTTGTTCGCGTTCGAATGTTCGAAAAATAAACAGAGTCCGACACAATCAGAAGCATGCGCAGTTCTAAGGAACTTGAAAAATTCGTACTGTTCTGTGAAAGTGCGCATGCTCCGCATGGTTTCGGACTGTTTATATTTTGAACGCGAACAAGCCCAATATAAAATTGAATATAAACAGTCCTAAAACATCAGGAGCATGCGCAGTTTCACAGAAAAGTACGCATTTTTCAAGTTCCGTGGAACTGCGCATGCTTCTGATGGTTTTGGACTGTTTATTTTTCGAACGCGAACAAACCTAATGTGATGCAATGCAATTTTGAATCGAACAATGCGCAAGTTCAGTAAAATTATTAGTATCATCGTAGCATCTTGATGAAATGAAAATTTTCTCCATAACGTGGCCTGGAACACCAAATAACCTCAAAAAGCACATTGAAGGCTCAAAAACCTGAAAATAGTGAATATGAACAAGAAAATATGACAGAAATATCTCAATGTACGGCGACTCGCAATAAATTGAGTAAATTGCGAGAAAATTGCATTGTCACGTGACCATCTTTCCAAAAGTGCCTATCAGATGTGCACATCTTGTTCTGTGGATGGCTAATCTCTGACTTTACTAAATCCAATAGATCTTGAGGTTCATTCGATTTTAAAGGCCCTGTTCGTTCGTGTTTGCTCTACCAGCTAAACTTGATTTCTTTTCTTTGGGCAATGAGGGCTAGATATCTAGACTGTCTGACGGTATAACCTGTCAGATAGTCTAGATATCTAGCCGTCATTGCTCCTGGGAACAAAATCAACTTAAGCAACTTAAACGAACCGACCTATGTATATTATACTAGTTACCACTTAGTATCAGTCAATTAGGCTGCTTACCACTTAGTATCTGTCAATTAGGCTAGTTGACACTTAAGTATCTGTCAAGTATGCTAGTTACCACTTAGTATCTGTCAAGTAAGCTTACTTACTTAGTATCTGTCAATTAGGCTAGTTGAGAGTTATATCTGTCGAATTTAAAAAAAAATCACATGGCGCTTCTACACTTTCGTAATTTTTATAGGTTTGTGTATGAAGAACGTATTTGAAGGTTAGCATCACTGAGGCTATATTCCGAATTCAACTAATCTGTGTTCCGAAAAAATTCAGTGATGTAATATGGAACACGTTTTATGGTATCGGTAATCAGCAGCAGTTGAGGAATATTATTCTCAGCGTCAACTATTTCAATAACAGGCATTTTCTGATATTGGAAGTAATATTATTATTATTGATAAGACAATGCTCGATGTTAACAAAACAACGGAAATAAATGTATCATTCCTTCATCCTCTAAGATAATGACAGTTCACTGAAGCGTGTAGCCACACACATCTTTGATAGTCTTGCGATTTCAGCAGAATTTTGAGTCGAAATATTTGCTCACAAATCTCTGCCACTTTCAGTGAATTTTTTTTATTTCGGAATGAAAAAAAATCAGCAGATTCAGTACTGTCAGTTGAATTCGGAAGACAACTTCTTCGTAGTTTGTGTGGTGGCGTCGAAACGTCGTTACTCGTTGTCGTCTATGACAGTTCATGGTTTATGTTAAGTTTGTAGGTTATAAAAGTAGAGAAAAAGCTGAGCCGGTAAATTCAATTTTTTATAGAACCAGCTGTATGGCCTAACACTCAATTTGATATTCATTTCTTGTTACATTTAGGTAAGAGAATTATGATCATTTAATCATTTATATCAATCACTTTAACTCCACTATTTTTCATCCTCCTCCTCCTCTTCTAGTTATTATAAATCTACACAATTTAACTGATTTCTTTCATTTTTATTTATTGTAGACGAAAAAATATTCGAAAAAAATGAACACGTTAGTCGTACCTCCGTCTCCGAATTGGTATGAATCATCTATTCTAGCTTGTGCCCCAGACAATACTGTGATTTATGGAGCAAGAAATGACCTAGTCCTGATTGAAAATTCTGATGTTCCAAATCAGGCTTCCAAGGTTGACATTATTTCTAGGGCACATTCACAGAAGTAAGTTACCTATCATAATGATTGCAATAAAACTATCTACCTACCTGGAAATTCCTCAATTAAATCAAAAGCAAATAAAATCATGAAAATCTGCAAAATCCAAGACTGAAAATGTGAATTGTGTATATTGTGAATTTGTTCATCAAAATGCTATAGACTAGACCATTCTGAGTATTCAAGTAATAAATACATCAATATGTCAGTTCTTATCTGAAATTTCAGCATTGAAATTCTAATAAAAAATGTAAAAAAGAAGGAAATAAAAGTATGAATACTTCTGAGAAAACTATAACTTCACAACTTTTCATATTTCCTTTTTTTAAAGATATCATGCTCTAAGATTACAAGAAGGTGCAGCATTTTGGTCTAGGCAATTTTTTAGAGTGAGGGGCTTGGTGAGGGGTCAACAGAAATATTTCTTCAATCAAGTCTTCTATAATCAACAACTGATGGAATCTTACCTGATTACATTATTAGTAGCTTTTTTCCATTGACAATCAAATTACTGAGGAAATATCTTTGAAAAATGCAACACCCCAATTACATGTTTTGAAATTTGGCACCTTCAAACCAAGGGGTTAATAGCTCCACATGAAATACTTTGATAGTATTTCAAAGAATTTCACAACCATTTCACAGTATTCCACAGCAGTTCATAGTATTTCATAGCATTTCAAAGTATTCCATAGCATTTCAAAGTACTGATATGTCATTAAATGATTGATAAAGTTTCATCTTTTATAATGTTCAACATTTACTCATTTTATTTAACAACATTCATAAGCTGCTGATAAGTGTTGTCCCTATGGTGCACTGGCAGGAGTTGATTTTATGTTTAGAAGGCATTGATATGACATGAAAATAATGAAATTATTTGTTATCAAACCTGTCAAAAAAATGCCACTGTCTCCCCAACTAGTATGTAAATGGCAACAGAGCTAGAAAGACTGATTCAATAGCTTCTATGATAGAAATCTGAGATTTTTTTGCAGATTCTGATTTTTCTCAAATATGTTGGTATCATTCCTGAATTTGGATGCAATGCAATTGTATTATGGATATTATATGTATATATTTCATCTAGAAATGCTTGCAAGAGCTCCTCACCAGTAAGAGGTCTCTTGGCCATTCATCACACACTAAAAAAAAAAAAATGAATCTGATTAGGTTCATGTGCACTTTGATAGTCTGTGCATTTAACTCACATTGTCCACAAGACTACACAACAAAGGAATTTTGACAGCTGCTGCAATTGAAATGTCACCATGAAAAACTACCTAACAGAATTCTACAGTGAAATTATCTCAAATAATAATCATTTTATTGATTCTCACCTCACAACAATATTCTTCAGATGGCTGCAAGCTTTTTTTTTCAATAAATATACTTTTATGAAGAGTGTTCCTTTGAACTAGTTAGTTAGCCGTTCCTGAAATATTTTAAAAATGAAAATCACATTTCATTTCAATTTTTTTTCCCAGTCAATATTTTAGGAAGAAATTTGAAATTTTGCATAAGCAGGTGATCAATCATGCCAAAGAAGTCAGAGATTTGCCATGCAACTTTTCTTTCTCTTATGGGCGCCATATTTGTTTTTTATACCATTGAATGTATAACATTTTGACATTTTCACATGGAACAGTGGCAAACATTTCTGACAATCCCAACTTCTTTTTCATGATCAATAACCTGCTTATGCAAAATTTCAAATTTGAAATTATTACTTCAATATCAACATTATCAACCAAGAAAATGAATTGAAACGAGATCTTCTTTCTTCTTTCTTTCTTTCTTTCTTTCTTTCTTTCTTTCTTTCTTTCTTTCTTTCTTTCTTTCTTTTCTTTCTTTCTTTCTTCTCTTTCTTTCTTTCTTTCTTTCTTTCTTTCTTTCTTTCTTTCTTTCTTTCTTTCTCTTTCTTTCTTTCTTTCTTTCTTTCTTTCTTTCTTTCTTTCTTTCTTTCTTTCTTTCTTTCTTTCTTTCTTTCTTTCTTTCTTTCTTTCTTTCTTTCTTTCTTTCTTTCTTTTCTTTCTTTCTTCTTTCTTTCATTCTTTCTTCTTTCTTTCTTTCTTTCTTTCTTTCTTTCTTTCTTTCTTTCTTTCTTTCTTTCTTTCTTTCTTTCTTTCTTTCTTTCTTTCTTTCTTTCTTACTTTCTTACTTTCTTACTTTCTTACTTTCTTACTTTCTTACTTTCTTACTTTCTTACTTTCTTACTTACTTTCTTACTTTCTTACTTTCTTACTTTCTTACTTTCTTACTTTCTTACTTTCTTACTTTCTTACTTTCTTACTTTCTTACTTTCTTACTTTCTTACTTTCTTACTTTCTTACTTTCTTACTTTCTTACTTTCTTACTTTCTTACTTCTTACTTTCTTACTTTCTTACTTTCTTACTTTCTTACTTCTTACTTTCTTACTTTCTTACTTTCTTACTTTCTTACTTTCTTACTTTTCTTACTTTCTTACTCTTCTTACTTTCTTACTTTCTTACTTTCTTACTTTCTTACTTTCTTACTTTCTTACTTTCTTACTTTCTTACTTTCTTACTTTCTTACTTTCTTACTTTCTTACTTTCTTACTTTCTTTCTTTCTTTCTTTCTTTCTTTCTTTCTTTCTTTCTTACCCTTTAGGAAATACTAATATTGATCCTATTAAATCGGCGGAACCTGTATATTAGTTTTTTCACTACTTTTCCTCAATGTTATTCTGGTCAATTGTTCTTATTATTAACTAAATTTGCCTCACATTTAGGCTAGGCTCTGGAATTCATTGCCTGTGGAAGTATTCCCAACAACATATAATCTCCAAAAGTTCAAAAAAATTCCAATACCTACCTCCTGTCCCTATCCTCCCTAGGAACGCACGATGTTCTTTGAACATTATAGGGATTCCCTTTCGTGCGCTCCAAGCGACAAAAAAAACATTTGAAGTGAGACAAGCAAACATTTTTATCATTTTCGATCCGTCATTGGATTGGATCAACAAGTTTTCAATTTCAATTTATTTCCACATTCACTATATTTGACAATGTACAACACATTATACAGTAATGGAGTTGAATATACAGGGTGTCCGTTAAAAGGACGTCAATCCATCAACCATATATTCCTTGAACAAAAACAATATGAGTTTCTAAATACCATTTTTCATTTTAGCCCTCCATATTCGATATACTGGGTGTCAAAGTTGGAAACTGTTCTTCTTTAATTACTCGCGTATTTGAAATGATATCAATTTCAAAATCGGTACATCACTTCAGCACAAAGAGTTACATCGTGTGAGGAAAACAGAACAAAAAATAACTGTCAAATATTCAAAATACTGGGGGTCAAGTACACACTTACCCCCATATTTTTTTTGTAGGTGCGCTAATGATCTCCTATCTATTTTCCTTAGAATGTTCGATCATTTTTGAGTATTTTTTGTCTCTTGTAAAATTTCGATAAAACCATTTGTTTTTGAGATAATTCGAAAAGTACTGGTTATTGTTTGATGCCTATGCGGCTTACGGTAGTCTCATAATGTTCACATACTCCTATTATTTTGTCGAAATTAAAAGAGTACGAAAAGGTAAATATGGACATACCGGGTGCTCAGAGCGAATTTATTAAAATAATTTTTCAAAAAAAAAAATTGGCAGAAATTCAACACGTCTAAATGAATTGCTTGATATGACCCCCGATTTTTTGAATACACGTGCGAGCCCTTTTAATTAAAGAAAATCTTAGGCGTTTTCGGAAACTTACTCTGGGTTGTTGACTCGATCTGAACGGGTCACGTGATGGATCAGTCGGATCACTTATCCTAATACTATAGTTTACGAACTTATCAGGTTACTATTTTATTGAGTTAGCTTTATAACTCTTCGAATAGAACTTCTTGATTTCTTACAGCAATTTTTTCAGTTTGTTATACGATAGGTATCAATATTTTCGGATCAATTTCTCCATATCTTTAAAAACATACCACTAAACTCTTGAAAGATACACGTTGTTATTTTTCTAGAAATGATGAATATTGCTTCTGCTCATGATGTTGGTGTATTTTCATCATCAAAGTAATGCTATTCAACAGAAATCACTCCTTGTTCAATTGATGAAATCAAATAATATCTGAAGTGACCTTAAAAATACATGAATCGTGAGTAGTTCTTTGAGTGAGTAGTTCTAAGGTAGTAACTCTGGCTGACCCTGCTTTGGAGCAGGGTTGCGAAACATGAACCCGAGTTAGTGATCGAGTAAGTAACACCGAAGTTTCCGAACATGGGTATGCTACTCGGGTTAGGTAAACGAACGTGCAGGTTAGGGATCGAGTCAACCCGAGTAGGTTTCCGAAAACGCCTTTAGCCTTTGAAAAATATGTGGCTTAAACCGAGGCTTAAACAGAAGATCTTCCATACATCTCCAGACAATCCTGATCTGCTATCTCTTTCATCAAGTTGCTATTAAAATCATGTATATCATAATTTCACCTAAAATTTTCGAATTTTTTTTTCATTTTTCCAATTTTATTTCGCTCTGAGCACCCGGTATTTCCATATTTACCTTTTCGCACGTAAAAAGTTACGCCCTCTTCCAATTTCGACGAAATAAATAGGAGTATGTACCGTAAGCCGCATAGGCATCAAACAATAACCAGTACTTTTCGAATTATCTTAAAAACTAATGATTTTATCGAAATTTTACAAGAGACAAGAAATACTCGAAAATGATTGAACACTTGAAGAAAAATAAATTTTAAGTCATTAGCGCACGTACAAAAAAAAATGGGGGTAAGTGTGTACATGACCCCCAGTATTTTGAATGTTTGACAGTTATTTTCTGTTTTGTTTTCTTCACACGATGTAATCTTCGTGCTGAAGTAATGTACCAATTTTGAGATTGCTATCTCATTAAATACGCGAGTAATTAATTTAAAAAAAAAACAGTTTTCAATTTCCAACTTTGACACCCTGTATATCGAATATGGAAGGCTTAAAGGAAAAATGGAAATTAGAAACTCATATTGTTTTTGTTCAAGGAATATATGGTTAATGGATTGACCTCCAGCGGACACCCTGTACATATGCCAATCTCAAGTACTGTTGAAATTGAGTTTATGGTGGTTGAACATATCAGAATGCAATATGTTGTAAATAATTCCATATATCAAAACATCCTGTATGAATCTTCTTGAATCCAAAACCATTTCGAGAAAAATCGTTATCTTTCTTTTTATCGCCCTCAATAAAACAATTTCAAACATCCCTGTGAAACAGGGTGATCCCAAACTTTTCGAAAATAAATTACAAAAAGTACTGAAGTTGTACAATCTTGAAATGAATTGAAAACTGGTTGATCCAATCAATAGTTTTGACGGTTCGAAAATGACAGAAATTTCTGCTTGTTTCACTTCAAATGTGGGGCAGTATAGTTGAACACATAATGGCGCCTCCTTGAGCTAGTAGTGGAAAATAGTCATTTGTTTTACTAGGCAGAAAACTACAAGATTTAATGCAGCGGCTGGCGTTTCATAGCCGAGGCTAGGAAACCAGCCAATGCATTACATCTTCTTTTCTGCCATGTGAAACATAATTTTTTCTCCAAATTCTTTTTAATTTCATGCAAAGTCCAAATAATCCATCATTTTTTGTTCAGCCAAAGTCATTGTCAATTTTGATAACCAATTTGATTCAAACTACTTGGAACGTTGCATAGCAACAAACTTTTTCTGCCTAGGCAGTAAAAGTACACCTTTTCTGCCTGTTAAGTTTAATCAAAAATTCACTTTTAATGTCATTTGGAGAAAAATAACTATTATTGGTAATACCGTTGACTTATATCCTTCAGCCTATATAAATTCTGATTGTACCTATCTTATTCCAGAATATTGTCTGTGCATATAAATAAAAATTGGGGGAAACCAAATAAATTTGTTGTTTCTGTATCTGAAGACAAAATTATCAAGGTATGGAACGTAGAAACTCTGAAGAAACATGCTTCACACAATGAACATGTAAGTATGAAAAATTTCAATTCATAGAAAGTGAACTACAATAGAACTGTGTACAGTGTGATTCAAATTGGTTGTTTCCATATCTTAGTCAAATGGTTGGTTTGCTCAATAACTTTTCAAACTACATACACTTATCACTTTCAAATTGGCGAACATGTTCAAATTCATATGTGTGATATTGTTTTTTCCACGTCAAAATATCCAAGTAAGTACTTTAATAATTTTCTCAAAATGTAATTATCAGGTGTAAGTATTTTTAGGATGTCCTATTTTTTTATTCTGAAGGGTGTTTCAGAAAAAGGTGTCTCGGTTGCTAGGATATGTAGAACACTGCAAGATGAGTTGGGATTGCTTTGTATAAAATTTTCGTAACGGAACCCGTATTCAAGATACAAAGTTTTGAAGAACATATACACTCAGTTCCAAAAAAAGTGACGCACTTGATAGTTGACCTATCTTCTTAACAGAAAATAGTAGGCCGATTTTTATTTTTTTCATTTTTTGGTAGGTAATGCATTTGTCTTAGAAAAAAAATGAAGAGGTGACATTTTTTTCAAAGCCTCCTTGATGGTGGTGGAATAACTCGAACCATGATTTATTCTTAATTTTTGACTCACCCTGTGTGTTAATTGAGTAATGGCATAGAAAGTGCTTATACCCTATACGAAATAGGCTTCTTTTGCGAGCATTTTATTTTTTTATTCATTGATTTATCTCTAAAATTTTCCGAATTACAGCTTTTTTGCTGAATCCTTGCAGATTACCAACTTTCTGAATTTATCGAGAAACCATTTTCTAATGAAATAAACTGATACCAATAATTTTAAAAAACATTTTTATTAAACACAAAATTATAAGTTAGGATGACTGCTTAATACCGTGTATTTCCTCCTCTAGCAACTCTAAGAACTTCTAATCTACGAGGCATACTGGAAATTGAGTTGCTTATCGTTTCCATTGGTATACGATCCCATTCTTCCACTAACGCATCTGCCATTTCTACGAGACTTTCCAGAGACCTCTCGCGAGAACGTACCCTTCTCCCTTATTCATCCCACAAATGTTCTATAGGATTCATATCGGGGCTTCTCGCAGGCCATTGTAATGTGGTAATACCAGTAGCTTCTTAGAAGTTTTGCACTATTGCTGCGGTGTGTGGTCGGGCATCATCCTGCATCAATATAAAATTATTGCCCACTTACTCTGCATAAGGTAAGACATACTGCTCTAAAATGTCAATATAAATTTGGGCATTCATCGACTGCCTCACCGAAAAAACATGAAGGGGTGTCTTTCCATTCATTGAAATTGAAAGTAATTGATCGATTCCGTAAAATCCGCAATCTCAAGAAGCGATCATCTCTTGGAGAAGTTTTTCGGGGGCGACCAGAACCGACCCTCCGAGCGGTGCTTCCTGTTTGTTCGTACATGCGGATTGCTCTACGAGCAGTTGCTTCATGAACTCCCACTGCTCGAGCGGCGTAACGTTTACTACGCCCATCGTTTACTAACGCAACTAATCTTGCTACTTGTTCAGGATTTATTTGAGGCATTTTATGTAATTATAGTTAATAAAACAAGACACTTAATTGATGACAACGACAAATAGTCAAATATGGAGGCATACAACAAATTAGTTGCTATGGCAACGGCATTTGTTTTTTTGAAGAATGTTATCCTACCAGAGTACAACCCAATCAATTTTGAGTACTCTGATCCTTCAATAAATTTAATTTGTGGGATAAGCGTAAGGTATCAGCAAAAAAGCCTCTTTCTTATAGGGTGTAAGCACTTTGTATACCATTACTCAATTAACACACAGGGTGAGTCAAAAATTAAGAATAAATCATGGTTCGAGTTATTCCACCACCATCAAGGAGGCTTTGAAACAATTTCACCTCTTTATTTTTTTCTTAAAGACAAATGCATTACCTACCAACAAATAGAAAAAAATAAAAATCGGCCTACTATTTTTTTTTAAGATAGGTCAAATATCAAGTGCGTCACTTTTTTTGGAACTGAGTGTATTTTTTACTACATTATTACCTATTGGAGATACAGAAAAACTGAAAAAACATTTCCATGGCAATTTTTGATCAGATTTAGCGTGGGAATATTGATTTCTCTATGCAAGCGACATTTCGTATTCCTAGAATTATCATCAACGTATTTTTTTCAAATACGGTCCTGATTGTGTGTTCACAGATCATGAAAGATGAATAGGCGAGTGAACTAATTTTCTTTTATTTAAATAGAATCATCACTCAAATGCCTTTCAATTCCATATTTTTTAAGATTTTTTCGGTCGATTTTTAGGTGCTAAAATCATCAATAATGCCACGGTAATTTTCAAACGGCTAGAAATTTTTCGCCAGTAAAAACTGATGGCACGATTTCGTAAGTAGGGGCAGACCATAGCACAGTTGCCATGTGTTGAAATTCGATTGGGAACTTCAGAAATATTAGTTATTCAATAATTCATACATTCTCAATTAAGTATTGGTAATATTCCTAATTAGCAATGAAAATTCAATTGTCTCAAAATGTGTTGTCTGTCATATTCTGGTGCGAATTCAATTTTTAGTTAGTTACCAAGATAGTGACAGTGCAGTAAACACCTTTGGGGTCTGAGAAGCCCCACCTGTGTAACAAAGATATATATTTTATTCCAAGAGATACATGTAAATTCCCATAGGAAAATGGATCATTTCTTGTTTTTTTTCTTATACTACATGTTACTTTTCTAGCTGATGACTTTTTAATAATTATTTTTGCATGAAATCTTTCAGAATTGAGTGTTGTATATTTTTTAAACAGTTTTCAAAGATGTTTTTACCCGTGAGAATTTCGCCATCTATATGTCTTTCATGATATTTCATGAATTAAAGTTATTATAAAAAGTTTCTGTTTATAATCATGAAGTGAATACATCTAAAAACTCATTTCACATACAAATCTGGAAATATTACAATTGACTTTTTTTCCTCGAGTTTCTAATTATGGGGTACATCAGACCCCATCTGGGTGCGAATGTACCGATTTTCCATCTGGGTGACGCCGGGTTAATATCGTCGTATTTCTTATTGATCGATTCGAAAATTGAAACCACGAAATTATATTTACTCATATATTAATATGTTTATCTACTCCTATTGAATTATATATCAATGATTCAACTGCCTTTGTACAATTAATAGTATCTGTAAACAAACAGCGTGAGTTATAATAACTCTGGCTACTATAACTCACTATAATACTTATCATTCAAATTTCCATATGGGAAATATCACTCACAAAGAATAGCATTGATAAATTTGGAGCAATGGGAAAAGACATTGCCACATTTCTGAAATTACCAGACTGTAATTTTTATACAGGGCATTGTTTTCGCCGCTCGTCGGCAACTTTATTAATAGATGCCGTACGGCACTGAAACGTCATGACGGTTGGCGATCAACTAATGTGGCTGAGGGGTACGTTGATGATTCCGAAAAGAATAAGACAGATACTGCAAATAAAATATACAGTTCTATTACAGCTCAATCAGTTAGTACATCAACAACATATATGCAACAAACACAAAAAGAAACAATAAACTTCCATAATTCAGTTCCACATATTCAGTTTACTGGTTGTTCATACTTCACCAGTTAATTTTTTCAATAAACAAAATGAGTGATTAAATCTAAAATTTGTATTAAGTATATTAAGATTGTCAATAAAGTTCTTTCTCTGTACTTGTAACTTAGGATTTATTGTAATAGTCGTAAATAAAGTATAGTATTCAACTTGCGGTAATGGTCATAACTCACTTGATGAATTACAGCACTCGTCTGTGGCTCGTGCTGCAAACTTCATCTGCGTGAGTTATGACCTACATTACCGCTCGTTTAATAATATACTATTTTAATACTAGTCCTCGTGCAATCAGAAATAATTTTATTACGAGATCTTAAATGTGATTTGAAGATGTACCTAGATAGTATTAGTGTAGTGTATACGTCCTTATGTTTGTTTTGTTTTTGTATATGATGTAGGTCTGTTAGTATACAGTGTGACCCACTAAAATTTGCTGGAGCAAGAGATATACCAAAAATGCACTCTATGACCAAGTGAGGTCATCTTCAGTGATATACACTGCTCGCCAACAGCCATGGAACCAGCCCAATTTCCAGAAAATGATATTAGAGGAGTCAAAATAGATCGAAAATCACTTTTTTCAGTTCTGGAAAATTAAATTTTGTCGCAGTTTTCACGGAAGCACCCCCGTATCTTACGTAATTGACTTTATCTTTGGACTTTCCCTTCCTCCTGCAAATTTCAGAACCCTACCTCAATAATTAGGTGAGATACGGGGTTGTTTCCATGAGAAGTGAGACAAAAATGAATTTTTCTGAACTGAAAATTTTATAGGAAAACTATGAATAGTTAGTGAATTGGGCGTCCTGATTCCGAATCCGAAGTGATTTTCAACCTATTTTGACTCTTAATATCATTTTCCGAAATTTGGGGTGGTTCCATGGCTGTTGGCGAGCAGTGTATATCACTGAAGATGACCCCACTTGGTCATAGAGTGCATTTTTGCTATATCTCCCGCTCCAGCAAATTTTTCAGAATCCTTACCCAACGATTACGTTCGATACTGGGGTGTTTCCATTAGAAGTGGTTACACTGTATCTTGTTTTATTAGATATTTTAAATAAACATTCTTAGTCTGTAAGCTCCCTTACATGTAATTACCAAGTGTGTTTGTAAGTGAAAATAAATAAATAAATGAATAAATTATATATTTCAGCTTGCTCATAGTAAAGTGGTTGGCGCGAATTTCGCTGGTGACGATAGAATTATCAGTGTATCAGAAGATGGGGTCATAGTTGTTTGGAATGTAGGGGCTAACAAAACGATTGTGCTGAAAGACGTGTTCGGCTTCAAAGCTACTGTCACCTGCCTGTCCACTTGTCCTCACGCTCCATGGATGACGGCGTTCGGCTTGAAAAATGGCCTCGTACTTGTGACCGATTTAAGGAGTGAGTATGGGGACGGGACCACTACCCAATGAGCTGGTGAACTGATTTTTTTCATTTTTCATTCTTGAGCCTCACACTGATGCTTTCAGCTTCATTATTCCTGATTTTTATTTTGAATTTTTTGAGGTCTCAAATACTATCAATGAAGTCATGGGCGTCATTTAGGGGGGCAATTGCTCCCTGATCTACAAAAAATTCAATTTACGTTAGATTCTTCCTGTAACCACATAATATTTCATCATCAATATTAGTAGCGTTTTATTTGTTCCATTCTGGTAACGGTGGTGGGAACAGAATGACGTTTACAAATAAAACGAGGTTATATTTATAAATTGGGGCTCCGAGTAATTTCAAAATTATGATACTACAGTTATAAACCAAGAAAATGAATCAATGCATAGTTGCAGCAGTGATTGTGGTGATTGGAGAAAGTTCTCTGAGATCTAGAGAATGGGAAAGTTTCTTATTCTAAGGTTCTTATCTCACTGTGAAATTTGAAAAAAATAAATAAAAGAGGAACTTGGCTCCTCCACCATTCCTATGATGTACTTGCTGAAAATCCACATTCACACAGAGTTAAAATACGATTCCGTGCCAGTACGACGTTGCCGACATCATCAATATGTCTAGATTTCCGGAAATTGTTCTTTGAATGCATAATAACTATAACATAACAGCAATGGGATATAAGAAGTTCTTCAATCCTACTTTGTCAAGTATTATAAATAATTCCCATAAATCTCTCATTGGCTGAATGAAGTTGATTACTGATAAAGATAAATTATGAAATTTTGCGATAGTATTTGTTTCACTATCGTTATATTACAATATGTTATCCATAACTTGTCAGTCATTTTTTTGCTAATGAATTCGTTCCTTAATAAAACGGATCTATTTTCTAGGAAAGTTGCCGATTATATCTTGCAACAGCGCCAAATACTTCGAGTCCGTCCACACCACTCAAAATACTGACAGGCACAAAAAGTGGAAGGAGCCAGGGGTGTAGGCTTAATTCTGATCTGACCGATGACAGTAAATTAGGCAGGATATTATCATTGAATGTAGCCGATAGTGATTCATTGATTCAATGATATTTTCGTTTAGGATCCAGCTCTATTCGAGATATTTCAATGCACAAATAACAAAACCATAATCTGTCAGAATGAAGCCAACTACCCTCTGCATTCCTGCTCCGAGTGCGTTTGTGGTTATGTATGTTTTTGTTTACCAGTTTTACTTCTATTTTTTTCATTCGTTAGCTATTCGCTAGCTATATTCTTCACCATAAGCTATTTTCAGACTAGATTCAGAATTTACGTCACAGTTTGCTGCCCCGAAAATCAGAAATTGTTTCAATTTGAAAATGAAAACGACTTGGACTTTATCGGTCGCCATTCTGTACAGCGTGAACATAAAACTGGAGAGTTCCGAACTTATATTACGAAAATTCATCTGAAGGAAACTTTGCCATTCATTTTATCTGGGAATAAAGATCATGATAAAAATGTCTTCTAAATGTATTATACTTTCGAAAAGTTTCGTCTCGTTCATTCAGTACACGTCATTTCTTATAGTGAGACCTGTGAGACGGAATGAAAAGGAGTAACCGGAATCGGAATGACACATTATAGGGATTCCCTTTCGTGCGCTTCAAGCGATAAAAAAAATGAAAAAAATAAAACGCAACTAATGTATCAGTTCATGAATTGAAAAAAAAATTATTTCAAAATTGTTGATCATTCATTATAATAGTAGCCAGGTATCATACATGAAGTATAGTTGAGTAAGGAAGCAAATTTTCCTAAAATGTAAAAATTACAATAGACTGATGATTAACTTATTTCCTGTTATGAGTGATAGTTGCTGATTTGGAAACAATGCAAAATTTTTAGTGAATCTGGGAATCTCTTAATTCTTTTCCTAATTGAAAAAATGTGTCAGCATTCTTTGGATCCTAAAAATTTAGGGGACATCCACCAGCTCGGGTAACCTACAAACAGTATCCAAGATACATTTGACCTTTGAATCTCAAAAAAATATTCGTCTGCTGCGAATTTTTACTGTACGATATTTTTTTCTGTGGTTTATTGACTCCCTTCCCGATATACACTGAATAATGGAGTTTTTGTCACTCTAAAAGAAATCTAATTTTCAATTTGAAGGCATTTGACCTTGAACTCCAAATGAATTTCGTCTGCGGCGCAATTTCACACTGCAAAAATTATTTCTGGCTTTCCTGACCCCCCCCCCTGTTATTCACTGAAATGACGCCCGTGGATAAAGTCACAGTAAGTGTTGCCATTTTATCGGTTTTGTCGCAATGCCAAAAGCCAATGCAGCATTTGAATTCGGATTGCGGTTTGATTGTTTGAAGATATTTCCACTGTCCTACTATTAGTAGGAGAGCCGGCTGCAAATTTCGACCGTCATCTGATAACAAAATGTTATATGTTGCAGTGGCGGCTCGTGACTTTCATGACAGAGGAGGCTGAATGATATGAGATTTATTGTGAAAAACAACTCTCTACTCCCCCAAATCAATAGCTTTAATGACATTCTGTTTACCAGTTAAACCTGAACTTAATACTTGAAGAGATGTGTTCCTATGTGATTCGCAGTGTCTATCCAATCCGCGAGCCAAATTTTTCAAATCATTATATCCTAATCGCCCCCAACATGATGACATCGGTTGAAAATAATACGCAGTACCAACAAAATAGCTTATTCCTTACCTCAGATCCCGTCAGCCAGATATATTTTTTATAATTATCAGAATTGAACGAACGATTTTGTTTGTTACCTGTTACAATCAGATTATTTAATTCCGGTGTCGGACGTTTGTTTTTCACAATCAATTTATCTTCATAAGACAAAGCACTGAATGGGTTCACCAAAAAGTATTCCACTAAATTGCAATCGTTTAAAACACTCATTTTTCAGAAGTTTATAGAGCCCCTAACCATTAACCCAACATAAACATAAACAATGCCCGCAATTCGCGACGCGACACGACAAACTCGTGCTATTCGGGCGTATTCGGGCATCTGCATTGCGCGAGTGGGTTGCGCTCAAGGTTGCGCTTGCGCATTGTGAAGGAGTCTAGCCTCCTATTGATGTTGCCAAGTTGAATATTTTACGCGTTATTTGCAGACTTCAACGTGTGATGCGTGGGCAAGCACTGTTGCCAATTCAAAAATATTTACCTATAAACAGGAAATAAAATCTAAATCCATGTATTTTGGTGTCCTTTTAATGAGAAAGTATAGATAATATCAGTTCAAGGAAAATCTCTGAGGAGGCTCAGCCTCCGTTGCCTCCTCTGAGGAGCCGCCACTGATATGTTGTTTATTTTATCGAACGGCACCTGTGCCAATCACTATCCCGAACAAAATGATTGAAAAATAGCACTTCCCCATATTGAATGGTACGTCTCAAAACCTTACCTGTGCAACCCCTTAATGTGTCAAATCCACGGCACAGCGATTTATTTGCTGCCTTTATTCCGCACATACTTCACTCATGTGGTAACGAATTTGAACAAGCAAATAAAAGGGAATATCCAAATGTGCCGTGATTATTTTATATTCTGGTTCCCATGCAAAGGAATATCCTGTAATGTTCAGAGAACATCGTGAGAACCAAGGGAAATAAGATAGGAATTGGTGTTCTTCTTGAATTTCTGGAGGTTATATGCCTCGGGGAACACCTCCCTTGGCAATGTGTTCCAGAGCCTCGCTGTTCCTTGCATGAACGAGTCTTTGGAAAGAGATGTTCTGCAGATCTCCAAAGCGACCACGAAGGGGTGCAAAGCCTCAACTCGACAGGTTAATCTCGCGGGGACTGCCAAGGGAGGAACAATTGTTGATATTTCAGAAGAGCATCGTCCATGGAAATACGGTGTTCCAGAGAAGTGAGTGAGTTTGTGAGCGAGGCATCACCCACGAGACTGATTTAAGTTAGTGGCAGAGCGCAAATAATTCCGAGAGTATTTCGCCCAGTTATTACATACCAAGTGATCCAAAATAGTGTTGCATTATCGAAAAAGTATAGGAGCTCCCACATTCCCCAGGAAATTTTCCATCCTTCTGCAAATCATATTTCTCAAATCTTCAAGTCAATATCTCAAAATGATTTTGCAGTATTCGATCTACCTAATACAGGTTGTAAAATATCGATGTTTCTCAATTTTCTGTGTTTTTTTTTCGCATTTCTGCAGATCTGAAAAAGTTGAGTCGCCATTCAAACCATACTGCACTGTAATATAATCAAAATCATTCCTGGAGAAAGTATCCAGCTGGCTTCAAGAAGAGCACACATTTCTACACCACAAAAAGCGTTTTTCCAAAAATGTGGGAGATTTTGTGAAATCGTCAGTATATATTGCTGCTGCTACAATCTTGAGCCTATGAAATTATGCATCCTTCATTCAGATAGATTGCCCAAGTCAACATCTCGGAACAATTTCATGGTTTTCTAAAATCTAGATAAGTCAATTCCAGGGGCCACAAAGATGCACTTTTGGATTATTCAGTACTATATGTAAAATATTGAAGTTGGTATGAAAATGAAAAACAACTATAATCTATAGTGCACGTTTCCTTTATCACTTGGAAAACTAATCCGTGAAAAGACGATTCTAAGCAAGTGATCTTATTAAAAAAATGAACGTACCAAAAATTTGATCATGTTATAACAAGTAGATCGGTAACGAATGAAGATGATACTGTTCCTACTATACCATGCAACTATTCAGCGAAGTATATTTCATAAAGGGACGATAATTGATAACAGACATGCAATAAAAAATGAAATATATTGGATCAGTGGCGTGGAGAATATAGAGAAAAAAGTTACAACAACTCTCTGTAGCGCGTCGTCACTGGTAGAAGGTATCTTCAAAAATTGAGGTTTATTGAATGAGAAAAATTTAGTCATTTTCGAAATATTTTTATATTTCAACTTCAACACCCTGTATCTTTAAAACCAACCACTTGAGGGACTTATATTTTTATCCAACTCTTCAATGTTTGGGATCACACGTGAAAAGGACTCCCGTCATTCCTTACTCACACAAGTCTCTTGAAGACTTTTGAGGGTTGCTCGTGAGGGGGCAACCGAATTATGGATAAGAACAATTTTAAGACCAACAATTTTTAATCAAATCACGAGAGCTATCACCTATGTCAATCGAATTTCGCAATACTCTGTTTATATGGACTGTGATTTCTGGTTAGATTATACATGAACATTGAGATTATTGGCTTTTGGCTTCAAAAATGTCCTTTTGTGACCAATTGAAATTGAGGAATAAAATTCAACACACTGTGTCTCAATACGAGCTTCTGAATGGCCTTCCAAAGAACACGCCCTACCCTGTAAACGTAGTATGATAATTTGATTGGTTCCAACATGTACCATTATTCATTCCAGGAAATGGAACTCTATTGCACAGGCTAAGAGGTCATGATAAGCCTGTGCTCTCTTTATCTTGGTGTCCAGCACCAATCAATATATTCCCAACGAATCCTCGTAATTGTGTTGGAATAAAAAAGGAAACTCTTGATTCGAATGATAAAAGTCATTTGCCCGCAGAAAATGAATCTTCTGCTGTAAAAGATAGTAATGACCAAAACGGTTCAGAGTCTAGGGACGATAACACTGCAAAAAATGACACTCATCCTTTACTCAAAGTATACGATTCTAACGACGAAGATTCTTCTCAAGTATTTCAAGATCTCAAAGATAAAATACTTGGTAACAGCAGCCCTGAGGACGTTGAATCAGAAACTGATGTAAAAAATGTTTTAATTTCAAGAGATGGAGAATTAAAATTGGAAGATGAGAATGCTCCACTCACGGTGGCTGACTCTATATTGAATGGAAGTGAATATAAACTCAATGATTTTTTGAAGGAATGTCAGGATCTCGAGAGTAAAATCAAGGAAATTAGAGATGAAAGTGATATTCTGTTAAGTTCCACTTCAAAATACACAAATCCTTTCAAAATTCTCTGCAGTGACATTCCCATTGAAAAAATGAGTGATGCAGTGAACACAATAGAGGATTTGAACATCAAAACGGATGGCATCTCTTCAGAACCTTGTGAGAAACTCGAACTTCCAGTTGAAGAAAAAGGAGAAATTACCGAAAATATTAGTAGTGCTGTACAATCTAGCGAGCATCAAATTATCAGCACATCAGCTAATACAAATGACACTGAAGAATCTCAAACTGTTGATCAGGACCAGGATGAAGTAGAATCAGCTCCTGTTATTGAAGTTATTGACAAACAGTCTACTGAACTGAGAACTGATGAAACCAAAGTTGATGTTGAAACTAAAACTGATGAACAACGGTGCGTAGATGATAGCCCAGCAATACATGATGAAAAAACAGTTAATGGCATGAAAACATGTGAAGAAGTAGGTCGAAAAATAACCACAAAAGAAATAGAAGAAGAACAACCAAGGAAAGAGTATTTATTGGCTTCTGCGGCAAGAGAAGGGTGAGCATTTTTCATATTATATTACTATTTTCTTCACAATATATACTATTGAATAATGAAGATGCTTGTGTGATCAAATTTATTTCAAGTGCATACTAAAATGTTGAATATTTTAATTTTCATTCACTCTACTGGAAATTACACTCGATATTTTTGAAGTAATATGGGGATAATCAATATATATGCAACTTCATAAGGAACATTTTTTATATATTTAATATATTTTTAGATTCCTTTTCCAAACCTAATTTTTGGATTTTCCAATATTCAAGTTTTAACTTCAATTTAGAAGGATATTTGGCAGGGATGACAAAAACTTTTTTAGTCTTTAAATTTTCTGATCGAGATACAATAGTAATATGGTCTTTACATGATCTGAATCATGCTGTATACAAATGAATTGAATAATTCACACAACCAGGACTATCTCCATAGGGGAAGTTCCAGACCAATCAGAACGATTCTTGCTATGGTGGCTAATTCGAATTTCTGTATCCTTAACATTTACAATTACTATGGTGTATACATCTAATATTTCTTGTTGGGTGAGGATATCAATGAATGTGATAGGTTGAAACTATTTCCACTGAGTATACTACAAAAAACGTTGAAATATTAAGGAAGAATACCATCATATTCTTAGTGCAAAAAGTTTTTTAAAGTGAAAATCCGTTATGGACCTCCATAAATGATGTTTTTATTAATTGATGTTGAATTTACCATTTCCATAATCAGATTTCAGGAGTGAATACCATGTTCTGTTTATATCATGGTCATTATCATGAACCAGGGCATTTCATGGAACCTGTTTTACATCGATGAAATGAAGAGTTGTGTAGTGTAGAAATGTCAATGATTCGAATCAACCGCCTTAGCTAAAATCGGTCTGACTGGTCTTAAAACGAGTCTGCCCCGAAAGTCCTGGTTCTGCGAGTTCTTGCAGTTTGAATCCGTTCTATATTCTAGGAATATTTATATCTGGAGAGCTGGATCGGATGGAAGAATGCAGAATTTCATGTGTGTTCCCAACATTAATAAGTCCAGTCATCGAAGATCCTCCTCCTCTTTTGACAAGATATGGATAACTCTATGTTGGGCTTCACCCACCACACTGCTATCTTCATCGAGATCCTCTGAACTGCTACAGTGGCCTCTTCCAAAACCCATGGAGTAAGAGCAAAATTACCATGCAATTGACCATGTTTTTCTACATTTCTTCCGTTTTTTAGCAAATCTAAACAAATGAGTCTAGTTCACAAAGACCACAACACGTTGTTGTTCTCCATAGCGGCTCCTGTCTCTTACTCCGACGAATTCAATTGGTTGGAAAAGAGACAAATGAACGCGTGGACCTTGGGACAGGACCGTTTGTTGTTGAACACGAGCCTGTGTAACGAAAAAACGAATTTGGCTTGCTATCCTACGTTCGGGGGCTCCGTACATTGCCTGCAGCTGTCACCCGTCGATCCGAATAGGTGAGTGGGGTGTGCTCAAGAAATCTAAAATGTTTTTGCTAGGATTTTTACAGAATGTAACATAAGTATGTTGAAATATTCAAATGTAATAGTATAGTATGACAATTTGAGAAAAAAGTCTATATAAACTTGTGTCCTGAAATGCTTCGTTCTGAGATACAAGTGTTGAAATTGATATATTCCTTGTTTTTATTTCAATTTATTTTGCAACTAATAGGTATTTACGTACCCAGCAAATATTTTGATATGGGGCATCAATGGCCTAATATATTTTCCCCATACCTGACATCAGCGGCCCAGTAAATTGTTCCATATGCAGGAATCTATATATCAGGCCGGCAGCTGGCCCCAGTGCTGGGTACCCAGCAATCATATTCAGTTCCCCGGCAAGAGGTCAGTACAACATAATCGACACATTGAGTTTCCCATAGCAAGCCCAGTATACATAAATGATGGGACTGTAATGGCCAATTAACGTCATTGCTTACATACTATCGAGGTAGGGGAGGGGTAGGGGTTTTAGGGGTCCAATGGATCTGAAAGTACTAGTACTTCTTTATTTCACAAGATAACCCTCTCATCCTGAATCAGAAACATACCAGATTTCAAGAAAACAATTTCATGAATGACACAATGATATCTTCTTAACCTCTCTGTTCTTCAACGATGAAACTCCTCGGAGTGACTGCTTACTGGTTGGTATGTGGTATCTACATCTTATTGGGTAGCATTCCTTCAAAGTTGATTCTTCGTTGTGAGGTACTTCTGAGATATAAAATGCATCTTTTGTTATATATTAGTGGCCTATGAGTTGCATGAGTTTATAACTTGATAATATAGTCTGATGACGTGATAACATATGGAGCTTTTCAATTCTCATTATTTTGATTGCTCTTGATAGCAACGAACGAGTTAAAAGTGATAGTTGCTTTTGGAAAAGTAAATCCAACTCCAATTATTATGATCATTAGGTATATGAGGTTACGAGATACCAAACACATGCATTTGATAATGGAATTCTGAACACTATTTGTAGGTAGATTGATACTTACTCAATATTATCATAATTGAAGAATCCGTCTTCTATCATTATCCATTGAGAATACTCCTGCCATCATAAATAACCACCAGGAAAAGAGGGGACCACATTAATTCGACAAAAACAAACTATAGTACGCGATCACCACTCACGAGAGTCAGCCACCTTAGTCACATATAATATTGATGTTGATGTAGACGTTTCCAGAACATCCACCAGGGGGACGAGTAGCGAACATGACATTGGCCAGCAAATGGCCATATCTCATTAGTATGTAATTAGTTCCAGACATCATACAATCACAAGGTCATCATAGTATTTTCAACTGATGGTTACTTGGCATAGGAAAATCATCGGCCCATTACTAATACCCCGGCATCGTCACTTTCCTAGACTAGCCTGCAATAGGCGGGACTTCTCCCGCTAGTTCAATGTTTGCTGGGTAACCAGTTAGAAAACGTGTCACAGCCACAGAGTTACACTAAAGGTGTCTACTAACTAGTTACGTATAATATTTACGGGTTATGAACAAAATTTAGTTGGGATGTTGCCTTCGCCGTTCTCTCAAGTATCCGCCAAACAATAATATGGTCAGTAATCAGCGACAAAATTCAAGAAATAAACTCCTTTGATATTTTCATTAGTGGAAAATGGCTGATTGAGTTCAGGTGTCCCAAGTGATATGGAAGAAGCAGCAAAAATTGCACTATTCTCTTCATCCATATTTTTATTTCGAAACTTGTGTTGAAATGAACATTTTCCGTCGACCTCGTATTAACGACTAAGTTTAATGTATATGAAATCGTTCATTAATGACCCCTATTAATGGACGATTTGTCTATTAATGCACGATTGTTTTATAGGCAACCAAACATACACCGCGTGCATTCATTGTTTTTGCTATAACTAGCGGAATCTGCATTTAAATCGAAAATATGGATTTCATCGACGATTTTCCGTAAACGGGTTCGCCTTTTCAAGTTTCTGACACGATTTTAATCCCTGTTTTCTAACACAAGGAATTTATTTCCAATGTTGATCGTTTCGACAAATGTCAAATGACACTAATGTCAGTAACAAGGCTACTGGGTGATTCTCAGCAGTTTCCGGATGGATGATGAATTCGCGAACCAAGTTTTCTTCATTGCAGGAGAAATGAGAAATATAGTCGACGGAAAAATTTTGTAACCAACTTGTATATTAAAAGGCGATTAATGATCTCGAACATTAACGCACTCGCTTCGCTCGCACGTTAAAATATCTCGATCATTAATCGCCCTCATTAATACACTAGTTGGTTAAATAACTATTAATCACCAGTTATGTAATATTTTACTTTGCGCAACTGGTTACACAAAGTAAGACGTTTCAAAACTTTCGTCAGTTTTGAATAGTAGTATCATGGTAACGTAGGAAACTGGAAAAAAGTGTCACTTCGCAATTTTTTGACGTTTGTAGAAAAAGTAAATTTTTATGTTTAATATGAGTGGATGGAGCTCCAGCTTTGTACATAGCTTTTGCTTTTTTGTGGGTAGTATATTATTATATCAATGATATTGAAAATTTATGGGCTCCATTAATGGCTAGGAAGGTTAATGTTCTTTTCTTGTTAAGTGTTGAATCATATGTGTATAAGAAAAACAAATGAAAATGATATCAATGCACAGAAAAGCGAATTTTCAAACTTTCTCCCTATTTTATCCGGCTTAATTTTAGGAAATCGGATCAATCAATATTTTTTTTATGATTATCAGATTAGCCATTGGGTCTGCCGATGGGTTCATCAGAATTTTGGATTTGAGCCGGCCTCACGTCAAACAAATAATAATGACAACATTCTATCAAAAAATACAAAGCAGAGTAGAATCTCTGGCCTGGCATCCTGAGAATGAGTTGCTCTTGGCATTCGGCACATCAGAAGGACGGGTAAGTGTTTAGCCTAAAATCTCATCAATTTTTTCGGTGAATAATCATTATATCAAAATACGTGGTGTTTGAAGATTGCTCATTATAAAGGGCACAGAACTCACAAATAGGATATAATCAGTGGATATAGTAGACCACAATAATTGAACACCTTGTTTAATTAAACGCTGCGGCAAGAGACACGTTGATGTGCATGTAATTTATTTTTTGCAGACACGTACATGACGTCACTCTTCAGCGAATGATGAATCAGGTCTTTTCAATCAATTCAATACGATATTTTTTTATATAGAACAATATTCTGGATGTAATTTCAGTCCATGATAGGCAAGGGGACATTTTTTTCTCTTAACTTATGCACATACAGAGTGACCCATTTGAAAGCGGGCCACCCCTGTATCTCACGAAATCGTTGGGTTAGGATCATGAAATTTGCTGGAGCGAGAGATATACCAAAAATGCACTCTATGACCAAGTGGGGTCATATTCAGAGATATACACTGCTCGCCAAAAGCCATGGAACCACCCCAATTTCCGGAAAATGATATTAGGAGTCAAAATAGGTTGAAAATCACTTCGGATTCGGAATCAGGACGCCCAATTTACTAACTCTTCATATTTTTCCTTGAAAATTTTCAGTTCTGGAAAATTAGATTTTGTCGCACTTTTCACGGAAGTACCCCCGTATCTCAAGTATATTCATCAGTTCAACCAACTCTGACCTCTCGTTTCAGTGACGCCATTTGGTAGACAATAAATAATTGCCAATTTTTCTCGAAGTTAACCTCACAAACCTGGTCAACATTAAGTTAACTAGTCAATTTTCCTCGAAGTCTATTCCAAACTATGACGTGATACTTAACCAATCACACAAACCATTGATTGGTCATTGAATTGGTATCTCACTCTTGGTATTGAGGAATCTGAGGATATAATAATTGATAAAATATATACCCTTTTTAATAAGATAATTATGGATTCCTACGAAGTATTTGTGAATGGAAATTCTCACCATATTATTGACGAAAAAGAAATCATTGATTTATTGAAAATAGGTAAGTAGCTAGTTGATGAAATTTCCTTGGATTTGAAGTAGGTCGGTGAGTAGGTACCTAATATCTATCTATACTTCATGGTATATTTTTGTTACAAATGATGCATTTCTTATTTTCCAATAAATAAATAACAACAGCTGATAAAATGACATCTGTAAAGCTCCACAAGTAAACCGTGACGTCATGATGAAGTTCACCTGGTTTGGTTAGGTTAGGGTATTTTAGGTTAGGTTCGATGAAAAACGAATAATATTAGCCCTCAATGCATATAGCGGTTTTCGCGTGTTGTGTACGTGCACGGATGAAATATTTTGCGTGCACATCAACGTACCTATAGTCACTTGGTTAATTAAATGTAATAATTTTACTTGTAAAGCTGAACATATAATTTCATTATCAAATACAATAATTTTATTTCTATTTTAAATTACTGAACCAGTAAAAAAATATTGACAAACCGGTATAATCTTCGTATATAGAGATGAAAACATAGAATAGTAGGCCAATGTCTAATAGGTTTAATCGTTTAATCAATCAATATTGAACCAATAGGCAAGAACACAAATGCGTGAATTCAAGTCAATATATGCGCAGGACCTCAGGATGTGAAAGCTTGTCCAAAAATATGAAAAGTTTCTATCAACTTAACCTCTAAAACGCACCATTTTCGAGATACAGGATGTTGAAATTGGTAAAAAAATTGTTTTCTCCAATATCTCTGGAGCCGTTTATCGCAAAGGAAACAGGTTTTGTGAGCATTGTCTTCTCATAATAGGTTATGTTTTGTGCGAATTTTTTCAAAGTCATAATTGGTGAAGATTTTGAAAGGATAGTGACTGTTTTGCTCCCCAACTTCAACGCTACTGGAAAAAGTACAGTTACAAAAAAGTACTCTTGATCATAAGCTCTAAAGTTTTTGAGAAAAATCAAATGTTATGTTGTGTACTTACTAAGTAACTAAGTAACTTAACATGAATGCGTAAATTTTTTTGATAAAATATGCTGTAATAAATCATCATTTGAATACCCTACAATTTCATGGAACGTTCAAACATAGCGTTCGGCGGCAAACTCATCAATCCAATACTGACATCATAATCCTGTTTCCTGTGTTGCCAGCTGTTTTATTTCAAGGAAATATCAAGTGTATATATCTCAATTTCCGAATTGATCCAACTGTCGAGATGATTCGCTAATTTTTGTTGAAGTAAATGTCACCAATATAGATATTAAATCCAGTAGGTTGTAACACATTGTAGGTTCAATCAGCAACAACAAAAATCGGTCTAATCCTCCATGAGCAAGAACAAAAATGCGTGAATTTAATATAATGGCCATATAATTGAAATATAGTAGTAATATATCATGAATGCATCATTTATTTTTATTAAATATGTTGTAATACTTAAAAACACCATTTGTATAGCCTACAATTTCATGGAACGTTCAACAATAGCGTTCGGCATCAAACTCTTCTATACAGAAACACAGTTTAATCCTGAAGAACCAGTTATCTCTCATGCAGTAATGACTTTGCACCTGATGTTAGGTTGGATATTTTGAGACTTAGGAGTCCCAAAATACGTATTCTAATAGTTAATTTCCAAGGTACCGACGTATAGACTTTCATATCTGATTATGGTTGCACAGTAAACAAACGGGAGTAACAAACATCACAGGTGTCGACAGTAAGTGCGACTACTAGTACTGGATCTTCTATACTGTGCCAGTACTGACGTGATGATACGTTTTCCTGTGTTGCCACCTGTTTTAAGGAAATATCAAGTAAATATTTCTCAATTTTTGAGTCGATCCAACTGTGAACTGTTGAGATAATTTGATATTGATTGTTGATGTAGTTTATAGCTGACATGATTACTATATATATTTTTTTGTTTATTTGTGTTAGTGATCAGTTAATGCGTATATGTTCATATAATATTTTATAGTCATTATTATTTTTCCTGTAATTTGCTCTTTTCACTTCTTGTTTTGCTGTTTTTTATATTTTATATTTTGTTTGTATCCATAGAGTAGGTACCTACTTAAACTTAAGTCGATGTTATTGATATTTGTAAAATGACCTGCCATACATGTATATAACATAACATGGTTAAATAAATCTATCTATCTACTAATCGAGTGGGTTGTAGCACGTTGAAGGATCGATCAGCAGCGACAAAATTTGGTCTAATCGTCAATTACTCGTGTATACATAGGTTTATACAGCAATCTAACTGAACGATTTTGGTATACTTGCAATTTCAATGATTCTCAAATTCTGGTGACATCACTCTAATATCTGTATCATGAAGTGACACAATCCAGTGTATACGAAAACGAGTGAGTTTCAAAATGTCTTGCTCAGTTCATCCATGACATTGTTGAAACCATTTAAATCTTGAGAGTGAAGAATGTTGAAATATCCAAACAAGTAAAGTATCGGTTGAGATGGTACCGCTGTTTACCTACGGCCACTATAGAAAGTAGGCAAGGACACACGAGATACAGCCTCAGTAAGTAGCTCTGTCATGATCGCGTAATCGCCGTCAACAGCGGATGACATAACTGTCAAGAATTATATTTCAAACTGTTTGTCCAAACTTTTTTGATGTACTATATGGCAGTAGGTAAAGTATAGTCAATGACGGCTAAATATCTGGACTGTCTGACTGGTTATACATGACTGTTCATTCAGCGAAAATCGCCAAATCGCCCTGTAATGGAATTTTGAAGGGACGGCAAGTGGCGTCATCTATTTCCTGTGTCAAATGAGCTATTAGGCAATCCAAACCACGTGACATTTTAGCTGACAAGATGGCGTCTGGTTGGCAAACAAAGAATATACATCACTTCTAATTAAATTGTATTTTGCCCGAATCACCCTATTATTCTGGTAGTTTTATGTGTCAGGTGTTTGAGGGAGTCTCGGAGCTGAATTGAACAGTGCTTCAATATGCTGAGTTCATATTTCCTGAAGTTATTGCAGGAAAACCCAGAGGTTGGTCAGTTGTCAGAGGTAAACATGAATATTTATTGTTTTTTCGGCTATTTTTCTCAACTAAATTAGTAAATTTTCATTCCTGAAACTATCATACAACCATAATTTGTTTGTAGATATCTGATGAAGCTGATGTTGATCAAGGATTTGAAGCCCTTCACATCTGAAACTGCTGACTGATTGGACTACCTGATAATTATACTCTCCTACTATTTATACTATTTATAGTGACCCACAGTTCCTACCCTAATGAGCAAATGAAAGCCTACAAAACCCTTGTTGTTCACAAGTACTTTTCAGCAACTTTCGTCCAGGAAGTAGACAGGAAGATAAATGATTTTCATGTCATAGTTGGAAAGGTAACTTTTTACTTTTATACCTAAATAACTTTCATGATGAGAACAATTTGAATAATGAAATTATGTTATTCATATATTTTTAATATATTTCCTACCTCATATTCATGTGAATCTTATACAATTTTTTCATAGGTAAAATATTCACAATCAGATTCTGTGCTAATGAGTAACTTGAGGCTTGGGCAAGTAAATAAGGAACATGCAGTTTCATGTACTGATGTATGTGCTTTGTGGCCCATGCCACCACTCTCACCATGATTGTGCCCATCCCAATAGCAGAAATGGACATAGGTACAGTTGCTCTGGCTGCTTCAATACAAAATCCCTACTATATCTTCAAAGTCCGAGAAACGTGTTTTTTGGGAACAACATGCACAAATTGCTGAAGTTATAATACCTGGACTTTTGGGTGGATATTAATTTCACCAGAAGTGAACTATTGGTGTAAGTGTTCAAGTGCTGATGATGGAACCCCTATGACTAGTTGTGACAGTGATAAAGGAAAATTGTATGGTTCTATTTTAAATGTGTAGATATTTTAGGTACACCAGAATCAGCATGGTTTTGTGAATTCTGATACAACAAGTTCTATAAAAAAATATGTACCTATTCATAATAAATATATCATTCAATCATTGTTTATTATTGTTTCAATCAGATCACTGAATAACTGATGTTCTATGAAGATCTTTTCATAACTCATGTAGATCTTTTGTAATATAGTGGAATAATACAATGTATTTTTCATTTAATGAATATTACAATTATTTTGATATACTTATTTTATTTGTCTTACATTTATAATTGATAAAAATAAATCACAACAAACTGTAATTTGTAAAAGTACTTATAATCTTGTAGATTTTCATCTTGTTTTCACCAATTTTCTCTTCTATTTCTTTATCTTCCAGGACACTTTCTTCATGACACTAAAATAAATGAAAAATGATGTAGTAGTAGTTTTAGGTAATTAGGTGTTTTCTTGAGAACATACCAGGTCTCTCGGTTCTGATACTTGATTCATGATTTGAACCTTTTGTCTGCTCTCAGTTTTTGATCCACATCAGTCTTGCATTTCGAATGGACAAGAGATTGATGACCCATATTATATTGGAATGGGACCCAAGCTGGATATTCTCATCTTTCAGGCACTATGTTCTCCTACAAGGTAGATGATTTATTTACCTATTAGAAACATGATGTTTCCAAACTATGTAGGACCATCAAAGGCAATGAGTATTGGCTTCTTTTATCAAAAAGAAAAATGATATATGTTTTCATTAGCATGAAATACTAAATTCATCAGTTCTAGAGTAGGTAGGTACATATAGATAATACTAAAATCCTTTTTCTTAGGTACCTGTTATGAAAATAGTGTCTGCCACATATCCTCTGGTTTATTATGATTGATTCTGTTGCTGATTCTTTCTCTTCATGGCTGCTATCCACATTTCCCTTATTTTTCTTTATAGACCCTTCATCTGTGGGTAATGCTCAGAGTTTTTCACAGTATTACAGTAGGAATATGACAAAACAGCAAATGGTCCCGATCTGCACTGCTTCCACAATCCACCACAATTCACGTTACTGGCAATTTTTTCTTTGAAATCATACTGAGTTTTCATTATTCACAATAAATCTAGCCGAAACTCGATAAAATAATACTGTAAGAGGCTTCCAAAACCCGCAAAGTTCTCAAGTAAACAAACTTGTCTTTGGTTTATTTGCCAACCAGACGCCATTTTGAAATTATTTGACAGGTCGTTGGATTGCCTAATTCAAATTAACCTGCATTATTTGTTGACAAATGTTCTCACTGTCAGCCTGTCACTCATTGTCATTCGAGAATGGAGAGCTTTGTTCGAGATACCAAGTAAAAATGTGAAAAGGCCAACAAAATGAAGTGGTTAGGAGTGTTCATGCCAAATAACGCTATTATATGCATAAATAATAATGCCATCCAAGTGGAAATCATCTTCTTCATTTCGTGAATAGGTAAGGACATGTTCAATAATTTCATTGATTGAATTTTTAACTGCCTAATAAGAGCCATGGTAGACCTAATAACCAGATACTGCTGTATTCTCAAAGTGAAATGTACAGCAACATTTCATATTGTTTCACAAAATCTGAGATCTCGAGTGATATTTCTTTATTTGTATTTCCAGGAAGATACTGAATTTTCTCAACACAATGATGAAGCAGCTCTTCATGAGGTTTGATTGAATGATGACTGGAGACATTCAATTCTGATGATGCTATCTATGCATAACCAGAATATTTACTATGAGGTGAGCTTTGTGAACAGTTGTCCAATTAGGTGAGGGTTCAGAAGAAGCATCAGGCATTTTGACTACAATATCAGGTATAAGAATCCCCATGAATAGCAAATTAAATATCAATTTATCATTTCATATTTATATTTGATATCAGATATACAGACAAATTGTACTTAGAACTATGCCAGCTTCAAAATCATCAAATGTTCAATAGCAACATTTCTTTATAGGTTCTGGGGATGGCATCACAATGAATATAAAACGGCTTGGATATGGGATCTGGACTTTGGAGGATGAAGGTTACCTTGTGATCCGTTGGACACTGAAAATAAAAGAGGAAGATGATATATTATTGTGTACCCCACGATATAAGCTGATCATCAGCTAATTTAATGGAAAAGGAAATTGTTTATTATTGTATGACTGTCTATGGAATGAAATTATTATATTCCTTGAATAAATGCTTTCTATACATATCATCTATCTATCAATCCATATTTCTCAACCATTTTCAAAACTTTGTGGAGACAGAAATAGTTATATGCATTTCAAAAGTTGTGTTTGCACTCTTTTTATCTTTTTAGATCTACATGGGGAAGCTATATAGTTAGTGGGCTAGTATCAGTGTATCAGTGACAACATTTCACCTTATTTCACATACCATCTCAATTTGTTAATCTGTGCTTCCATCAAGAGCTATACAAGATTTTATTGTTAGATGGGCATACATACATAAACTTAGGCCAAATAATCAATTTCGATTTTATGTGACAAAATCATCACAGCAGTGAAAAATATTCTTGAATGTCTAGTAGTAGTAGATAGTATCATCATTCTGTGATATTTGCCAGGAAGAAGGAACACAAAATATCTCAAATTGTAGTTGTGGCACTCAAAAAACTCCAGGTGTTGGCCTAGACTGATGATTCTCAGGGATTCAAAGAGCATACCTTTAGGTCCATTCCTCTTTCATTCTTGGTGTTGCTTTTTGGAATACCCATCCTGTAGGTATATGGTAATCTGAGTTTGAATTACTGTCTTGAACCATCAGGCTCACGTGAAACAGTTTTCAACTATCAATACTACTCCAACTCTACCTAGCTACGCAACAACAATGCAGACTAAACATACCTTGAAATTATGGTATGTGATCCTTTCTGAATGCATGTCCCCATCCTGATAAGTCGCCATCACTCTATAGTGTCTTCCAAAATCATTGACACAAACTTATCAACACCAGAATGAACACCAGTGTTAGTTCTAATGGTGGAATCGAGGCTGAAATTGAAAATCATCAGGAAAGTGTACATGAAAAATCATATTCTTACCAATGCCTTTCAAAATGAAATTCGACCATTCTTGCTGTGGAGTTTATTACTGGGTATGAGATTCGAAAAAGAAAACCCGATATTCGATACGATTATTCATACATTTCATTCCATACGCTAGAAGGCAGTAAATACATGATGAAGACACAACTAGCAAACCTGAATGAATAAACTACCAGAGCTAAACACAAAGAAGAATGCTTGATTGAATAAAAATCGGAGAAAGTAAAGAAATTTATCGATATTTTACAGAACACATCAGGGACCTGACAGTGACACAGTTTTGACACTTGATAATAATAATAACTCAGTACACACTCAGTATAACCTATGTTATTGGAAAACAACCAAATAAGACCTCAAAATGAACGAAAACAAATGACTTCTCCGCAAAGGACGGCAAGTAAACCCCTCTGGTGGAGAATACACTGAACTGAGTGATTGGACAGTCATGTAGTACTCGTCAGACAGTCCAGATATTTAGCCTTCATTGGTATAGAACGTAATGCGTGTTGTAAAGCAATAACGCACTCATGGAATTACGCACTCGCCGCTCCGAGTAATATGCTTCTTACAACACATATTACGTAATATACTATTATCTCACTGAAAAGTGAATTCCCCACTACCAATAGACGGTCGGCGCGTTATAGATCTTACTATGCCTTTTCTCATCCTGATGAACGTTATAGTATTTTTTCTTGAAATTAGTGTTCTTGCCTATTATAATGCGGGTATCCCAAAGATTAAAATAATTATACCAATATTACACCATCGAATAACATGGATGCATAGAATATGATGGTTTTATGGTGATTATAATTAACATGCTTTTGCTTTTGATATTTCAGGTGGGATATCTCGATAGCAATAATACATCAAAGTCTCCTGTTCTTTTGCCACATTTCTTCAAATCGCAGATTTACAAATTAGAATGGGGTCCAATTCCTGGCAATAAGCAACAATTTGGTTTGTATGCCGTTGCTGAAGGAAAATTAGTTGTATTCAATACATCTAAAAAATCTGAAAACGGTATGTATCCCTCATTTGTGGATTAGAGTTATAACTTTTTCACTTACACAAAATGACACTTTTCAGAACAAAAATAAACATTCTCTAACTGATAACATAAATACATTATAATGTTCACAAAATATTTTATTAGCTGTTTTTTAACAATTTTTCAACAAAATCATGAATATATTTCGATTTACCGCCAAGGATAAAATCGAACTGATTGGTCTAAAATTCCGACCAATTCGTGTAAATGGACCGGGAAAGCGTGACGTCACAGATGACAGTTCATATCATATATGTTTCGAAAAATCACTTTCGAAAAATTAGGTGGTTGTTATTTGATAGTAGATAATAGAAGTTAATAAAAGTTTACTCAAATTGCTGGAGATTGTGAAGTGAAGAATTTGGAGATGAAAAGAATCCTTCAAGACAGAATTTACCTGTGTCTGGACAGACAATAAAACGGAAACGTTCATCCCAATGAAAGTAACAGAGATTATGTGATGTAAGTAAGTACTTTCATTACGTTTTGATTATTTTGTCTTGAAGTATAGATACATGAACTAAAATCGACTTCACTTTTACCTTCTAGTACAAAATATAGTCATGTCTGGTTTACAGGGATCATAAAATATAAGATAAAAACAATTTTGATGCCTATAACGAAATAGTTTCATCAAAAAGTCTTATACTTGAAGGGCAAAAGACCAACAGTGACAGCTATTTGCCATTTGTGTGAAAACGTATGGGTTGCTTGCAAGATTTGTCAGATGACCGACCCTGGAGTAAAACATTGAAACACAACCTCACTTTTCTTATCTGTTTACAAAGGATTGAAATTGAAATAATTTTTCCACAAATATTTCGGCATACGAATAATGTTTTTCGGCTTTTCATTAATTCTAGCATGCCATCATATTGTGCTGTTGTACAATGCATAAAAAAGCAGCGAGAGACGAAGGAATCCGATTTTTCAGGTAGGTGCATTGTGATCTAGAAGTTCCATAGTTACTCACATATAGATTTCATTTTAAAACGTTGTCATTTCTCATTGGAATTCCTTTTTCTATAGCTATAGCTAATAGAAATACTCGTGAAGTTTCTGAAAGAAGGCAAGTAGATTGGATTAATGCAATCAAACTGGAGGACTGGTCTGACATGCTGACGAAATATGATGTGGATATTTTCACTCTATTAGCAGTATTAGCTTCTATTGCAGAAGTGGCAGAAGGAATTCTAATGAAAAATAATGTAGACTATGCAAGATCACTATTTACCTGAAAAATCAGATTCCTTCGTCTCGCTGCATTTTTTGTGCACTGTACAACAGCACACTGTGATGGCTTGCTTGAATGGACGAGTTCAGTAATTCATTGCCAACCTTGAAAAAAGCTAAAAACGTCTACCACTGAAAACAGATTATTTTAATTAAATATTGATACCATTTTTATCCTTACCGATTTTGTATCATCCAGGAAGTCCCCGGCGTCCGAATCTCTGGAAATTATAGAAACATTGATATCAAGTGATTTTGAGGTTATTTCAGTTATCATATTGGCTGCCTGTAAGATGAATGGCACATTTTTGTTTTGTTCTGTGAACCCTTTGACCGTTTTTAGGTTAATTCAAAACAAAAAAAGCATTCAAGAATTCAAGTAGGTAATGAGTAGTTTAGTGGTTTCTAGTAGGCACATTTTGGAAAAAGAGGTAATGGGATTATTATGCAAATTTGGTTATTTTTATAATGATCCTTCCTTTCTTCTCTAATAAGGGCTCAACATAATATTTACATGGGTACACAGGTACTTCTTGAATGTCTTTAATGTATGAATCATAGATAAACTACACTTGATGAAAATTATGAAAAGACATCACGACAAAACAAAAATGAGTGTCATTTTTCACAGGCAGCCAATATGATGAACTGAAATAACCTCAAAATCAGTTGAGAGAGTTTTGATAATTCATCGCGATTCGAGAGTCGGAGACTTTCTGGATGATAAAAAATCGATAAGGAAAAAAATGGCATCAATATTTTATGGATATAACCTGTTTCCAGTGGTAGAGTTTTTAAGCTATTTTCAAGGTTGGCAATGAATTGATGAGCTCGTCCATTGATGAATAGCCCAAAAAACACGATTTGTATGTCAAAATATTGTGGAAAACCAGTTCAATCCTTTGATTCCTTTGTGAACAAATAAGGAAAGTGAGGTTGTGTTTCAATGTTTCACAGAAAAGTGAGGATGTGTTTTACCTCCAGGGTCGATCATCATGCACGCGACCTATTTGACAAAAATATGACGTTGTGACGACACAACTTTCCTGGCCCATCCCTGCACATTGACAATGGCTTCAATCGATTATATCTTTTATAACATAACGAGTTAGTGAGAAAATTGAAACAAATAAAATCAGCAACCTACAAATACTCCGATTATGTATTCCAGAACCCACAGAAATAGACAAACCCGAGAAGACAATCATCTACTCTTTTGCCTGGAAGCCGGATTACTCGATACTTCTCGTCTCCACCAAAGCCGGCTTTCTCATCGTTTATTCCCCGGAATTGAAAATTCTCCGCAAACATTACTTCCCGCAGCGCATTCAGGTAAGGATAATCTATCAATATATGGCGATAGTATAGTATAGTATATTCCGTCATATGATAACGAAGGGCATGTAAAAACACTATATTTCATTAGGCGGCACCTGTGCCAATCAGTATCCTGAGCAAAATTATTGAAAAATAGAACTCAATTTCGCTATTTGATAAAGAGATGAGAATTATGCCATCCGATACCAATGGGCGAGTGGACTGATAATGAATTATTGGCATTCAATAGCAATATTCTTTTTACCTTGTTACATTCTCACTACTGAGATCAATTGAGTTAGAAGGAGGTGAGACGGATATCTGAGTTGAGCTATTGAGCAGCACTGAGTATCTTGGTTAATCTCAGTCAAAGTTGGTAAAAAGAATATTACTAATTACTCCACTGTGTCGTTAGGAACCCAAACTAATTATTGCAACACTTCTCACGATTTTTTTATGTAAATAATGAGTCTATGCGTTGTTCGAAATTGTTGAATTTCAGGTTACATCTAAGTTACATAATACGAACTTCAAACTGGGGGAAAACAAACTGTTGTCTATGAATAAAGTGCATAGACTACATTGCTGTAGCTGTAGTACTTGTCAATGACATGACATAAAGTGTTGGCACTGTTGGTAGTGATGATGGTTGAGTTGGTCAATTCTTTTACATTATTACATTTTTATTAGTTTAGTGAACAGTGACCGGGTGAAGAATTGGAGATAGTTCAAACAATTGAAACTAATTATGACGAGCAAATCAATTGACATATAAAAGAACACTACACCATGTTTACAATACCCAGATCGTACTGCTTTGCAGGAACAAATACAAATCCATTGTTCTACAGGAGTTCCTCTGGACCCCAACTTCAATATTACTTCATGTGGGGAAGATTTCATCGCCGAAGTTTGTAGACAAAGTGCAAAAATGTGCCTTTTGTTGAAGTCTTCTGCCTCACACAAAATCACATGATTATCACGGAGAACTACTTCTCCTTCCACTACTGGTCGGCTTTTTCCATCTAAATAGAGCAAAATATCTGCCAAAAGAACATCTACAACAGGCGTTTTCGATCGAATATTGACAATTAATGTCAAGAAATTTAACAACTTATCACTTATCAGTACACAGTACACAAGCTAATGGCACTAATGGGATTGAGTGAGGATTGAGTTTGTTTTCCCCCAGTTCTGACGTGGCTTTGACATGGAACGATGAAAACCGAGCGCCACCTGGTAACATTGGTTCCCGCGAATAGTTCATTCTTGACATTTTCGAGCAACCAGCATGTCCAAATATTTCTTATTCTCGATAACAAAATATCATGTGAATGTTGGAGACTTGCCAACTTTGTGCTGAATGCTGAAAACTGACAAGACCACGCCCACAAGTCGGGCGCCGTGTTGTCACGTTCACCGATTCTAATGTCCTTTAGTGGGAATTAATATAGTTATTATTTACACAAATTTATCATAAGCAATAAGCCACGAATCATAAGGGAACATTTTGTGACAATTGAATTTTTATTGCCAATTAGGAATATTACCAATACTCAATTGAGAATTTATGGATTATTGAATATCTAATATTTCTCAAGTTCCCAATCGCATTTCAATACATGGCAACTGTGCTATGGTCTTCCCCTACTTACAACATCGTGGCGTCAGTTTTTACTGGCGGTAAATTTCTAGCCGTTTGAAAATTACTGTGGCATTATTGATTATTTTAGCACCTAAAAATCGACCACAAAATTCTAAAAATATTAAATTGAAAGGAATTTGAGTGATGATTCTATTTAAGGAATAAAAAAAATAGTCCACTCGCCTATTTAAGGGTAATATATTTATTTATTTCATTTATTGAAAATGTTACTTCCAGTCAAAATCAAGTTCTGGTATAAGGAAGTATAGTTAACAATAATACCTAAAACTATACAATTATAATAAACTGATGAATAATAAAATATTTGAAAACATTAACTATTAAATTTTGACAAATCATTTCATATTGGTGAGCAAAAATCAATTTGAATATGAATCAAAAGTTGAAAAAAAAAATATTTGAAAACATTAACTATTAAATTTTGACAAATCATTTCATATTGGTGAGCAAAAATCAATTTGAATATGAATCAAAAGTTGAAAAAAAAAAGTTATCTATTCCGTTCAGAAATGATAAATTTTTTAAGATGGTATTTGAATTTTATTGTATTTCTGCAATTTTTTATATTATCTGGTAATTTGTTATATTCCAAGAGAGCAGCGTGGGTGAATCTTTTTTGGCCTATAGAAGTATTAGCGATATCAAGATGAAATAAACCATGTTGTCTAGTTTGATAATTATGAATTTCATTGTTTCGTGTTGAAATAAAATTAGATTTCAATCTTTTATTTATGATATTGTATGTAATTTTCAGTCTTTCGATTTTGAACATTTCTTCTAATGAGAATGATTCAGTTATTTTATATAATTGATTTGTTGGTGTATCATATGGTAAACGATACAGTACTTTCAATGTCTTTTTATATAATGCAGATATTTTATTAAAATTGTTTTTTGAACAGTATCCCCAAACATTTATCAAATAGTTAATACGACTGAGTATATGAGAATATAGAATTATATTTGCAACTTTTTTATTCAGCTTGGGACATCTTCTCAGGGCTCCAATAATAGGAGATATTTTTTTCTTCAAAACATTTATATGTTTGTCCCACTTCAATTTATCATCAAACCAAATCCCAAGATACTTTTTCTCATTAGTTCGTTTCAAAGATTCATTTTTAATTCTGAGATTTAAATTTATATTTTGTTTATTTTTTTGTTGAAAAATCATATATTCATTTTTATCCGTATTTATTGATAAGAGGTTTGAATGCAGCCAATTTTCAAATTTCATCAAGTCTGTTTATTATATTTTCTAAAATGATAGAATTTTTATTTTCATATAAAAGTACCGTATCGTCTGCATAAATAGTGTAATTACATTCTGTATCAATTTTCGTGATATTTTGAATATATAATAAATATAAAATTGGTCCTAAAACAGATCTTTGAGGGACACCTTTAGTCATCGGTAGTCTATGAGACTCTGAGTTGGTAGATTTGGTACTGATTGTCCTATTTTGAAGATACGAATCTAAAAGGTTCCTTATCATGCCTCTGAGTCCCATTGATTCTAAATTTTCCAAAAGTGTTATGTGGTCTACTGTATCGAAAGCTTTCTTGAGATCAACAAAAATTGCTATCACATAATTTCCGGTATCAAGTCCTTTTTGTATTGCTTGTATTACTTGTAATATTGCCGCTTGTGTGCCACTATTTTCTTGAAAACCAAATTGAATTATGTCAAAGCTATATTTTCTATTTATGAAATCTACAATGCGTTTTTTAAGAATCTTCTCAACAATTTTGGAAAAAATGCTCAATAAGGCGATTGGTCTATAATTTTGTGGATCTTGAGTATCTCCACTTTTGTAAATTGGTCTTAATGAAGCATGCTTTAATTCTTGTGGAAATATACCACTGGTAAAACATTTATTGATTAATTTTGATAATGGATTGGCCAAAATATTTTTTAGTTCGAATATATCTTTAGTTATTAAACCTTCGGGATTATAATCAGGACTAATATTTTTACGTTGAATGTTATTATAGTATGTGATTATTTCTTTTGCTATTTTTTCACCAATACCTGAAAAGTGATTATTCATAATTATATATAATTAATTGAATAGTAAATCTCAAAAACCTACCTGTGCCACTCCTTAATCCGAGTCAAATCCACAGCACAGCGATTTATTATTTGCTGCCGTTATTCCGGAAAAACTTTCGTCATGTGATAACGAGTTGAATATCCAAACGTGCCGCGATTTAAAATGAGCTAAGTAAGTGGCAGAGCGTCATTTCCGAGAGACCACTGGAAAATACAATGTTCGAAAATAGACAAATAACAAAGCTGAACGTTTGAAAACTCAAAGTGAAATTGGTCTAGCGAGTAAATATACCATGTATGCAGATGGTACAGTACTTTTATATGAAGGCAAGAATCCTTCAAATTTAGGAAATATTTGAAAAATGGCTCCACTCTAACCTTTTATCGATAAATACTAACAAAACAGAATATATGATTTTTCACCAAAAAAATAAACAAAAAATTTACCTCAACCTTGAAATGAAAAATGAACTCTTAAAACAAACTGACCAGATAAAGTATCTTGGTATTTGGTTTGATGACCGGTTGAAGTGGGACAAACAAATTGATGTTCTGACAAAAAAATATCTCCAATTTTTGGTGCGTTGAGAAGATGTCCCAAACTTGATATTAAAATTGCAAACATGATTCTCTACTCTCATATACTGAGTCGTTTCAACTATTTAATAAATGTTTGGGGATCTTGTTCAAAAAATAATTTCAATAAAATATCAACATTATATAGAAAATCTTTAAAAGTATTGTATCGTCTCCCATTAGATACACCAACCAATCAATTGTATGAAATAACAAATACGTATTCCTTAGATGAAATATATAGAATTGAAACTCTTAAAATATCATATAATATCATAAATAAAAAATTTAAGTCGAATATTATTTTGATGAAGAATTCTGAAATTCATAATCATGAAACTAGACAATTTAACTTGTTTCATCTTGGCGCCGCTAGCTTCATAATCGGCCAAAAAAGATTCACTCATTCAGCCTTAACTGAATTCAATAAACTACCTGGCAATATAAAAAGTTGCAGAAATATAGGTACATTCAAAAATGAAGTAAAAAAACTTATTATTTCTGAGCGAATTGGATAAAATTGGCATTCTTTGTTTGCCAATTTACAGTTGTTGATATATTTTGAATGATGATGTTTATCTATAGGTATACAGGGTGTTAACAAATAAGTGTCACAAAGGAAAACTGTAGATTCCTCATGAAAAAAGAAACATTTTTTTCCCTTTCGAAATTTTTCTCCGGGTTTCCGTTTTCAAGATACAGGGCGTCAAAAAAATGCAAAAAAATCTGTTTTTTGCTACTATATCAGGAACCGTTTGAGCTACGGAGTTGAGCCTTCGTACACACTTCATCATCAATGACTACTTTTAGGGCTCTTGATCAATTTCCTCAGTGGGGGAGAATTCAACGCCTCGTAAGGGTTTAACCCCCCAAACATTTATGCCACTGGAGAAATTGTAATTTCCAAAGTAGATTCTGAAGCGCCAATATTTTTCACACAAAAAACGTCCTCTTGTCTCAATGCTCTAAAGTGAACAGTTTCCGCGAAAAACGGCTCTTTATGAATAAGAACATACAAAATCCTGAAAATCACCAAAAATCGTCTAAAAATCCACTGGAAATAAACACCTCAGAACTGTCTGATAATATGTTCTATAAAATGTCAGGTTCTTGAGTATGCTGGTCTCGATGCTGGTTTTCAGATTGTTAAGTTCATTAAGTGTTGTAAAGTGTGTTCAATTAAACTGAACATTCGATCTTTTGGCGCCCTGAATCTTGAAAACGGAAGCCCGGAGAAAAATTTCGAAGAGGAAAGAAATGTTTATTTTATTTTGAGGAATCTACAGTTTTCCGTTGTGACACTTATTTGTTAACACCCTGTATAATTATGTATTTCCTTATACCAGAGCCTATTCTGTCTGGAAGTTATTTGTTCAATAAGTAAATACATGAATAGATAAAAATAAATAATTACCAAACAATGTAAACGATCCGCCAAAGGCCCATAGAGTAGTACCGACATTCGCCGTTCTGGCGCTTCGATCTCAATCTCAGTCGCCTATCGTCTAGGAAATCCTGTGGCATCCCAACGCTGCTCTTCACGGCGACAGTCCAGCGCAGGCGCAGTCGTGCTGGTTCGCCGCCATCACCAACTTCAAGAACGTCACCGTGTACGATTTCGACGAGGCGAGGGCGAGCGACAGCGACGACGACAGGGTGGTCGCCGTTTACGAGGGCGCTGGTGACGTGGTCAGCTGTATTTCGTGGAGTCCGCACAAGGATTACGAGTTGGTGATCGGCAACGAGAACGGGATCGTTCAGGTAATGTACTAGGGCTGGGCGATATTGGATTTCACTTATCTATTATCGATAAGTAAAAACATATCAATAAGGGGGGCCAGGTAGCCGTGCGGACAGAGTGTCTATATTCTTATCCGCATTCGCTTGCCGATCGTGGGTTCGATTCCCATCGACTGCAGACATTTTTCTGATGGCCCAAGAAAGTGTTTGGGTTCACACGTTAAAAGGTAAGGCCCCCGTCATTCCTTGCTCGCACAAGACTCTCGAAGTCTTTTGAGGGTTGCTCGTAAGGGGGCAACCGAATGACGGATAGAACAATTTTAGTTCGATATATCGATAAATATCGATATATCCATAAATACGATAAATATCGATATATCGATATACCGGATGGGTCACGGTGGATGGCCTATTAGAAGTTTCTGGAGAACGAAAAGACAGAACATTCTGAAAATTGGGATGCTTTGATAATTGAACATTCTCTATTGGTCTAAAATGTTTTCATCGTTATAGTGTCGCCACTTCTATCAGAAACAACTAGCAACTTTGTTATTTCAAATGGAACACCCTGTATTTCATTGCATTTTTAGATACTTCCTGAGGAGCTGATTTCATCGATGTATCATACTTGGGGTCAAGCAGAAATGATTACAGAGATATAGGGTATCAAAATCTAGATTTTTCAATTTTAGGATTTTTTTTGTGTCGAAAATACAGGTTGCTTCAAGGTTCAGAATTCTGATCACCCTGTATCTGTAATATCAAATTTCACTTCAGAAAAAATGAAAAGAGGACTTGCCTCCTTCACCATTTCTATGACGTGTTTTTAGGTGTACACTTGGATGCATTTCTCAGCTGGAAAGTTCATTGTGGAACAGTTATATCAAAACTGAACTATGAATTTCCTCATCAGAAACCTTCTTTAAATTCTCTAACAGAAACAGCTAATTATGCTGTATTATCCCCAAGTCGAATCCCGCCTTCGGTATGGAATTACTTTCTGGGGATCTTCTTCCTCATGCAAAGATGTTTTTGTCGCCTAGAAAAAAATTATATAAGATGTATAGCAGGAGTCTCGAGAAGTATAAGCTGCAAGAGCTTTTTTAAACATTTCAAAATACTAACATTACCGTTCTTGTTTATATTTGAATTATGCGTTTTTGTATTTGACAACCGTAACTGTCTCGTAAAGAATGAAAATGTGCATACTATTAATACTAGGTCTAAGACAGACTTTCATGTACCATTTTGTAAAAACTTAATGACCTATAATTCTCCAGATGTGATAGGGCTTAGATTATTCAATCTGCTCCACATTGACCTGAAAAGCTCTAGTACTATCTATAGCTTTAAAATTGCACTTAAGTTCTTCCTTTTAGAAAAAATTATTACTCCATTCAGGAAATGATTGAATAAGTATTAGGTGTTGTGCTCCATTTTTAACAAATTGTCATTGAATAATGTGTTACTACTTGTAAAATGTCTACTTACTTGTTTTAGGTTTTTTCGTGACTAATCCTACATAATGTAACTTTTGATTGTCTGATAGGATAAAATTATTATTATTATTTTTAAGTTCATGTGATTCCAGTCACGACCCTGCGGCCTCCGACGTCACGCAGAGTCGTGCTGGATAAAATCCAGTGACTACTCCTCACAGCCTGTGAGGTGAGTAATCACTGGGACCAAGTACCGTGTGCCCTGAGTAGACGCAATGATCCAAGTATGACGGCCTTCTGCATACCACCAGCCAGGATGTGTGCCTTATCACGGCACGCTGGGATTTTCTGGATCTCCGAGAGTAGCGTGTGTCGTGTGCCTCCTAGGGAGCCGATAATCAGGATGACCAATTCCACAGAATGGTCTGGATAGAGCCGGCGGAGATCGAAGAGAAGATCTCGATATTTAGTCCGTTTTTCCTCCTCCTTCAAAACGCTGTTCGGTTCGGCTGGCGCCGAAAACTCGATCACGAACATCGCTTTGGTTTGATGGTCGAGGAGGACTACATCAGGCTTGTTAGCTTGTATTTGCCTGAGGGTGAAGAATGAGAAGTTCCAATAAATTCGGCACCTCTCATTCTCCACAACGGACTCAATATCCCCCGGAGCATAGGGCAGCACTGGGGTCTCGTCTATTCCGTACGAGTGCCTCAAGTGATAATAGAGCACTCGCAATGCCGCATTGTGTCTATGGATATAGGCCGAGACTGCATACACCGTGCAAGAAGACAGCAGGTGCATAATTGTCTCGGGCGCCCTGCGGCAGGCCCTGCAATTTGTGTCAGGGACCTCCATACCCATGACACGGCTACGGTAGACGAGAGTGTTGAAAACCCCATCCTGGCATGCCATGATGAACCCCTCTGTTTCCGATTTAAGCCCGCCTGACTTGAGAAAAGCGAAAGTCAGTTCTTTGGATAAGCCCCGGTCTTCAATGGTCTTGAAGTAGACCGAATGCATGGGCTTATCCATGTGAAGCTGCAGGAGCTTTTTCACTTCTGCAGCTTTGATGCGGGCTTTTCTCCGAGCGGGTTCTAGCTCAGTAACTGAGTCCTGAGCCTCGCGCTCGGAGTCGAAAATCAGAGACAATTCATCGGCTGCTCGACGTGCTGCCCTAAAAAGAAAAGCTCCTACTCCTGCATCTTCATGGGTTTTAACCATTTGCAGAAGGGGGTCCGAACTCCTGATTACTTTGCAGGCGCCATCCAGAACCATTCTGTTATGAAGATACTCCAAGCTCAAGAGTCCACGGCCACCCTGGTCTCTAGGTATGTATAACCGTGGAACGGACGAATTTGGATGCAGACTCCTATGGAGATGCATCATCTTGCGAGTACTTACGTCAAGTTGTCGCAGCTCGACTTGAGTCCACTTTATCACTCCAAATGAGTAAAGTAGGATCGGAACAGCAAGCATGTTAGTCGCAGCGACTTTGTTCTTCCCCGACAGTTCTGACGACCAGATCTGTCGGAGCCGCTGCCGATACTTGCTGCGGAGAGCGTCTTTTACCCGTTGTGCCTCCTGGATGTGAGTTTCCTCTACACCCAGGTAGGTGTACGTCTCTCCGGCATCCAGGTGGCGTAGGATGCTTCCGTCCACGAGCTGCGCGTCCTTGTCGTAGTTCTCGCATCGTCCTCTCTTGAGATGAACCAGTGCACATTTGTCCATCCCGAATTCCATTCCAATTGCCTGCGTGTACTCCTGCACCACCCTGAGGGATTGGTCCATATCCCTCTCACCGGAGGCATAAAGTTTGAGGTCATCCACATAGAATAAGTGGGTGACCTTATGCCTCCGGTAACTGGGTGGGCCGCAGTTGTATCCCCTGGTTTTCCTGAGCTCAACGGATAGTGGCAGAAGTGAGATGCAGAATAGGAGAGGGCTGAGGGAGTCCCCTTGAAATACTCCTCTCCTTATGATGACTGGCTCTGTTTGGACTCTCGCTTCACCTGATGTTATGGTAAAGCGGGTCTTCCAGACCAGCATCAGTTGTTCTATGCATCTCACTATAGAATCGGGTACCGAAAGACACTTGAGCAAGTACACGAGTAACTCATGTGACGTTGTGTCAAATGCCTTTCGGTAATCGATCCAGGCCACAGAAAGATTCCGCTTGTACTGCACGGAGTCCTGTGTGATAGCTCTATCTATCAACAGGTTCTCCTTGCAGCCAGCGACACCTCTCTTCGACCCACGCTGCTCAAAAATCCGCTGGTAAACCGGGTCAACTACTAGGAGTACTCGCATGTACAAGATGCGAAAAATTATTATTATTATTATTATTATTATTATTATTATTATTATTATTATTATTATTTTTTGTTCTGGCGTTATTTGTTGTAGAATATCGAAATTGATAGTGCATTTACATTTCCAGTTTTTTTCCTGTTATACATTTTCAGATTCACTATCCGATATTTCCTCTTTACATCACCATCATCAACTTTATTTTTTCTTATGAGCGCCATATTGGATTCACATTAAAAATAACAGCATGGTAAATCTGAAAATGTCATCGTATGGTAGGGAAAAAGTGGTAATGTAAATGTTCTCTCAATTTTGATACTCGATCTCCAACAAATAACTCCAGAAAAAAATTAAAATGATTGACCAAAATTTCAGTTTTTTTTCCGGCGGCACACTCAGAATTCTATTTCGTTGGAATGATAGTCGATGAGGTAAGGTATTTCAGTAGGAGTTTACGAATATTCTCTGCCGTTTTCACCTGCTTGCTGTAAAGTGTTTTGAGGTTACTTTTGTTTTTCATCTTCTGTCAATCGACTGAACTTGATCAAGTAGCGAGGCAGTCAAGATTTTCATTTCATATGTAATTGCATTTCTGTTATATTGGATCAAGGAGGTAATCAGAAATCATTGTAAATCGTCAGATTGAGTCCATAATTTTGAAGGTTTTTTTCTGAATAAAAGCCTCAAACGCCTTGTTATCGTTTTAAGGCGTTTTTTTTCATAACATTTACAGATCTGGGATACCAATACCAAAGAATTCATTTCCACGTATGTGACTCCAAATTTTGCCGCAAATTTGACAGCTTTATGGAGTCCGGTTGATCCAGACTTTATGATATCTGGCAGTAGAGATTCAGCTTTAAGAATATGGAGGATATCTGAACATGCACCGAAGAATGAAATTGGTAAGATCATACCGGGTGTCCCAGATATTTTTACAGCCAATATTTCAGTTATGCTGCTTGGAAAAAATATTAAAATTACAATCTTGTCAAACTCAAATGACTTTGTAGCCATTGTGTCAAAGTCAACTTTTGTCAACTATTCCTGAAAAGCCACTCTCAACTTCAATTATTCAAGTTACACTTTATACATTTTCTTTGTTGATTTCCTGATAACTTGACTGATTTTCAATTGACGAAATACTCATTTGGAGTAAACATAAAAGGCATTGCCTTAGGGATGTATAGTTCTTTTCAAGATCTAAGAAACTGACCTGACCTGAGATGGGATAATGACATGCGATAAAGCGATAAAAGTATTAGCCGTGACAGGGTCGCATTTATTTTGTTGTTGGCTCGACACATCCTGGAATACCTACTATTAGTTATTAAGTTCTGCAGTGATAGTGTGTTTGAAGATGTTCAGTGCCGTTTTAGGCAGTAACCAAAAATGTTTATCTGTTGAATCAAAAATAATCGTTAAAAGTGTTTATTTAAAGTTAGTAGAGCGAGGCCACGAAAAACATCGTTCATTAAAGGAAACATCAATTTAAACCGGCGTTCCTGACAGTACAGCCTGGAAAATTGTAAATAATACTATAAAGCCTGGACAAGTGCGAAAAGACAGTGGTGATATAATAATATACAATGAAGATTCAATTCGTCCGAAAGTTTATCAGATGTGTGGAGAGCAGAAAGGCTATCCGAGGATGATTGTGACATAAACTGTTCTACTACAACCTTGTGACGTACTCTACGTCGTTTGGGGTTATTATTAAAAAATATAGAGAAAAGGCAAGTTATAACGGAATCACATCGATTGCAACAAGCCAAGACATGTGGCTGGAGTGCAACGACGGAAACATCAGACCCATCTCCACAAAGGAGTTCGTGGATTCGTGGGCTTCAAGCCAAACTCCTCGTCGACGCCCTATCTGCTGTTCTACTCGAGATTGTGATGTTTGTTTACTCCATGATAGTTTTATTTATTGTTAATTTATCAATTTTTTTATATCTCGATATTGTCTATTGAATGTAAGTTTGTTTAGAAAATGAAAAAAAAAACTTAGAATAGAATATCTGGAAAAAATAAATAGCGGTAGATCGGAAAATCGTACGATAATATACCTAGATGAGACATGGTATAACACCCTTGACCCACAAAGTAAACTGATGAATCAAAAAAATGTCACACTGAAGCTCCGTCCATAAAGGTAGAAGAATAAAAATTCTAAATGCGGGGTCAGAAGACGGCTGGGTACCAAACTTTATTTTTGGCAGCCAAAAACATTTAGGATTCCAGCTTAGATTACCACTGCGATACAACTGCTGAAGTTTTTGAGGACTGGTTTCAATGCAAATTATTACCGAAAATACCACCAAAGAGCAGTATTGTGATAGATAATGCATCCCACCATAGTCACCATATGAAAAACTCCAAATCATCTGGGGATGATGAAATGTCCAATATTCTCCTTAAACAGATAGCTCAAAGTATAATCAAACCATTAACATTTATAATTAATATGTCTTTGGAACAAGGTACTTTTCCGAATGGGATGAAAATATCGAAGGTCATACCACTTTTCAAAAAAGGTGATAAATCAGATATAATGAATTACAGAGCAATCACACTATGCACCAGCATATCAAAAGTATTTGAAACTGCTGTGAGTGAACAACTGCTGTCATTCTTGAACAAAAATTCAATACTTTCACCGGACCAACACGGTTTCACAAAAAATAAAAGCACTGAGACTGCCCTGAACAAGTTTGTAAGCGAAATAGTTGAGACTTTGGATAAATCAAGGGTGGTACTTGGACTTTTTATAGACTTCTCCAAGGCTTTTGATTGTGTCAATCACCAAATTCTATTACACAAATTATCAAGGTATGGAATTAGAGGTGTTGCCTATGACTGGTTTAGTTCTTATCTTACCGATCGTTTTCAAAAAGTGAGCATAGGAAGCAATGTCTCAGATCTCGCAGCCGTTACGAGTGGAGTACCTCAAGGATCCATATTAGGTCCTACATTGTTTATTGTTTTTATAAATGACCTACTCCTCTCCGTCAGGAGAAACAACATGTGTTGTACTATAGCATCATATGCCGATGATACTAATATCTTGATCACAAACGATAAGTATGATGAGTGTGTTTCCCAAACTAAACAAATATATACTGAAGTGGAGTTCTGGGTAAAAAAAAACAAGCTCTGCTTAAACGAAGGAAAAACTGTATGCACTTTATTTAATAAGTCAATAATTTGTAATAAAACAATTTCCTTAAATGCAACTAAGTCAATTGAATATCAAAAACACAGTAAAATGCTAGGGCTTACCATTGATTGCAATCTCAATTGGTCTAAGCATATTGAGTACCTCTGTACCAGATTGGCTAGGACGATATATGCTCTGAAAGTTACTTCAATACAATGCGGTAGATCTATAATACGTCAACTATATTTTGCAACAATTCACTCTCATATTAGATATTCCATAGTACATTGGGGTCAGGCTGCAGATGTTGCAAGTGTTTTTGTCCTTCAAAAAAGGGCTATACGTACTCTGGCCAATTTAAATTACAATGATAGTTGTAGGGAACATTTTAAAGAGTTGAATATCTTGACACTTACATCAGTATATATCTTAGAGATAGCCTGCTTTGTTTTCAAGAATAAATCTGCCTTCGCCGGGACTCGTCAAAACCATCAATATGCTACCCGACATAAAAATGTATTACTACCAAGCAAACATGTAACTAGATTATACCAGAAGGGCCTTTTTTACAATGGATGTAAAATTTTTAATAATCTACCTTCACATATAAAGGACATAAGGACATTCCAAAAGTTTAAAAAAGAACTGAAGTCATTATTACTAGCGAAGTCCCTCTATTCTCTGAACGAATTCTACTCAATGTGAACAATGTGCATGTTAATTTTTCATATACATATATCTATATATTTATGTTCTTATCCATTTCTTGTATGTTCTATTTTATTTTATTTTACTTTATTCAGACACTATTTCTGTTAAACAATGTGATACCTTTGTTAACAATGTTTTAATGAAATAAAGAAGCTATTATTATTATTATTATTATTATTAATAAAGTACCAAGTTCCACCAGCAGAAAGAAGGAAATGCAAGTTTTTTTCTGACCCTGACATGTATTTCCATGAGTTATAATATTTTGAACTACCCTGTATTCGTTCAAATTAAATATCAGAAGATAGTAAATCAAAAGTTAAGATTAATCAATTTTTAGAGGTTTTAAAAAAATTGCAGATGTAGCAGGTCACGAAATAATTCGGCTTCCGCCATATTACTGCATTTTAAATCCGATCGACTTGATGTGGCATAAACTAACAGAAGTCGAAAATGTAACCGTTGAAAACTGGAGAAACTGTACTGAACACGTTAAAAAAATTGAAAACTCTCATCTTTCTATGTATATAAATATCCTAGAACCTATAAAAAGTATCATTATTATTTTTGGAAGATAGTAGTGATAGCGAAATTGATAGAGTAAGATATGGTGTGGTTTACTGTCTAAATCAGTTTTAACTTTCTCCTGAAGATGCTAACATAGTTGGCGAAACACGTGTCGAGGCGTTTGAAAAATCGGTTTGGTTAGTGGTACAACAGTGTAGTGTATTATCGTGCCAAAGGTTCCAGTCTTCGATATGGGTTATGCTATATTTTTATTAAAATTTGGTTTCCCGTTGTTGAATGTTGGAAAATTATAGTGAAAATGGAGAACATTGATATAGGAGTATTCCTAAATTTGGTAGAGAGCTCTCCCCATCTATACAATTAGAAAGATAAAAATATCAAAAATCTATTGATGAAGAAAAACAGTTGGCCCCAGGAATGAAGTATAAATTGACTCATTTTTCTAGAACTGCTACGGCGGCTGCAACCGCAGCGGCAGCGGCTGCGCTTCAATCTATAAATCCCGCTTAAGAATGTTTTTCCGTAGTTTTGAATGTCATCGCAACATAACAAGAGAAATTATCTTCACCTGATATGTTTTACTTCGAATTTTCTAATTTTGGTAGTATTACGTTTTCAAAATATCAAGTGTGATATGAGTGTGATACATCGTTGAAGTTAAAATTGTTTGCACTTCCCAAATCAACAAAAAAATGTATAGGGTTTAACATGAATAATTGTAGTTGGGGTTGGTTTTTCAGGAGTAGCTCAACAGAAGTTGACACTGGCACAACTGCTCTGAAGTCATATGGGTATGATGTTTTTTTTTTCAAAGCAGCATAACTGAGATATTGGCTGTATGAAGATCTGGGACACCCGGTATATATTGTTGAAGATACAACTACAATACAAATTTAGGAAATTTTAAAGTATCAAATTCTGATGTACCATACTTATTTGAATTAAAGTGGCCTTATTCAACCTATGAAAGTGCTTCCATCCATTCTAGTAGATGGGAAAATGATAACCAAATGTTGAAATTAGTATTTCTCGAAATGTATTGAGTCACAGGCTGAATGTTTATATGATGCTTTTTGTTGTGAGAAGTGAGTTGATTTCAGAAGAAGCATTACACATATCTCATTCAGACAACTTCAAAGTTCATAACATTATTTCAAGGTGTTTCAAACAAAGGGGCCGCGTTGCTAGTTTAGGTAGAACACTGCAAAATAAGTTGGGTTTGCTCAATAAAAGATTTTTTGAGGCATTAGTGTTCAAGATACATCAAGCTATCCTATTTCTAATAACAAAAAATGTATGGCAATTCTGAAATTTGGAATCATATGAATATCTTTCTCGTTCATTCAAAAATGCTATTAGTATCCAAAGCTAACATTTTATTGAGATTTCTCAGCTAAAGTAGGCTATACACAATGTGTTAATGTGCTTACACAAAGTTAATATTCATTTTGCAGTCACCAATTGGTGACATAAATACATAATCTGAGAAATTGAATACAGTTTTTTCAATTGAAGCAGGTTAGATGTTAGGAAGATTCAACGCCAATCTGGTATGGGCTATTGTAGTCCCTCGAAATATGATTTTAATAGAATTGAAAGAAACATTTAGTTAGGTTACTAACTGGTAAGATATCACGCTTGAATTACCTATATTGAAAGGTCTGATTGCATTCAGAAGTTGAATTCTGGTGTTGTTCTTATACTTATTCAATTTTTATTCTAATTATAGAACTTATGGAGACAAGGAAGACAGTTCTGAAAAAAATGATGATTGAGTCCGCAGATCTCTTGCCTAAAATAAAGAAACCACAAGATTCAGCCACAATAGTGAAAAAAACCAACAAAAATGTTCTGCTTCCAAAGTTCCCAATAGCAGCTGGACAATCTGTTGATGGTCTCAGAAAGTTGTTACAATGGAAAGAAGACCCATCTAGCGTTGAAAGCTCCACGGAGAATGGCGGCGAACTCACTGTATTTGATGTATTTGGAACAAATAAGGATATGTTGAAGTTAGTCAATACCAATGGTAGGTGGAAATAACAATAATAATCGCATGGATGTACTGTCCATTATTTTCATGAACAATGAACATGAACTTGCTACTGGCAATTTTGAAGTTTCAATGCACAGGGTGTCTCCTATGAGTCCTATGACCCCTACCTATAGCATCAACTATAAGAGGTGGAAAAAACTTCAAATATGGAAGTTGTAGGGTTTTATCTATACTATCTTTTGGCACTCCTCAAATAAACCAATGCGAATCGCAAAGTTGAAAAAAGTCCAAATCAGTTTTTTTAAACGTATTTAAACTGTTTTGAAAGATATTTTTCTTTTGTTCATAAATATATGCAGTGTGTGCGATTTCAACCCGCAACATTCTCCTAATTTGGAACCCTTCGACAAATTTTCAAAAACAAAAATTCCAAAATACTCTAAGAGTTCTATTCGAAAATGTGGACAAATCTGAAATATTCGGATTTTCGAAGCCTACTTTTGTTTGTTGAAGGGGTCAAAATGTTAAAAACGACTATTAGGCAATTTTTTTTAGAAACAGTGATTAGCCTATTAGATTCAGGCATAGCTGAAATACCCCCATACGTAATGTTAATGCAAAATCTCATATGGGTAGTTAATTAATCAATGGCAAATTTTGATATTTTTGATTTTTCGATTCACCCTGTATCAAAATCTAATGAGTTGATATTACCGGTGAAGTAGTCATTCAATGGAGGAACACATCGGATACTTAGATACGTAGTTTCATCGTTCTTCTACCGGAAGATCTCTCAATGTTAATAAGAAATAAATGAAATTGAAGTTGACAATTATTTTATTATGATCCATATCTTTTTTCTGGAAATATAAACAATGCTAACTAATTCGAGTGAATATTCTTTATACATAACAATTTCAATTGTCATCTCAAATTTTCATTCCATTCCGCCAAAATTGGTATATTATTATGATCACCTCAAGCGTCAGTATATCTCCTGGCATTCGTTGGAGAGTGTTTGTATGTCATTGTATTTGTAATACATTCGATAGCTCTTCAAAATTACCGTGTGGTGAAGTGTGTGGAAAACGGTTTACTTGAGTTATCAAAATGCTGAACCTCAACTTTACTTGATTTTCGGTTGACCTAGAAAGATCTTCCTGTAGAAGTTACAATGATGAAACTTCGTATCTGAGTATTCGATGTGTTTCTCCATTCAATGACTACTTCCGGTTATATCAACTCCTAAGATTTTGATACAGGGTGAATCGAAAAATCAAAAATATCAAAATTTGTCACTGAATATCTAACACCCTATATAAGATTTTGCATTCAAATTTCGTATGGGGGTACTTATTTCAACTTTGCCTGAATCGGATAGGCTAGTCACTGTTTCAAAAAAAGCCTAATAGTTGTTTTTGAAATTTTGACCCCTGCAACAAACAAAAGTTGCCCTTGGAAATCTGAATATTTTAGATTTGTCCACATTTTCGAATAGACCTCGTTAAGTACTATATTATGGAATTTTTGTGTTTTGAAATCGGTCGACGGGTTCCAAACTAGGACAGTGTTGCGGGTTGAAATTGCACTACTAATTATTTTGCAATAATTTCATAACATCTCACTATTTGGTATTTTTCCTCTAAATTGAAAAAACGACAGAGATGTCAAAAAATGTCTGTTTTGTTTCCTTCGTTTTTCGATTGTGACCACAGCCATCTAAATGTTTTTGGCAAATTTTTTGATTAAATGCTGAATAAATGAAAAATGGCTTGAGGACACATTAGCAAACTGTATAATTATATTTGTGAACAGAAGAAGAAGACATTTCACTAGAGTTGAAAATATACAGGGAGTTTCATTAAAAAACAAAACTGTTTTGAACTCTTCTTCATCATTTTGCGATTCGCATCTGTTCATTCCAGGAGTGCCAAAAGATAATACTGATGAAAACCTACAACTTTCACATTACACTTCGTCGAAAACTAAGATATAATAATAAAATATTACATAAGAGACACAAAAGAAACTTGGAGAATTCTTATTTTCACAGTTGTATGAATGAAAAAACTTGGAACTACTAGACCTGGATTTTACTGGTAATAAATTCGCGGTCGCTTGTACCACTTGCCCGAAAAAGCCTATTTTACAATATTACTAATATAGATGAAAACTTCAACTATTTCTAGGCTTTCATATGCATCTTATTTGTTTGATCTACTTGTTAAATCAGCTTTAAATTGCTTAGATCTGTCTTAATATTTTGTTACACTACACTTGATGTTTCAAATTTACGATACATTGAATGTGCTAGTGCTAGATGTTCCTAGAACCTAGTTTCCCTTATTTTTTTTTTATTGACTCGGACGTTACTTGATGGGAATCCATAGTAAATGTATTCACACGAACCACATATTAGAAGAAAACCATAATTTTGATAGTTGCAAAATTCTACACACAAACAGTAAAACAGAAGCGATTTTGTGTTATAGCCGTAGAAAATAGTATATTGTCTAACGAGCACGGAATAATAGTGATTTCCTACGAGAATGAAGTTTGCAGCATTAGCCATAGACGAATGCTGCAATCATTCGAGTTGAAAATTAGCATTCCGTACAAGTTATACACTATAATTTTTCTACGGCAATAATAGATAACAGCGGCATTTTCGATTTCTTCGTCTTGTAGCCATCTGATTTCCTGTCAAGTAATGCTCATCTAATAGACAGAGCTGTCATTGCTTGAAATTTGACATTGACATGTTCGCGACCGGTCGGCAACAGAAAACTCTCCTATTCGCGAGATTCACGAAGTGGGCGACATCTAGGTTTCATAATACGAACTTCAAACTGGGGGAAAACAAACTGTTGTCTATGGATAAAGTGCATAGACTACATTGCATTCAGCTTGCTGTAGCTGTAGTCAAACTTGTCAATGACATAAAGTGTTGGCACTGTTGGTAGTGGTGATGGTTGAGTTGGTAAATTTTTTCACATTATTACAATTTAATTAGTTTAGTGAACAGTGAACGGGTGAAGAATTAGAGATAGTTCAAACAATTCAAACTAATTATGACGAGCAAATCAATTGACATACAAAAGAACAGCTACAACATGTTTACAATACCCAGATTGTCCTGCTTTGCAGGAACAAATACAAATCCATTGTTCTACAGGAGTTCATCTGGACCCCAACTTCAATTTCACTTCATGTGGGGAAGATTTCATCGCCGATGTTCGTAGACAAAGTGCAAAAATGTGCCTTTTGTTGAAGTCTTCTGCCTCACACAAAATCACATGATTAGCACGAAGAATTGCTTCTCTTTTCACTACTTGTCGGCTTTTTCCATCTGAATAGAGCAAAATATCTGCCAAAAGAACATCTACAACAGGCATTATTAACCTTTTTCGATCGAATATTGACAATTCATGTCAAGAAATTTGAAAACATCACTCTTATCAGTTCACAGTACACAAGCTAATGGCACTAATGGGATTGAGTGAGGATTGAGTTTGTTTTCCCCCAGTTTTGACGTGGCTTTGACATGGAACGATGAAAACCGAGTGCCACCTGGTAACATTGATTCCCGCGAATATAGTTGAAGAAATGACGTGTGTTGATATTATTTCTTTTTAGAAACTGTGCACAAGCAAAACGGGAAGTATAGCTTGAATGCCATGCTGACAATGTTCAGAGGGGATCTTAGTTCTACTATCAAAGAAGCGATCGACGAAAAACGTGTTGATCAATGGATTATTTCTCTTGCACCTATGGTTTCCTCCAAGTAAGTTTATCAGAAATCGAAAATGAATTAATCAAGTTTTCATTCTACATTGAAAATTATTTGTACAGGGTTTCTATAAATGATCGTAACATCGTAGTAGCCGTTGAAATATTTTCTCCATTTGCCGCCTTTCATTTATGGAGATTCACACATTCGAATTTAATTTCTGACATCAATCATAATACTGTCATAGCTGATAAACTCAAAATTGTCAGTTTTTCCTTGAAATTTTCAAACGATTCTGTTTTCTACTTCGTGATTGTCGTGTTGAAAAGAGGGATGGCTTATTCCTCGGAGCAGAATACATTTATTGTAATGTCTTATTGTCGAAATGGCACATTCATCAATGGTGGATCGAGTTACTGGGTAGTAGCCTGCAAGGATGAGTACCTGGCGAAATATCCTATTGTACAGATTCAAGAATCTTCTTTGAAAGCCCACATCGGAACAGTAATCAACAGATCCATCCAAACTGGAAACGTTTATAAAAAGAAATCAACAGGAAGGCCCCAAATATCGGAAGAAGTTGTCGAAAATCTAAGGGCGCGTGTTGAGCAAAATCCCCAAACGTCATTGAATAGATTATCTTTACAATATGGTGTGCCACTAAGTACATGCCATAAAGTGCTCAATTGCATATGCACCCTTACAAGACCTGTGTACTACAGCAACTTCTGCCAATAGATATATCACGTCGTCTGGAGTACTGCCAATGGTTCCAAAATAATCTCAACGATGACCAGCTATTGGACCTAACATTTTTCAGCGATGAGGCTTGGTTTCATTTGTGGAGATACGTGAACTCACAAAATTTCAGGTTTTGGAGATCTGAGAATCCCCACAATTTCATTGAGACTCCACTACATTCTCAAAAAATTGGGGTGTGGTTAGCAGTTTCTCGTAGGCAGACAAGTGATGTTAGAACCATTCATCAATCAACTTGATGATGAAGAAATTCGAGTTGGCTATTTTCAGCAAGATGGGGCCACTGCCCACACCACACGTGCAAATTTAGAATATTTACAAGAATTTTATGACAACCGTGTGATAAGTCGAGGAGTTAATCCTTCTTTTCAAACACGTTCTCCAGATTTGACGCCTCTGGATTTCTGCCTTTTTGGATATTTGAAAGAAAAAGTATTCAAGAGAGACAATAAAAATATTGAAGAGCTGCAAGCCTCGATAACACAATGCTGCCAAAATATTGGCCCGGAAATAATGAGGAACATTTTCGACAACAGACGGCGAAGAGTTTTGAAATGCTTGGAGAACATTTTGAACATTTGATTTAGGTTAATGAAATGAACCGTTATTTATTACTTCTTTATTATAAATATTTTCGATATGTATTATATGTTATTTTTCAAAGTCCAATATTGGACTCTCCTTTCTTTGAGATACATTTATTATAGTGTATGCAAAACGATATAAAAAAGATCCTGTATATGATCACTTCCTCTCTTTTTGGTCATTAAATGTTGTTAACAGCATTAGTAGAAAGCGGCAAATGGAAAAAAAATCAACAGCCACTACGATGTTACGATCATTTATAGAGACCCTGTATTATAATGGTTCTGATGATTCTCGAATCTTGGACAATAAAAGTGCTAGTTCAACAAACTACCACAACGTATGTGCACGCCACAATGGACCTTTCAAGTATCGTAAATTTTTTTCCTTTTTTGCTATAATGTTATGAAGGGAAGTTAATAAATCCTGACCACATATTGATCGTGAAAATCGAAGGACAAATGAATTATTTATTATTGAAAATGCTATTTCAATACTTATGAATTCAAACGCTACTGAGCTGTGATGTCAGTGTCTTCTTGCAATTAGATTGGTTGGAGTTCTGACGGCTGGCAATCACTCCGCTGTTGCCAGATCTCTATAAAATCCTTGAATTGGTCCTATGTGCAGGATGGTGCAAGGAATGCAATGATTCAAATGCTGATCACATCAAATTTTTTTTGAACTGCAATATATTCCATTAGATTCAAGATTAACTAGGATAAAATGAGATGCCGGCAAGACGGTTTTTACATACTTAGTTTGATTTTAGTTATGTTGAAATTACGTTGACTAATTGCAAAGATCATACATACCCTAGGTAAGCACCGTAAATGTAAGAACAATAAAATAGTTTTTCATTTGTCTTGAAGGCATACTGTATACATTCATATTTCACACATCTTCATTTGTTGAGAATTGTATTACTATTATATTAAATAACATATTCAAACTGTGCGTGCGACTTACCTAAAATACGGCTGCGAGAAATCATACTTTAAAAAAAATGTTCAACAATACCCCCTCTTTATCACATGTTCATTTAATGGTTTCGGGACTTCCTACACAAGGGCGGCAAATTCTTTCCGCGGTATCATTTTTTTCAAATTTCAACACCAATCATCAATTTTCAATGCAAATTCAAATTTCATTAGCACAATTAGATAATTGTCTAGGAGATGTTGAAAACCCATGAAAATCATTACTTGAAAGATGTATTCATTGAAAAAACGTTGATAGCTGCTTGAGAATCAGACAGCTGAAGTTGTTTCTAGATGACAAACATCTATCTAGTTTCACTCCCAGATATTTCACAACGGGTGGTCCGTAACCTCAACAATCAAAGTCCGGCGTAGAACATTTTACTTATTTTTTTTACTGCAGTTTATCACTTCGGTTTTACCGTCGTTTACGCCGAGGTTTAACTCTTCGAACTACGGTATGACATTGGTTCAAGGAGGTATACTGCCTCATAGACCATTGCATCTCTACAAGCAAATTTATGAACCAGCGCAATTTTTGCACATTCTGATTGGGTCTAACGGATCATCTCGGCGAATGTTTGGCACAACGACTTCATGTATTCGTGCCTCGCTCACTAAAGCATACAGCTCGGATAAAAAACATTATTTCGTCCTTTGTTTCCCCTCTCTGCTGAATAAGCAATAATCTTCATATTGTACACTTTCTGATAAAGGCACCAAATCAAAATATGTGAAAAAATACAAGGTGTTCCATTTGAAAAAATGTATCATTCTTGTAGCTCCGCGTTTACGAAACATTTTGTATAGATTGGAATAATTTTGCTTCATAGACCTAATAGTATAGTACTATATCTCGTAAATGATAACCTCTATCTCTCATTGCAATGGAGCTATAGAGCTTTTCCACTAAGTGGACACCCGGTATAACTTATAGAAAGACATGATTTCATTCAAAACATTCACGAGCTTTCAGCAGCAAACTTTATCTAACTTCTGATGTCTTTTGGGTGTCCACTGGCGGTCATTTTGGAAAATGGCCACCACGGCCGCCAGGGAGCAGTTGGCGCTAGCCCCACATCCACCTCTGCGCCAAATTTGGTTCCTTTATCAAGAAGTGCACATTAGTTCAGCTAATCTGCTATACTATCTATAATAATTTATAGGTTATGGCAAGCGGCATGCGAAACTTACGCTCACCAACTTTCTGAACAGTCAGATACTAATCCCTTGGAAGTAGCGACGTATTTCTTAGCTTGTCACAAAGTCGAGCAAGCCATAAACTGTCTTTGCGAGGCTCAGATGTTCAAGGAAGCGTTGGCATTAGCGAAATGTCGCTTCACGGAAAACGACGTTGCCGTACAAGAGGTTCTGGACAAATGGGCCAAACACTCGGTGTATGTGGGGAATTTCGAGATTGCTGCCCAATGGTGAGTTGATTTTTATAATTAATTATTATGGTTATATTCCGAATTCAACTGACAGTACTGAATCTGCAGATTTTTCATTTCAATATAAAAAAAATCACGAAAGGGTCAGATACTTGTGAGTAGACATACTATTTATTCCAAATATTTCGATTCAACATTCTGCTGATATTGCTGACTATCAAAAGGTAGTGTAGCCTCAGTAAACTGTCATTATTGCAGAAGTCTTATCTTATCAAAAATAAATCAATAACATCATAATTATGTAATATCAGAAAATGCCTGGTATTGAAATAATTCATGCTGATAATAGACTGTTAGCCCGCGACACAGGGTTTATCGATGTTCTAAGTCGGTATGCCATTTAAGGGACCCACTCACTCAGTCCAAGTTAACAGGAAGAAGTGCCTCGAAGACTCGCAACCCCGTCCTTGCCCCGGCCCTGACCTCACCTTTCGGTTGGAAAAAAGTTCAAAATTTCGTCTAAGAAGAAGCTCGGCAATGAAGTGCAATGATCCTATCACGAAAATTGGGGCGCTTGCCGGTTTGCATATGCCTAGGTCACTCCCCAAGGGCGGCATACGAACCGGAAGTGGCAAAGGACCCCGCACTTTTTCTATATAAAAATGGCGTTCCGTCGAATTTCCCCAATTTTTGGTAAATGATAGTACTCGACATACTGATTGAATATGCCAAGTCCCAACTCAATCCTATGACTAGCTTACGAGATACAGGGTGTTGAAGTTGAAGAATACCTAATTTTTCTCGGCCTATATCTCTAAGATAGGACAAATGAATTCCAATTTTTCGGGAGCACGTAATAGTTATGCCCTTAGGCGCAAGAACTATATAGGTATTCGACCAAAACTGATTTTTATTACAGGGTGATTCTCATTTCAAATAATGTGTTTTTTTGAATATCTGAATATCAATGCTACAAATTGATAACAATTACAAAATGAGATTTATAGCCAAGTATGCTCTTCTTACATCAATTGAATTCGTAAAATATAATAATTATACATGGTGTTTCATTAATGCTGTTGATTGCATAATTGGTCTATCCTAAAGTTCATTGGGCCACCTCGTATTATCGGGTTGATTCCAGACATTCAAAATATTTTTGAAGGATGTATCCCAATGAGTTCCATGATATACAGAGTGATTCATCGATTGAAAAAATTGACAACCACGAAAAAATATTCAAAAACCACTATTTTTTTCATCACCCTCTAATTCGAAATTATTACCGTCGATGTAAGATTTTTTTCCACCAATATACTCAGTATGGATATTTCAATCAAATTGGGAATTTTCAGACCCATGCTATGACTAGTTTTTTTTATACATCGAATAATGTGAAAATAATTATGGAAAAGTAATTACATAATAACACGAAAAATTGCTCCGAATCGCAAAACTAGTAGTCACTAGTCAACTATGTCAAAAAATGTGATTTGTTCGTAAACAAAATCTAGTGGTCTTATTATAGGTCCGCTAGCAAAACATCTCGAAAATGTTTTTCAGAAAACATCAAACAAATCACAATATGCCCCCGAAAAAATCTCATCAACGACACAACTATTCTACGCACCCCTTTCATCAACTTCCAACTCATCAACGATCCCACTCATAAACGTGCTAAAACTCATGAGCGTTCGAAGTCGACAGCGGTTTTTCCCAACTCAATCCTATGACTACTTTTCGAAAAAAGTATGAAACTAAACTTCCGCAAACGCCTAGTAAGAGGTGCGTGTTAATATATTTTGCAACTCTCCTATATCCAACCAACTTCCAATCTTTTGACCATACTGTATATTGTTAGAATCGAAGTTAGTATATGCACATCGCAAAGACACTAAAGTTGGAGTTTTGGTTATGTAGATATTCGTTACCGGGTTCAGTATAGGCCTGAAAGAAAAATGTCAATTAAGAATTTCAATCACAGATTTTGAAAAAATAGACAAACCAACTCGTTTCCCCACCACCTGAGAGGTAGAGTTTCAGGCGCGTTTTTTTTATTGTGGTATCCCCTGTAGGCCTAGTCCACGTTAGAAAGTGAAAGTTCCAATACCTATAATATGATTGTGTGTAGGCAGGATTGGCGCAGTGGACGAGCACCCGAGTCAGGACTGCGGGGTCGTGGGTTCGATTCCCAGACAGCGCAAGGAATTTTTCGAATATTAATATACGAATTAAATATTGTGAAGTTTCGGAGCATCGGCTGGGGATAGTCCTGCACGATTCACTGTTGCGTGCCTACATACAATATAGATACATGTTCAGAACACTATGGGCTAAAGGACCTCATTAGGGATCGATGGTTGGTTGGTATGTACATACCTACCAACGAAGGACATATACTACTACTACTACTATAATTATGTTTCACAAGGAACACAGAAATCAACTAATCGCCAGATTCAAATCAGTTCCGGACCGATGTTCATATTTTCAGGATTCAATCGATTTGCAGCATCGTCGATACAATTCAAAAGGCGATCAGATGGAAAGGTAATATTTCCTTGGTTTCTTGCGTATCCAAGGAACCATACCACACTGGCTACGTGTGCACACGTCCCTAATGTTCTAGCACCGGACCTACAAGTACAGTAGTACCCTAAAATGGGCGGATCTTGTAAATTATTATCATCGATTTCTCTGAATACTAACCACAGCATATGTTTAGTGGCATTTCTGAACCGAGAAAATACTCGAAATCTTAAAAAATTGGGTTCCTCAATGAGTTCGTCAATATCGAGTGTATTTTGTTCCCCTCCATCTCTTTGTATCGTGTCTTGTATGTAGGAGGCAGCTAAGTGAATGTGATATGACCCTGTGAGTGTTTTCAAATATTCTAAGTCAAGTCGAGGAAACGTCGGTACATGTCTATGGTTCAAACGAAACCATCGACCATTTCTTGTACGGAGGTTTTCAGCCTCAACTCGGGCCTGAACAATGTTGACTTCTTCGATATCATGCAACATTTGTGTAGCTAATTCCAATGTGCCCGGCATCCTTATTGGAGGATGGTATTTGTTTATTAGGGCGCCAGCAATCAAATAGAATTCGCGTAATTTTGCAACATGTGTTATTGATATCGCTCCTCGGAAAAATTTGAAAATCGATTTGAAATGCCCATTTCTAGCCTCTACAATCCATCTGGTGCTAGTAATTAAGCGTGCCCTATTAGTTTCGATTGTTGTGAGTTGTCTTTGGTTTGGTGGTAGAAATGGTGGCATATGGTAATGGAGACCAAGATCCTGTAAAAGACCAATAGAGTCCCTATAACCCCTATCGACTATCACTACATCGCCTTCTTGAAACCATGTCCTCATTCTATTTATATCATTCTGTAGCTCATGCTGCAGAATGGTGGCATCATTATTTCTAGCATCAGAAAAGTATGGACCATTAATTGCCAAGATGTAGCCATCAGGAGCGACCATAATTTCAGGCTTAACCAGGTGCTCATTTTTATGGAAGCAGTAGGATTGTCTCAATATCCGGAAATTACTACTTTTTTCTATTTTGTTATATGTACAGTCTATATACACAATTGCTTTTGGGATATTGGGAGAAGGGTTGTATAGCTGATTGGTGTATACAGACACGTGTCTATTAATATAATCGTCTCTTGTAATAGAGTCGAAACCAATATTATTAGTTACAAATCTTTGCATTAGAGATATCCTCACATTCGATATTATCAAGCTAGTTGTTTGTCTTGAAGAAAAATGAAACAAGATTTTCAAAAACTCATCTGAAACTCCATGTTTCATTTTGATTAGAAATGTCAGTAAATGTTTCTTTTTGATATGCCTTCTATTTCCCCCTTGCTCGATTGTATCACAAAATCCATAAAGTTCTTGAAAATCTTCTTTTGAAATCGACGTCAGAGCTTTGAACTCTTCTTCTGTAAAACTATCAATATCATCCCAGTTTCTAATACGTCTATTTTCATTGGCAACTGTTCTCATACACTGTAGAAATTGAAGCATATTTGATATCAAATAGGGTTTGTTGATAAAATTCAAACCTCCATGCAAATTATTCAAGAGAAATCCATGAGGGTCAAGATGATGACCACAAATTCTCAGAAAGTCCGGAACATAAATATTCGTTACAACAAAAATGTTCACCCTACATGCAAGAGTTATTCTCTGAACATGTTGACGAGCATTACAGATTATGCAGGCACGGCTCATTACTGGACTCAATACATTTAGGCGAAGACAGTTTGGGTTATTTTCCATCTCATTGATATCAATTATTACACTGTTATGACAATTGAAACAAACTCTGGTATCATCAAAAATGTCAATTGGAGGATTTCCAGCAGCTTGTCTTCTAAATGTTGCAATTTGCAGAAAATCAACATTATCTTCACGATTTATACGAATTGTAAGTCTAGGAATGAAATTCCCTTCGCATACATAACATCTTACCCTATTTGCAAATGCCATAATGCGCACTAAATTCACTAAACAATTACTGAAAACGACTTAAAAAACACTCAGAATAAAGATATACGCTGATATGATATTTTAAGATACTGACAACCCGAAAGTTGCTGGATGACAGACACATTTATTGATATCATGATTTTGTTTTCTAAGCCTACTGAAAAATATTCTATCTGGTTGCGATAATCCAAATTCGACTTCTACGAAGTAAAACATACTTATTAATTCGTGACAACCCAAGTTTCTAGACTAATTCGACCCCGCCGATTCCGAAAATATCAGTTGTCAACTTGAATTGGGACTAGAACTTACCCTAAAATATAATTTTATAGTTATTTGAGGATGTCTATCGATCTATTACGGTATGTATATCTTACGATATACATTACCCAATGCCACTATTTCTTCCAACAAATAGATGTTGTTGGAAAACGAGTTGGTTCATGTATTTTTTCAAAATCTATGATTGCAATTCTGAATTGATATTGAGTGGAAGAAAGAGGCTTCGAGATTGTTTCATTATTATTTTACTATATTTTTGATGTGTTGGATAAATGATGATTCCTCGGTACCTTCTGATGTTCCTGTATTCCATTTTTCTTTCAAGTCTATACTGAACCCGGTAACGAATATCTACATAACCAAAACTCCAACTTTAGTGTCTTTCCGATGTGCATATACTAACTTCGATTCTAACAATATACAGTATGATCAAAAGATTGGAAGTTGGTTGGATAAAGGAGAGTTGCAAAATATATTAACGCGCACCTCTCACTAGGCGTTTGCGGAAGTTTAGTTTCATATTTTTTTCGAAAAGTATAGTCATAGGATTGAGTTGGGAAAAACCGCTGTCGACTTGGAACGCTCATGAGTTTTAGCACGTTTATATGAGTGGGATCGTTGATGAGTTGTGTCGTTGATGAGATTTTTTCGGGGGCATATTGTGATTTGTTTGATGTTTTCTGAAAAACATTTTCGAGATGTTTTGCTAGCGGACCTATAATGAGACCACTAGATTTTGTTTACGAACAAATCACATTTTTTGACATAGTTGACTAGTGAGTTAGTGACTACTAGTTTTGCGATTCGGAGCAATTTTTCGTGTTATTATGTAATTACTTTTCCATAATTATTTTCACATTATTCGATGTATAAAAAAAACTAGTCATAGCATGGGTCTGAAAATTCCCAATTTGATTGAAATATCCATACTGAGTATATTGGTGGAAAAAAATCTTACATCGACGGTAATAATTTCGAATTAGAGGGTGATGAAAAAAATAGTGGTTTTTGAATATTTTTTCGTGGTTGTCAATTTTTTCAATCGATGAATCACTCTGTATATCATGGAACTCATTGGGATACATCCTTCAAAAATATTTTGAATGTCTGGAATCAACCCGATAATACGAGGTGGCCCAATGAACTTTAGGATAGACCAATTATGCAATCAACAGCATTAATGAAACACCATGTATAATTATTATATTTTACGAATTCAATTGATGTAAGAAGAGCATACTTGGCTATAAATCTCATTTTGTAATTGTTATCAATTTGTAGCATTGATATTCAGATATTCAAAAAAACACATTATTTGAAATGAGAATCACCCTGTAATAAAAATCAGTTTTGGTCGAATACCTATATAGTTCTTGCGCCTAAGGGCATAACTATTACGTGCTCCCGAAAAATTGGAATTCATTTGTCCTATCTTAGAGATATAGGCCGAGAAAAATTAGGTATTCTTCAACTTCAACACCCTGTATCTCGTAAACTAGTCATAGGATTGAGTTGGGACTTGGCATATTCAATCAGTATGTCGAGTACTATCATTTACCAAAAATTGGGGAAATTCGACGGAACGCCATTTTTATATAGAAAAAGTGCGGGGTCCTTTTTCAGTGTTATAGTCGATGATCTAAGAATATATGCCCTTTGGCGAAACAATGAATTCGGACCCATTAATCAGTTTCCCGACATTTGCATACGATTCCAGGGAGGGGAGCTCGACTTATCATTTGACTGGATATCCTTCAAATAATCGATACAGTATATATGAGATGATGGTTTGCATACAATTTGCACATTCCGCACAGGGTGGTTCACGCCCTTGGGGAGTGACCTAGACGTATGTAAACCGGCAAGCGCCCCAATTTTCATTGCCGAGCTTCTTCTTAAACAAAATTTTGAACTTTTTTCTAACCGAAAGGTGAGGTCAGGGCCTGAGCAAGGACTGGGTTGCGACTCTCCGAGGCACTCCTTCCTGCTAACTTGGACTAAGTGAGTGGGTCCCTTAAATTGCATACCGACTTGAAACATCGATAAACCCTGTGTCACGGGCCAACAGTCTATAATGATATTCAAATTTCACCAGCTAATCAACTGCTGCTGATTACTTATAAAAACCATGAAAACGTGTTCCGAATTACAGCACTGTATTTTTGATTTCATATTTCGGAACACAGATTTTCAGCAGTCGGTGGATTTACTGACAGTAGTCGGTGGATTTACTGACAGTACTGACCAGTGGAAAACTTGTTCCGAATTACAGCACTGTCTTTTTGATTTCATATTTCGGAACACAGATTTCACGCAGAGTGGATTTACTGACAGTACTGACCAGTGGAATTCGGAATATAGCCCATAAATGATAGCCACAGCTAGGGTTCCTAAATGTGGGTTCCTGTGTATTTGACACTATACATACAGAGTGACCCATTTGAAAGCGGGATACTCTCATAATTTCTTTATTTATGAAACGATTTTGATGAATGTTTTTCTGAAATGTGGAAGGGCAAAGGTGTATTTTAGTTCTAAGTGGCGTCAATTTTTTTTTCAAAAACAAAGGCCTTCTAGAACACAATCAGAGGCTCAAAATCCGGTAAATTACAGAGACCAATGGCTTTGTTGAGTATTTTTTCCAAAACACTTGAGAGAGTTTGGGTTTGACTTGAATCAATTTGGTTTTCAAGAGAAAAGTGGCACACAGTCAGCAGTATTACAAGTATTCAATTTTATACAAGACATACTTGACAAAGGAAATTATGTAGTATATTTTTTGGACCAAAAAAAAAATTTGATACAGTTGACCACAATATTCTCCTGAAAAACCTTAATTCAATGGGCATCAGAGGTATTGGAAACAATCTCTTGAAAACATATCTAGAAAAAAGGACTATCAGTACTAAAATCAATAATTGTGAATCTAAAATACTATATATAAACAAAGGAGTTCCCCAAGGATCAGTGTTCGGCCCAATTCTGTATCTTTTACGCATTTAAAACATTTCAAAAATCAATTTAATAGGAGTTTCCTATCATTGAATAAAAATATTAGTATCATTTCAATATAACTGTCAGATGATTAGCCCCCGAAATGTCAATGCACCCAATATTAGTGACACCTTCTTTGAAAAATGTTTGAAGTAGAAGAATATAGGTGTATCTTTGGACTGTCCAGGAATGAATCTGCTTCCGTTTTTAACATAGAAATGGAAAATAATTCTTCCGGTTGATCTCTTCGTTAGTTATTTTGACACTTCTCAGTGGCAAAAGTTGTCAGAAAAAATAATGAGTTACAGGGTGTTTTCTAATTGATCTTGAATTTACCATTTTCAATCCAGTAAGTTAAAAAACAAGGTGTCACTAAATATCCATCAAATTCTTTTGCTAGGTTCCTAATAGGTTCCACAGGCACAATTTGGGGTAATTCATCTGATTTGTCCTCACTACGTATAGGGACGAGGAGAGAATATCTCAAAAATGGATTTTATTTACAACCATATACAGTGTGACCCATTTAAGATGGAAGCACCCTTATAAAACTTACATTTTTCAACCGATTGGAATGATTTTTTTTGTTTGTTAGGTAGATATTCAAAAAGTCTATTAGGACACCAAATATCATGAATAAATCTCCATTTCCAGGGCCAACTAATCTGATTTTTCAAGGTCAAAAATCTAAAAAAATTACTAGCGATTTTTTTAGAAAAAATCTGACTACACCACTGGATTTGTGACATTTTCAAATGGGTAACATGTAAATTACGTTGAAATGCGTCAATCAATAAAAAAGTTATAAAGGAATGAAATTTGAAAAATATGCCGTTTAATCAACCCATCAATTTTTATTACTGAACAGATTTCGATGAAACTGTGATCAGTAATATTTCAAGACATCCTGAATCCAGTGGAGTATACAGAATTTTCATAAAATTCCTGAACATGAATTGGTGGGTTGATTAAACCGCATATTTTTCCAATTTCATTCCTTTATAACTTTTTTATTGATTGACGCATTTCAACGTAATTTACATGTTACCCATTTGAAAATGTCACAAATCCAGTGGTGTTTCTAAAAAAATCGCTAGTAATTTTTTTAGATTTTTGACCTTGAAAAATCAGATTAGTTGGCCCTGGAAATGGAGATTTATTCATGATATTTGGTGTCCTAATAGACTTTTTGAATATCTACCTAACAAAAAAAAAATCATTCCAATCGGTTGAAAAATGTAAGTTTTATAAGGGTGCTTCCATCTTAAATGGGTCACACTGTATGTAATGTTGTCTTTACTAACGTTGTTGAAGGATGGGAAGTGTCATATTACACACCTCTACTTCCCACCCTCAATTATGTAATATTTCAGATATGTTCAGAACGAAACACAGATTTATTAATTTTGATCGAAATATGATGGTTGTAAATAAAATAGTATACAAACCTCGGTAGGAAGTTTCATTCCTGTCTCGAGATTATAGCTAACCTCGACGCTTTGCGTCTCAGTTAACTAACTAATCTCATGTCAGGAATGCATCACTTCCCACCTCGGTGTGTAATATACCATTCCATCTTCTCGATTAACCTACAGACAGTATTTTAGTACCTAGATGGAACTAAACCCACTTAATATTGCAGCTTTATTGTCCTGGGAAAATATGAAGAAGCTGCTTCAGTTCTCTTCAGAAGATCCGACATCGAAACAATGGAATTTGCTGCTGAATTGGCTGAAAAGTCCGGGAACGTAGAGCTACATAAAGCGGCACTTTTCAGATACAAATCTTTCCTAGCCGAAAGTAGTGGGGAAAATGGCGACAAAGAAAAACAAGAAATGTCCACCATAGCGGAAATATCTATGGATGGGAATGAAATAGTTGGAACCGCAAATGGAGATGAAAATCTGAGTACTGGAACTAGTAAAAATATTGATAATTTGGAGAATGTGTCTCAAGAAGAAATACTTCCACGAAAGACTGAAAAAGACGATGCAAATAAAACTGGAGATACAGATGTGGTTCAAGAACATGGAACAGAAGAACAAGGAGAAACAGATCTAGTAGTTGAAACTGCAAATGAAGATAAAAATCCGAGTACTGAAACTAGTAGAAATATGGATAATGTGGAGAATGTGTCTCAAGAAGAAATAGTTTTACAAAAGACTGAAAAAGACGATGCAGATAAAACTGGAGATACAGATGTAGTAGTTCAAGAACAGAGAACCGACATACAAGGAGAAACAGATCTATTAATTCAAAATCCAAATGAAGAAATTCCACAAGATGATAATGCATTAGTTCCAAGCAAAGCAGAAGAAACTTTGCAACTAAATGCACAGATTTCCCAAAATAAAGCTCCAGAGGAAATAGTTCCACAAAAGACTGAAACAGAAGATAAGACTGTCAAAACAAAAATGCAAGACGTAGTGGAGGAAAATAATGAAGGAGTTTCACAAAACGGCACTCCTTGTTTGGTACCCAATGTAGAAAAAACTCTATCAAAAGAGGAAACGAATCACCAAAGTGAATGTGCAAGTGGAGAACTAATAAACACTGACTCTTCTGAAAAGGAAAATGATGTGGACAAAACTGAAGAACATGAAGGAATTTCCAAAAACCAAATTCCCCGAAGAAATGTAGTTGAGGTACACAATAAAGAGGTACCACAAAATGGCACTGTTTGTTTACTACCCAACACAGTGGACACAAATTCAGTACAGGAAGAAAATCTTCCCGAGAGTGAATCTGCAAATGGGATAAAAATGAACACTGGTTCTTGTGAGAAGAAAAATGTTTTGTCAGGGACAAACAACAATAATGAAGGAATTATTGAAGTTGAAACCTTAGAAGAAGAAATACAAGAAGTAGTTCAACAAGGATCAGAGGGAAAAAAAGTTGCGCAAAAATCCACGAGTAGAAATAAGAAAAAACATAGGAAACATTAGGCCAATGTCTGATAAAGACAGTTTACCCAACAAATATTAAGCGATAAACCTTTTGTTTTATTTGTTAATGGAGATTTTTTTTAAATTTCGAAGAAATTTTATTTTTTGTACTGAGTACACGTTATTTTTGTTCTTACTTATGATAAGTCAATAAAAAGTTATTTTTGTACTTAGTTTATTTCCTATTTCAAAAATGTATGGACTCAGGTTTTACATTTCTAAACAATAAATACCACGTGACAGTCTTAATCAGAATGCAGTAGGAAAGTCTAATAAAATTGTACAAATACAAAAATATCCTCGGTTTCAAATATTATACTGTAAAAACAATAAATTAGCCCATTCTGAAAATTGAATAGTTGTTGGAAAAAGTTGAATATCTACATTAATTAATGATCTATATTTACATTTTTGTAGAATAATCACTATTTGTTGATAATTTTATAAAACAAAGTCAGATCTGATGAGGATTTCCAAATGAAGTGTTTGACTGTTCTCAGATCCATAGACGGATCCAGCACCTGAAAATGAAAAATTGTACAAATTCATGTTGATCCAATTGACTGCCAAAAAGTCGCAGTTGAAGAGTGAATATTCATTCGGTGGTCCAATATTCTATGATTTTTCCCTTCGATATACATAGACATGATATTTAGGAACACCCAGTATAATTTTCACGGACATTCGTCGTGTATGTTTTTCAGATTTCATAAATATGCAACCTCAGACGGTTATTATGCAAATAGATCAGATCATAGACATATAAAAAGAGGGGAGACGAAATTATTTACATTTTGTCCAGATCCAACCTCGTTTTCCGCAGACAACGATGATGACAAATTTCTGCGGATTGCCATAGATCGACCGCTCCAGTGTTTAAAACCGAGAGAAGCATTTATCATACATATTAATCAACAAGCGTCTACAAACACCGAAGGTTCTCTGAATCCGACGATGTTCGATCACCTTCGGATCATTCGCAACTGCCTTTCGCGAGCGTTTGATTTTCACCCAGCTACTTCTAATTATTTGTGGTTATGTACAGCCAATACAGCCATGTACAGTGATTGTCTTGTACTTGTGTGCATGAATGGATTTTGGCATTGTATTTTTTCAAGTTGTTTGCTTGTTTACCAGAAATCTAGAATGACTTGGTGCCCTATTTTTGTAATCAATCGTTTTACAACGTCAGTAGCTAGAACTACCATTATATTTTATCAATGGGCTTATATCACAAACAATTTTTAATTCATAATTCGATAGAACTCACCCAAACTAGCTCACCACCGCAAACCGTTTCTTGCTGTGAGCTCCCTACGTTTTATAAAAAATTATTGAAATCCCCGATTTTTCGGACCTCCGAAAACGAGGCGATGATGTGACGTCAAAACCCTAATACTGAAACAAGACTATTCCAGACAGAGATGAATGATACATGATTTCTGACAAATCACCAAGATTGGTGAATCTGCAAGTTGATTTTTGGGACAAAGATAATAAGAACAAGAAGAAGATCAATTCTAACCTATATTAACTTTTTGCAAATCGCGAAACTTTCGAATATTAAAGGTGGATTCATGCAAGCAAAATTTAAAACTTAAATGAATTTTAAACTTAAACCAATAATATAAAACTATGAAATGTAATGTAGGTGCTCATGCAAGAAACTAAAAAATTAAAACTAAGAAAGATGGCCAACATTCAACTAAGAAATTAATTTCTTCCATAATTCACAACTATGCATGCGCCAAATAATAACTAGCCGCGCTGGAAAAAGAATAAACAGCTGATGAAAGGTTATTGCATGAACACCCATATATTTTTAATTTAAAATTCGTTTAAATCTCAAATTCATTATAATTTAGTTGATGTTGCATGAATCCACCTTAAATTGAAATATTTCGACAAAAGTATGATTAAGAAATGTTTTGTGCCTAATTGAAATTATAAAAACATCATTTAGCTGGGAATTTTGGGAACAAATCTGGCCCCCTCACTGGGTAAACACAATATTGTAGTTGTTTTGCTTTGCATAAATTCATTGGGAAATTGCTTGAAAAATGAATGATCCATCTCTTAGAGGAACATTCAAAGGGAGATGCAAGTAGTATCTAGTCTAGGGAATAACCATACATTGTTTCATGCCAATTGATCATATTGTTGCATAGGTATATAGGCATAGGCATATCAATCAGTGACTGATTCAATGAGGATTCTCCATATGATGGGTATTCTGATGTTAAATATCCTTTCAGGTGAACAATTTTCCAATACAACTATAATAGGTACAAGCAATGAAAATTGAATGAATATTGTGTAACAAACCTTTCAGATTTTCTATTCCTCACTTCACTGAGAAACTGTATGTTAGGGACATAAAAATCATTAACCATTTCCAAATCAATTTTTGGGAGATTATCTGAAGAGCCTTTTACAAATATTGATTCAACGTTCATATTTATATTCAATATATAAATATAATATAAAGCAAGATTTGGAGGTTAATTTCATTTCGTGTCTTCTCTTCTCATTTTAAACGAAATAAATAACTTCGGAATCGGAATTCGAAACTCGATGCAAATGCAGCTCCATGTAAAACGAGTCAACAAAGCAATGTTGCTGCGTTTATTAAATGTATTGGATTATTGTGAAATTGTAATGGTGCAAATGGTTTGAGATTGAGACATTACGTTGTCAAGAGATTGTTTATATTCCAATGATTCAACCTACAGTCGACAACTTGAATAATATATTCTTCTGCAGTAGTGGTAGTGGATATCAAAAGATATTTCAATATCGATTTCGATCTCTCGGATATTTTGTTTGGATGATATGGCAACAGTGATAAGTGTCACACATGGGTCACGCTCATTGGTTCAAGGCGAGATGAGGTTTCTACGTCATAAGAGGGTCCGTTTTCAGAAGGCACTATTATTTATGTTCAAAAATAAAACATTCCAGTTGATTTTTCGATCGAATTATGTCGTCAATCATTATTTATGTATAAAAGGATCATTATAAACATGGTTTGAGTTGAAATTTCTACTAAGGTGTACACGCCCATTATATACCCTTATGTCAAGTTATTGATGGGTCACCTTGTATGCATTACTTATTGTTAGCTATTATATCTATTCTGAGTCGAAAAATATGTCAGAATATTGGGGCCCGTACAGGCCCAAGTATCCACAAAATGCAACTTTTCAAAATGTGCGTAGCACATGAACATTTCATGGAATACTTTCAAGCCTAAAGAATGAATAGGTTTTTTCAGGTATTTTGCTTGGTGGCTATAAACTGTGATCATTTTCGATATAAAAGGCTATTGCCCTGATGCTCATGAGCTCATGTAGGCGTTTTTAGATGTGCAGACATTTCAACATGAAGTATAGGTAGCGAGATAGGTAGGTTCCTCTATATTCAACCTTCTCATACTTTCCTATAGATGAGAGAATTTAAATAATCAACGAGAGCTTTGATTGTGTTTCTGGCCAGCAGAAGATTATGGAAGCATTAACAATTGGTAAAGGAAAAAGAGAAACCAATGAATTGAATTCCGAAAAAGAAAAATTCAAACTAGAGCTTATTATACTCGTTGATAGTATAGAGAGTCACATTTATAGCGATGAGGAGGGAGAAAACCAGTATGGCATTTTCTGACAATAAGTTACCATCTAAAACGCACCAAAATAAAAAAATTACTCAACAAAGGCGTTTATACCGAACAACCAAAGAAGCTGTTCCTAATAAAGGACTTAGTAATAAATTAATCCATCCAGATGATATGGACGCCGATAATATCGCAATAAATCTAATGTATCCACCAAAAACAATAAATTAATAAGTAAATTTATAAGTTGTGTTTATTTTGTAAATTTTGTCCTGATATGAAAAAAAAAACATGTGAGGCCTTTGCAATGTTTAGCTCTCGCTATAATTTGTTTCTCAAGGTGAATTCGGAAAGAAAAAAATACTTTGCATCATTTTTCCAAAACATTACACTCGATCACTTGATACTCATGGAATATTATTGTTTTTAAATTTGGCGCGCGCTCTGCATCAGCGGCGACGTCCGACCATGATCGGACATCGTCGGATTCAGAGAGCCTCCGGTGTTTGTAGACGCTTGTTATTAATCATTATACAGGCTGTCCCATAAGTAATGGATCAAAAGGAGTGGGGGGGGGGGGTAGGGGGAGGGGTGTCATTTGAGATCAAACTAACGGTATATGATGTTATCAAATTGTTGATGGTTCAAATTCAATTTTTCTGAGAAATGCGGCCCATTTGAAAAAAACTAATAACAAAAAGGCTGTTTTGGATAACCACATAATAATATGTCATACTATTTCGGGCAACTTCTTCACATGATTGGTTATCTTTGTGGGTTAGTTTTAAAATCTGCCAGCGGCATTTAAAAATCGACTTTAATATTTCATTCGATGACAAAACTCAAGGACAACAAAATTTTTCTCCTGTAATTGATAAGAAGTAATACATGTCATAAAAGTATTTCTGGGGAAAGGTGAATCCACGTCGATGAAATTTGTAAAAGAAAAAATCACAAGTCTGACATATTTATATTGTTATTAATTCTTTTTATAGGAATGAAAAAACATTAATAATAACTTTCGAACCATCAATAATTGGATAACCACATACATACGGTTAGTTCGATTGGAAATTACCCAACCTTCCACCCCATTTCTTTTGATCCATTACTTATGGGACACCCTGTATAATATAAATTTTTTATGTATTTATTCTGTATGTTTGAAATTTATGTGAATTCTGCTATTGAAATGATTAAAATTTTCCTAATGTTATCATTACATGGAATTATTTATATTATGGAACGTTACGCATATTTTTCTTAGTCATTCACGTATGTCAAAATCCAATGTTACACACCTAGAGCGCGCGTTTTCAGTTATTCGAGTTTTTGATGAAAATGATGAGGTTTTTCGAAAAATTACTGAAGTAAAAAAAGTTTCAGAATTGAATTGCCCACAAAACAGAGTGAAGATTTTTGAAATCCATCAAGTGTTAACAAAATTATGTTGAATATTAATGGTGCGCCACCCGGTATACCCCGTTTACAAATTTCAATTACACTCTAGTTACTATCAAGTAACGCCCTAAATACATCCACAAAGTGTACCAAATTTGGTTGCTTTAAGTTCAAGAATAACGGAGATATTGATTTTTTTTTTTAAATTCATTACTTCACTTTCAAAGCCTATATCTCCTTAGGGAAGCAACTTGGTATAGAGGTGAGTTGCGTTAAATTGCCATATTTTGGGACCCCCTACATGCCCCTGCTCTATGTCGGTTCTTATGTAAATCGCCCTGTATATCATGGGATCAAAGGCTCATTTCCTCATATGTGTGTTTGAAGCCCTACGCTACGCGTTGGGCATAACATTCTACACGCGGGAGGAAATTGGATATCTTTGCTCTCTTGATATACAGGCTGATTTTAAAATAAGTGCATATATTTTAAACACTAAGAAAGCTTGAGGTATACTACCGAATAGCACTATTAAAAATATTATTAGGATCAAAATAGATTTGGGGCAAAATACCCTTTTTCCGCCCAGATTTCTACTTCTGTCACAACTATCGTTTGCGATCCGCAGTCGACCGTGATGAACGAAGCGACGTTGCCACTCTACATGAAAATTAGGAGATATTAAATAAAATGTATAATCGAGAAAATGTACATGGGGAAGAAGTTAACCCTGGTCTTGAATTTCAGAAAGAAAATACAAAAACTTCAAAATGGACACACCCAAGATTTCTACACATAAGCTCGAATAGCGTATAACTTAACACCTCACGGTTGGAAGTTATTTTACTGAAAAATCCTTTAGACCCTTCCTTCCACCTCCTTGCATCGCTACAATTTCGTGGTCTTCGAGGAGTCTCATGGGCCCCGCACAATAACGACCCGACATAAGAACCATATCATTCAGCTCAATGTTTGAGAAATGCATCGTCACATTCCAAGCAAATTGTCAGAAACAAAACTTTACATTCAGTGTTGTTCCTGGGTCTGATTTTTTCGTAATAGATTTTCTTGGAAAATGGTAACAGATTTGTATCAAAAGGTAATAGATCCTAAAAATCTGACATTTGACATTCTGAATGTCATTCTTGTAAAACCATATCGCACAAATTAGACAGTTTTGGCAGGAATGAGGCAGGTCACACAGAACTTATGACATAAATATAGAACATAGACCCATAGAGCAGAACATAATTATCCGCTGAACACAGAAATATATTTTTTAGTAACAAAACATCATATTTTGGTGCTAACAGTAACAAAACATCATATTTTGGTGCTAACACCCAATAGTAATAGATTCATGACAAATCGTAATATTGTAACAATCTCCGTGGAATAGTAATAGATCTATTACAAAAGTAATGACAAGGACCACACTGTTTACATTTACTAGTATCACGTTTTGACGTTTTCCAAAATAACATACATTCTCAGAACAACAAACTGTCAAGAAAGGATCTTTGTTTTGATTGTTCTTATGGTGTGCTACCAGCAAGAATTCAGATGACCATGAATTACTAATAGGCGACTTTTACGGACCAATCAGAAACAGCAAAGTAGTGCCTGCGTGGTTGCGATTCATCCTGATTGGGCACAGGTGATTGAGATTAATGTATTAGTGAGGAAGGATCATATCTTTAAATGAAACTAACATTTTCATAAAAAACTAATTTGGAAAGAACATCTATTAGTTTAATTCAATGAAATGATACTTCCTCACTATACACTAATCTCACAAATCCAATCAGCTGTGCCCAATCAGGATGAATCGCAACCACGCAGGCGCTACTTTGCTGTTTCTGATTGGTCCGTAGAAATCGCCTATTAGTAATTCATGGTCATCTGAATTCTTGCGTCCGAAACTGTCAGAAGCATGCGCAGTTTCACAGAACTGTATGATTTTTTTGGGTTCTGTGGACTTGTGCATGCTTCTGACGGTTTTGGATTGTTTATTTTCTGAACGCGAACAATCCTAGTTAGAACTGTCAAAGGTCACAGCAAAGAGGAAATCTATGGTCACAGATACTACTGTTCTGAGAAATGATAAATGATGTTGACAGATCATAGGATAATAGTTTTGTTTGTGTGTTTGTAAAATAATTGTAAACGTAAAATAAAAAATAAAATAATTGGATGTTGTGTCTTGTGTCGTGATAATCGTGATATGGTCGTGATTTTCAATGTGAGATTGCCAGGAAGGATATGTCGTCGTCGAGTCGTTTTCGATGGTTTAAGTGCGAATATGAACCAACAAGAACACAGGACGATATTAGTCTGGAATGGACTCGATATTAGTATTTGTTTGCTCTCGGGAGTTTTGCTGTTCGAGCAGGTATGAGAAAATCTACAAGGTGAGTCGATTTTCAACTTTGTGGAAGGAAGGGGGACGTTCTATCATTCCCCTCATGTTTCTCTCCGTCTCTCGTGATCCATGGAGATAATCACCCCACAGTTCTCTCAGTGAACTTTAAAAATAAGGCTCCTGTACATATTACATTCACCTCTATTAGTTTCCATAACCTATTTCAATTCATATTCATTCTGTGACAAATTTTTATCAGGATATTCGTCTCTGAAACAATCTGGCATCACTGTCTTGTTTTGACTTTAGTGAATGACGAATTGGAGATTCCCTGGGATTCCGTAGATTTCACTTGCTTCCCAGTGGCGTACTTGAATTTCGAAGCAATTTATGTTCAATTTTCAAAATGAAATGTCTCGTTAATGTGAAGACTTAGGAAAAATCAAATATTTTAGTAATTTTTGTTAGACTCTCTCATATATATGTCTTGAATATATGCACTCATTTTAAAATCAGCCTGTATAAAAAGCTCTTCCTCCTGTTGTACCTTCGATTCACTGAGTTCTTCAAAGATATTCCATATTCTTACCTGTTCGTTACACGTCAACTCGATCTGGTCAACATTGTAACCATTATTCGATGGGGTGGATGAATCTGCATCTCCACAACCAGGAGAACTGGCAGTACCGTCGCCAAGAAGCTTCTCTAAAATGTGTTCGGCTACTTTTCGACACTGTATAAAGTCATTCGCTACGAGTCTGTCAGGCTAAAAATGAAGAAAGAACTAGATAATTATGGAAACAATGAAATCACGATATTGGAAATGAGGTGAAATGTTTCAATGTACAATATAGAGTACCAACCCCTATAACTATTTTTTTTAATAGTTATTTTCGTATCTAGAGCGCAAAATGCTACTTTTGTGATATAGTCAGGATGACAAATGGAATAGAAGGTTCACCCTCACTATTCCAAGCAGGGAACAATGGAAAGAGAACAGAGTGGAATTCCGCCCGGGGAGTCTAGTATGTTATACGGACGGATCGCGCCCAACTGACAAACAGGACTCAGGTGCACAGTTTTTCAGGCTGAGTTCTTTGCCATTCTGGCAGTAGCGGAGAGGCAAGAGGTGAAAGAGGAACCAGAGCAGAAGATTTACATCTGCTCGGATAGTCAGGCGGCTCTCAGGGCTGTCTGCCATCTTAAACCAAGCTCAGCTTTGGTGCAGGAATGTGGCGATGCTCTTGAGAAACTAGCTGAACAGAAGGAAGTCGAACTAGTATGGGTTCCGGGGCACAGGAGGGTGCCCGGGAACGAGGTGGCCGACGAGCTGGCTAGAATCGGATCCGCGACACCGTCCTGGGGGCCGGAGCCTGCACTGGGCATAACAAGAAGCCAAACTTAGTCTGCCCTTAACAAATGGGCGGACGAGGCACTAGAAGTATATTGGAGACGTATAGGCGGCTGCAGGCAATCGAGAGACCTGGTGGCCGGCCCAAGCAAGCCAAAGACGGCTTGGTTACTGGGCAGGGATCGCCAAGTCCTGCGCCTTCTTATAGGGATACTGACAGGGCACAACAGGTTACGCAGACACCTATCACTCATAGGTGTGGAAGATAGTCCCACTTGCCGTGAATGCGGAGAAGATGAGGAGACATTTCACTTCCTCGGAGAGTGTGAGGCGTATGGAAGGATGAGATTCGAAATCTTTGGAGTAGATAAACTACACCAGGAAGATTTGGTCGAATTAGACTGGACGGACATCCTGACCTTCATCAGAAGGACGGGAAGGTTCGAAAAGGACAACTAAAAGAGGGATGTGTAGATATGTGGAGAGCAGGGGTTGGCAAAAAGGGCCCATGGGGGCCTACTTGCTTGGCTACAGCCTCCCCACAGTACTACTACTACTACTAGTCGAGATGACCAAAGTATTTCGGGCTCAAGTTACAAACAACATTTTTTTACAAACGTCAAGAAATATAGTTCTAAAGTAAAAATATGCTTAGCTTGATATCAAATACAGTGTTAAACTGGCTTAAAAGGTCTGCCCCTATCCTCCCTAGGTACGCACGATGTTCCACGAACATAATATGAATTTCCTTTCGTGCGCTGCAAGAGATAAAACAAAGTTATTGTTGAACATTCAGAAATAAATGATTTTGTAGATCCATAAAATTGAAATGTAGATATCTTATATATTTTACATAACAATGCGCGAAGTAGGTAATTCGCGCACTGTTTTACTTCGGACCATCCAAGATGGCGAAATTGTTATTTTTAATGCACTTCTACAATATGGGTATCAAATAAATGAGCTCCTTGAGAGCAACTCGGAAAATAATGTGACGTCATTCTAAATCAAATATGGCAGACCATCCAAAATGGCGGAATAGTTACTTTAAATCTACTTCTACAATATGGGTATCAAATGAAACGGCTCGTTGAGAGTAAGTCGAAAAATAATGTGTAAAATCATTAGGTATCCTTATTGAAGAGCTGGACTGTTCCAAATTAACCGGCAATTGACCTTACAACAATGATGCGTTGAATGAAATGATGAGACTGAGAAACCTACCCAGCGATAACTAAAAATAAAAAAATTAATTAGAAGTTAAAAATTTTTTTTAATAAAAGGCTTTTATTTGAACGCTCTAAAAATCATGAAATAAAATGTTCCATTTTAATTTCAATTCAACTTATAACCTCATTATACACAATTTATATGATCATAAAAGCTTGTCGCGCGATTTACTTGTGTGAATAAACTAGTAATAATTCAATTTTGTAACATCTGCTGAGTTTGAATTTTTATAATTTCAATTTGATTAAATATTGATCATCGCGACAAGCTTTTATGATCATATAAATTGTGTATAATGAGGTTATAAGTTCGACTGTCCTATATGTCAAATAGTGTCAGGGTAGTATAAAACAGGTGCTTCCTTCAGAACGATCATTCGTTTTCTAAAGCCATTGATAATATTACTCCACGCTTTAGCATATTCTAGGGTTTATATCTCTAGTTTGTTTTTATTTATTTTTTGCCACTCTATCGCCTAACTCATAAAACTATTGCCTTATCTTGCCAAGTGATCTGCTTTCATGCTACCTTCGATGTTCGATGTCTCAAAATTATACAATATGAACGAATGCGCATTCGCTCGTAGAATAGTTAGAATTATTAACGAGAACCACGGGGTCTCGAGAGGAAGGAAAAACATCCTTAAAAGCCTAAATCACTACACAAATCATCACAGCGGGCTGACGCCATGCTATTACTGGACCAGAATAGAGCTCCCTGACCAAACTCAGCCTCCACAATTTTATTGCGAAAAATAAGCATCAAAAAAACACGTAATATGTTGGAAACATATTACGTGATGGGAATGGTTCGAAAGATTTATGCACTTCTCAAAATCCCTTACCTTGAATATTTTCATTGAATAACTCGATGGAGGCAAATGTCAATGCGATGTTTGAAACTAGCCTGCGCCAATATAGTACAAAATGAAACAATCGATGGGACATCATGCGATAACCCGGACATCATGCGATAACCCAGCTAACTGTTCCATAAATGTACTACTACGGCGGTAATTATTTTCAGAAAACTCAACATATATTTCGAAAACTGCCAACGATAACTTGACATGAATTAGGAACTAGGAATCAGAAGGCCAACCGAACCGTGAGAGGAAAAAAGTAGGGTTCAATTTGATATAAGAAAGTTAGACTTTTGGCACACCCTGTATAGCTGGAGGACCAAAAATATTGTAGGTAGATTGCAAATGATAGAATAAAACAACATACAAATTTTCAATTTTTCAATCAAACTGCAAGTTGTGAAACTTCTAATGTGTGGCCTACGTGAATCACTCTGTTTACAGGATTTAGATACTCACAAATTATAATAAAAAATATTATGCCATTTTTGCAGGGGATAAAATCAACATTACTTTTATCAAACTGAAAGCACTCAACTAAATTTCACAATTTGACAACATGGTTGGCGTAGCAACATTAACAACCGAAGTCATTAAAATCGACAATGAGAGGTGAATATTCAGTAGTGATACTATAAGTACTTCTAAATATTCGGGTTATACATAAATAACTTTTTGCATAACTAATACACATAGTGTCAGTTCAACAGTTGAACAGTTATTCTGTTAAAAAGACACAATTTGTAATTATTGTGTAGGAAGTTTGAGATTTATAACCTTGAAGATTTCGAAGTTTTAATTGTATTCGAAGAGATTATTTTGTGGGTAGTCTGAACTAGAGTCACTGGATGGTATTAGTTTGATAAGAGTTCGGACACAGAAATTACAACGGTTAGGGTCTTTGAATGTTTCGATTCATTAAGTTAAACACCTTGCATTGTGACAAGACCACCATAGTCGTCCCGCGCTTTTTCATTCAAAATTGTCTGAATTTGACAATACATTTTATAAACGTCAGAATTGAAATGAAATTTCATAATTAAATACTTTCGAGAAAAAAGCAGTTATGGAAATCATTTGCTCAATTTTCCAAAACAAATATCAACCATTCGCTAATGGAAGGAAGATATGAAACACCCTGGGTGGAAAATCAATTTGAAGATGAGCGAAATTTGTGAGGTACTCATTAAAATTCACTTCTTATAACAGCATCTGATTAGAATGAAACTATATTTCAGGCACATTCTCAAACAGAAGATTTCAAAATCTGTTTGAGAGAATCTGCTGTTCCATCAATTTACAAAGCAGAAGATTTCAAGAACAAAATTACATTATTACCATCACACAAAATACAAAAGAAAATTATCATGGAAAAAGAGGAATTGATCGCAAAATAACATAACGAAATTGAAAATTTGAAAACGAAACTAAGAAAAGCAAGTAAACTACAACGTGATCTATTATTGAATGGCGTTTTTGGTACCGACCAAATCCAAAGGTTAACAGTGAAAAGTGACTAGTTATTTATGTATCGTGGAAATTATTATAAGGGCCTTATAATTACGCTGGGGGTTATCGTTTTGGAGATATTTTCTATATCGATCCATTTACTTAGCTTCTAGGGCGCTAAGTGAAGTTGCTGAGAAGTTTACAAAATAAAGTATGTGGTAGGTCTCGTGAAAATAAACTACTTTTTTCCTATGAAATGTTTATCGAAAATTGATTTGTTCTCTGTATTTCAACACCCTGTATCTCCGAAATGAAGAATTTCCGTACATAAGCTTATATATAGACTGTATTTCTTAAAATTGTGTCAGGAATACTGCACTTGAACGTACTTATATGTTACTTCCTGTATATTGAAAATATCTACCTTCAATTTAATATCAATAACTTCATGTTTCATACTTATTACTGGAGTACAGTTTCACATACAGTAAGGAATTATAGCTATAATAGACCATTGGCCCATAACACTAGGGGTGTCGATTATCTACGAAGGTATGCCCTTCAAGAGACATGAAGATTGAGTTGGATTATCGGGAAAAAAGTGGTTAGTTGGATCGGTACCCGGTCGCCCATCTCCCTAATCAATCAACTTCCTGTTGAAAGTAATGTTGAAAATTGTATTATAGAAGAAGCTTTAAAATTCATTGGAATAGTCGGTCGGTCCCGAAGGGCGGCATACGGACCGCAAGTTACCGTTAACCGACATTTCTCTTAGATTATTTACGATGGTATGCCCTTTGGTTAATTCCTTCATTTCGACCCATGAATCAATGCCATACCATTTGCATACACTTTGGGTGGGCGAATTTAGACATATTCGAAGGTCACTTTACATCATTGACCTGTATGTACAAGATTATCTACGAAGCTCCCAAATTTTGATCAAGGTTACTTAAGCATAAACTATGCATAGAATAATGATTTGCATACGATTTGCGAGTTGCGGGGATTACATTAAAAGTAAAATTAGCAAAAATGGCGGCAAAATTCCATTGTCCATCTACGACTATGATTGATTTCACAGAAAATATAACCTCTAAAATCGTATCTGACAATCAGGCGCTACTAGGGGGATTCAAAAGACAAAGAGCAGAATATATGTCTTATTCTTTTATTCACTCAAACCATTGTATTATAGAAAATAGAAAAGGACAAAAGTTCATCTGTGTCCGAACTCTCATCAAACTAATACCATCCAGTGACTCTAATCTGAACCATCGTCATTATACAAGGTAGCTAAATTCATTTGAACGTTCTGATTGGTTTAAAATTATATGAAGAAAATAATCAAATTAATTAATTTACTCACTTTTTTCATCCTATCTTGCTTAAGTAGATGCGAAGGTACACTGGAATGTGGTTGAAGGTAAAACTGCACTTTGATGAATTTGTTGGTACAGTTTTCCTCTATATTTGATATCACCCAGTTAGGAACAGTTTCGTTCAGCAAGGCGTTTTCAGTGTCGCCTGAAGTGTCTCCGACTAGTACCCTGTATAGTGTTCGACCGCCAACCTCACTACAAGCAAATAAATCATTATAAATGGATGAGAAATTGCCTGTAGGTCATAGAAAAGCTGACACAGATAAAAAGAAATCTTTCTTAGTGACGTCTAGAATCATATCTGGTGTCTGTCTATGTCTATATTTTGCTGTTCTTTGTTGTTATTCTGTTTGACTGTCAATCAGAAGGTTCCTGATTCGAATCGCTGTGAAATTAACTTCTTTCAACAACTTTTTCTTAATCAATGTGTTTTTACTTCATAAAATAATTGAACGTCAAATAGGTTGGTGCGTTTATTCAGTTTTGTTGGAGAACTTAACTTTTATGTGTTTTTCTTCATTCTGATATTCCTTCCTCAAAGAATATTGCAATTACAAACAGGTTAGTTCATTTAGGATAAATAGTCTCGTTTTATTATACTGTATTTTTTTCACATGTCAAAATGTGAAGTTTTTGTTGTTTCAACCAATAGCAATCCGTTATTACAGCCAATCATTCGGTATTATACTGATAACACTGCATGGTCCTCGATATTTCACATTGAACTGTCAAAACAAAACTATAAATAAAGAGTGAGGACTCCACTGCATCTCTATCATTTTTTTGAAGTAATCAAATATCTCTCAGTCTCATTCTGTGATAAGATTTTGAAAAATTGCGAACTTAGTGGTTGTTTAGTAAATTACGTAAAGGCGAGGTTGAATGGAAGGGGATGTACTAGGTACTTCCCCTCTTTGTCACACGGTACAAGGACATAATTGGGGTATCCAGGGAATGTCCCGCACATCCATAGGTTATCCAATTCGTGTCCTTGGTATATCTGATATCTATTCACATCAGAGTCATTGACTTTCATCAAATTATTGAGTTGAATTTTTATGAAAATGTTTGGTTTTTTTCCGGTAAATGATTGTAATGAAAATAAAGAAAGTCAGAACTTCTCAAGAAATGACCATTTTTCGCAAACAGAAATCGTAAATGCATAATGCCCCTCATTTTTAAACATCCACGAATGATAATAATTATACCCAAATCCTAACAAAGTTGTATTTATTCAGGTTTCTGCAGTTTGGTCCTGTTTAAAAATCTGTTTGGTACATAAATCTTCAGAAGGCATATCAGCCAATGGAGTAAGGTGCGTACCCGAAAAAGCTAAAGGTCCCGGGTTCAAGCCCTACTCGACCTACATTTTTTTCTTTTGTCGAAGGGATGTCCCTGAAATATCCTTGGGGCCTCCTAGGGATATCCTTTCTTCGTACTTGGTACATCCCAGGGACGTACCCGACGGAAATCCCTTGGAAGCTTTTTTTGTCAGCCAGCTGATGTCCCTGGGACGTCCCTAGTATGTACTCTGTCCCGGCAAAGGATATCTCTGGGATGTCCTTGTATAAAATTAGGGACGTCCCTGGGAAGTCCCTAGGATGTATACTTGTGTTGTTAGGGCGACAAAGGATGGCTTGGCAGCCCTATCGCCGACAAACGCACCGAGTCGGCCGCCCCACAAAAATCAAAGGAGATTATTGGCACTCCAAGTTTCGGCAATACATAGGTCGGATCATATACCAGTATAAAATACTTTGGATTGATAGCGGTATAGAATTGTCACGCAATATTCCGCGTTTTTCATGTGATAAATATCAGTAATTTCAATAATAAAAATTTCGAAAATTGTACATAGCTCTGACAAGAAAATGATTTTCGACAGTGAATTATCGTTTGATTCAGTAATTCGACATAATGAAATATGAAATTCCACTCAAACAGACCCATTTAGATTCAGTTCTAGGGTAAAATACACTAAGGTGACAACACTGGTCCGGGTTCGTGAATTTCAATCAAATTTATGAGCAGCTTATATATTGATATCCGCTGACCAGTTGATTCCACAATCGCCAAAAATGGAAGCATTTATTGTTGAGACATTAAATTTTGTGATTCACTCCAATTCGATTTCTATAAACTTTTTTCATGATCTCACGTCCGTGATGCGCTCGTTAGAAGCCTCAGACGAATAAAAGAAATACAACTATTACTAACAAATTCGAATTTACCGCCATATTAGTTAGAATCGTACTGATTGATCATGGATTCGATACAAGCGTTCCGGATTATGGATTGTTTAATTGTTCCAAGTCGCACGCCATCTGCATTCCAATAGATTCTCTTCGTAAGTGGCGCACCTGCCCGTCAAATTACGAAGTATTGCTCCGACATCGTTCGACACTATCGCCGCCACTATGTGAGATTTCGAACTATGGTACGCCATCTAGTTGTGAGATTTTTTTGGACCTCGTTTTGCCCCATAAGGTTGGGCATCTTCCCAGCGTAAGCGTAATATATCAACGTTGATTGATATATTACGCTTACGCTGGGAAGATGCCCAACCTTATGGGGCAAAACGAGGTCCAAAAAAATCTCACACCTAGATGGCGTACCATAGTTCGAAATCTCACATAGTGGCGGCGATAGTGTCGAACGATGTCGGAGCAATACTTCGTAATTTGACTGGCAGGTGCGCCACTTACGAAGAGAATCTATTGGAATGCAGATGGCGTGCGACTTGGAACAATTCAAGGTTGGTAGTTCTACCAACCTTGGAACAATTAAACAATCCATAATCCAGAACGCTTGTATCGAATCCACGATTCTAACTGATATGGCGGTAAATTCGAATTTGTTAGTGATAGTTGTACTGGATGTGCTTCTAACGAGCGCATCACGGACGTGAGATCATGAAAAAAGTTTATAGAAATCGAATTGGAGTGAATCACAAAATTTAATGTCTCAACAATAAATGCTTCCATTTTTGGCGACTGTGGAATAAACTGGTCAGCGGATATCAATATATAAGCTGCTCATAAATTTGATTGAAATTCACGAACCCGGACCAGTGTTGTCACCTTGTGTGTGTATTTTACCCTAGAACTGAATCTAAATAATGGGTCTGTTTGAGTGGAATTTCATATTTCATTATGTCGAATTACTATGATTCACTGTCGCAAATCATTTTCTTGTCAGAGCTATGTACAATTTTTGACATTTTTATTATTGAAATTACTGATATTTATCACATGAAAAACGTGGAACATTGCGTGACAATTCTATTCCGCTATCAATCCGAAGTATTTTATACTGGTATACAGTGTGTGGTGGTTATACCACAATATTAATGATTTTAATATAATAAATTCTCTGAAGGAAGTTGTCAGAAAAGGATTATTTATTGATTGAAAACAACATGTCAAAATCATTGCCATGCCATGTGATAAAATACAATCTTGATCTTCATTACGATTCAATACAGGGTGGAATAAACTGAAAGTATGCCACACAGTGTGTCCCACTTATTACCATGCTCACCATGGGTATCTTTTTAACGGTGAGAGATACGAGGTCGGTTAAATGACACCAAATGTGGAGTTTGTCAAGGCCAACTATAATCTGAAAAAATATTTTGATGAAATCTATGCGTTTTTGTTTCATACGCAAAAAACAGATTTTGATCATTTTCTTGTCTCCTCCGTAGCTTCTTTATTTATGAAAATATTCAAATAGGAATTTCACATTCTCATGGCAGTTTTTCAAAGTGATTTCGAAAAAAATATGAAATTTATACCAAGTCTTCTAGAATTTGAGATATCAGCAGTATCAGCACCAACTTTAGTTTTTCAAATGCAGGTCATATATAGCTCACTATGACTTGGTTACAAATCACTTTTTTTTGTCTCACAGACGATATGTCGCAGAAATAGTTTTGTGTTGATAACAACGGAGTTATCGTCATTTATACAAAAACAGAAAAGTATTCGGAAGCCGCCATCTTGAATTTATGAATTTTAACGAAAAAATCATGATCTCCGACCTCAAAAACCCCCACTTACCAATTTTGAATGGAATCGGACAAAATCTTGTCCGCCATCTTGAAGCAGCCATTTTTTTTTAGTTCAACAAAAATTCCATAACTCCGATTAACTTGAAATTTGGCAGGTGTTGATAATTTCGGTGACAATACATTATGGAATTTTTGTTGAAATAAAAAAAATGGCTGCTCCTAGATGGCGGACAAGATTTGGTCCGATTCCATTCAAAATTGGTGAGTGGGGGTTTCTGAGGTCGGAGATCATGATTTTTCTGTTAAAATTCATAAATTCAAGATGACGGCCTCCGAATAATTTTTCGATTTCGTATAAATGACGATAACTCCGTTGTTATCAACACAAAACTATTATTGCGACATATCATCAGTAAGAGAAAAAAAAGTTATTTGTAACTAGGTCATAGTGAGCTATGACCTACATTCGAAAAACTTAAGTTGGTGCTGATATCTCAGATTCTAGAAGAGTTGGTATAAATTGTTGAAGTATCAATTCTATTTTAGACTAAATCTCTCTGTATATTGGTCGTGTCAAGATACTATATAATATATGTCACATAATATGTTAAATGTATGTCAACTCGGTGAATTATTGATCTCCTGATATTTCTATAATTTTCATGTACAAGTGTGATTTCATATTAAATTCCTCACGTGTTGAATCTGTGTATAATCTGTGTTCAACCAAACAATAGGTTATGGGCCCAGATTGGTATTTAATTTGAAAAAATCTGTATTGAGAAGTACTAGTTCTGGACAGACACAATGACGTCTTGCGGTCATGGTGCTGTGAACATTCGTCCCTTCGATGGAACGGGGTATGAGAATTGGAGATTCCGTGTTGAAAGACTCTTGGAGAGAAGTGGTGTTCTTCATTTACTTACTCAAGATGTACCTGGAGTGAATGCAACGGCTGCAGCATTGGAACAATTCAAGAAGGAAGATGCGAAAGCGCGGGATTTGATTGTACAATGTGTTGCTGACTCAGTGCTTGAGTTGATTAAAACAAAGAAAACTGCAAAAGAAATTATGAACACGCTGCGGACAACATACGTGAGGGTTGGTTTAACAACACGTATTTCTCTTCAGAAACGGCTGAGAAATATGACTTTTGATGGATGTGGCTCGCTCAATAGCTACA